TCCCCGGGGCTGGCCCTGATGTCACCTACACAGATTCATTGGCCCCCTTCCCCTGTCTGCCTTTTTGTGTAATCCTTGTTAGTCAGAGCAGAGAGGTTGGCCGGGGTCCTTGGTTCAGTGCTGGAAGTGGAAGAGCTGTGGTTTACCCAGCCTGTGCAGACTCCAGCCAGTCATCAGTGACCATTGGACATGAACATGGTTGACCTCTTCTCACAGATCTATCTCCCTTTCAATGGATTTTGCTGGCTTCTGTGAGGGTTATGCAACTTTAAGAGCAGCAGGGTCTTGGCTCAGTATGATCACCAGGGAAGAAGGGAGTGGGCTGGCTCAGGGACTCTGAGTGCTGTCTGGGTAGCACCTGGAATGAACAATGTGGAAAGTGTCCTTTCTGAACCTCGGTTTTCTCACCTGTAGAAGGGGTCCTTGGGACTATTCTTAGGCCCTCCTAATTTTGACATCCCTGTGCTGTCTGTGGGCTCTGCATGGCAGAAGAGTGACCAGCGCCTCCTGCCTGCTCCGCTTCCTGCTTCTTGGGAGGTATCAGGGCAAAGTCTCAGTGCCTCAGTTCCCTCATTCTTAGATAGTTAATGAAGAAAGAAGCAGCATTTGCTGAGCACTTCCTACATGACAGGTGCTGTTTCATGCGTGGGACTTTAGTCTTTGTGACAACTCTGAGGTGGATACTCTGCTCAACCCCCTTTTAGAAGTGAGGAAACTGAGGCACAGAGAGGTTAAGTAATATTCCCAAGGTCACACAAACTGTGAATGGCAGAGCCTGGGCTCAGATGCAGTCTGTTTTTAGAGTGTGTACCTTCCCTGTGGCATGAGAGTGACATTGTTACCCTGCATAACACTTTGAAGACTGAAGTAAATTAGCCCAGGATGCGGGACATGGGAGGGGCTCAGCTAATGTCAGGTGGATCCTTGTGGCCTGAACCTGGTTGTCATCCCCTCTTTCAGGTTGAACCTCCAGCCCATCCCTGAGGTTGGGTACCTCAGGTCACCTGAGGCCACCTCTGGCCAAGTGGGAGATCTCATGGGCTGAAGGTGGCCCTGGTCAGGGCCCCCCAAGCACATCATTCTGTGCCTTATGGGCACTCAGGTGTCTGACCCCACTGCAGGCAGGCAAGGTGACCTCTATGGTGAGCTCTTCATGGCTCATCAGAGGCAGACCCACTGTGCTACCCTCATCCCATCCCAGCTCTCTACCCTGCTGCTGAGAGGCTCTTCCCTGAGCTACTTCAGGGCTGGGCCTCTGGAGACCTCAGGACAAGGGTCAAGGCCCAGCCTGGGGCATTGCCTTTCATGATAGCAACCCATCCATGGCCAGTGATTCCCAGTCAGGCTTATGTTTGCTCACTGCAGCCAGTCACGGCACTAGCAGTGTCTTCCCAGACCCAGATACGCATTGCATCGCAAGAAGACTTCAGGAGCCTCTAGTTGCCTTGTTAATACAGTGGCCACTGCACAGTGCAGTGATCCTAAGTGCTGTGCTCAGATCTGTGCAGAGCCCCTTAGGGACATCATCCCCATCAGCTCTCCATGCAGTCTCATGAGAGGTGGTATCCCATTTTACAGATGAGGAAACTGCAGCCTAGAGCAGATCATGTGTGTGGGGTCCCCCTGAGCTGTGAAGTAGGCACTGGCAGGCAGGCAGGGAGGGGCTTGCCCCAGAAGGGAAGGGGAGAGCTAAGAGGAGCTAAGAGGGAGAAGGAAACTTTGTCACCCTTAAGACATGGTAGAGGCTGCTGCTGAGTAGCCTGGGTCACTGCTCTTTAGTGGTACAGAGGTAGTTTGGGGTGAGGCTGCAGGGCACCAAGGGATGTGAAGGCCCTGACCCCTAAGACTCTCAGGTGAACCCAGGCCAAAGAGGACAGCAAGCCTGGGGGGAGTGTGGGTAAGGGAGAGCGAAGCTGTGTGACGAGGGGCTGAAGAGCTTCCCTGTCACCCATGGCAGGCTGTGTGCATTCTGAATATTTTCCTCCTGGACAGGTAAGGGTAAGGGAAAACCAGATTCAGAGAGGGTAAACATATTTAAAAAAAAGTTTGCAGTTTTAGAAAGTCGAACTCCCAGAATGGGTAAGACAACCCAGGGGTCTGAATCATCAGCAGAGGAACTGAGCCAAGTGAGCAGGAAAGAAAGAGGCCCTTTAGGGCCAAGTAAGTCACTACATCCACATGAGGAATGTTCCTGGTACCCCATTTATACCTTCCTGGGTAGGAGGTCAGCCTGAGACATGGGGAGCCCCCAGCAGTGCTCCTGAGACTCCTGCCGGAGAGGTTATGGCCTGCCCTGGAAGCCCAGGGGTCTGGGATAGAAGGGTCAGGGTCCCTACTCCATCCTACTGCACATAGGTTGTTGAGGCCACTCTGAGGTGCTCAGCCCCAGGCCAGGAAGTAGCCTCTGTCCTCCCCCTACTGAGACATTTCCTCCCGATGAAATCACAGCCCCAGCTGGGGAACAGGCCCCCATTGTGATGGGCTGGGGTCTCCAGAGAAAGGGGCCTTTCAGGCCCTTAAAAACAGCAGCTCTGAGATTTATGAATCTGCACAGAGCACTATGCAGCACAGACCCTGCCACCCCCATCCCAGACCATGACCTGTTAGTGACCAGCTAGAGGGCAGCTGACCTACCAGGGGCTCACACACATCCCTCCGTCATCCCCCTCCCCCTGCCATCTTAGCCAGGGCTCTGTGGACCTTCTCTCCTATGATCCTAACCATCACCAGAAGTTTAGGAAGTGGCAGAATAGGTATTTCACCGATGAGGAAACCAAGGACAACTAGTTAAGGCACACAGTGAGGGGTGGTGGAGTCCTGGTTCCAAGTCAGGCAGCCTGACTCTTGAGCCTGGGCTCCCTCCCCTGTTCCTAGGAGGTCAGTGTAGGTGGTATGTGTGTGGGGGGAGGAGGGACAGACAGGGAGTAGTCTCATGCCAGTGAGATACCTGTGGGATCACCCTGCAGGAACTCTGCTACCTGACCTAGGTGGGACCCCACTCTGACCATAGCAGTTAGCTACAGGCTGGTCATCTCCTGAGTAGGGCAGAGGCAGCTCCTAGCCATATCACTCCAGTATCTTCATTCTGGCTCACTTTCTTCACCTAGAGTTGGGATAGTGCGACAGGGCAGAGCAGAGGCTCAGAGTGCAAGTTCCCGGGCTGGGTGTCTGTAAGCTAAAAGAGCACAGAAACCCTTCTAGACTTCTTGAGGGGAAGGGGGTGGTGGTAAGAGGAGGGCCCCCAATGTGTCTCAGTGTGCCATCCTGAGGGTCTGCTTAAGAACGAGATGTCCTGGGCTGCTGGCAGGGACAGGATAGGTGGCAGTCTGGGTAGCCAGGACCCTCCCCATTACCCACTACAGGCAGGCACCCCAGAATCCCCTTCTCCTCGGCAGTCTGATTGGAGCAAAGTGCAGAGCTCAGCTGGCTCACTGTCTCTGGATGTGTTCCACTTCTGTGAGGGGGGCTCCCAGCAGCCCCCTAAGCCAACCCTGCGCTCCTCCAGCTTACCCTCTGTGAGCCACCTGCAGGTGGGGAGGGGGTGGGAACACCAGCTGTTGGCAGCTCTGTCCTGCCCCAACCTTACTGCCACCCACGTGCCCCAGCCCACCCCACCCCATTCCATTCTCTCAAACTGTGCCACTTTGTCACAGACACTGTTGAAGCCCTAGCCCCCTGCAGACCACAGACCCCCACCCCTGGCCACCCCAGCACCGCAGCTCTCTCGCTCTCCATCCTCCCCGCTTCCCAGAATCACGCTCCGACTCCTCCTTGAGAGTGGGATGATGTCACTTCCTGAGGGGGGAGGAGTAGGCACGACCCCAGCAGGCGAGCCCGCCAGCCCGCCCACCAGGCCGCCAGCTCCCTGGAGCAGCCCAGGAGCGGCTGGATGAAGTGGCTGTACCTGGGAGAGGCCGATGGGCCGGGCTGGACATGCCGGTCAGCCACCCAGCCCTACACTCCCTCTACCACCCTGAGGGTTGTGCTCACTGGCTAGGGAAGGCTTGGCTGCATCCTTCCCAAGTGATGCCGGTTTTCGCGGATACACATTTTCCCCAGAGCCATCACCCGGGAGAGGAGGACCTGCCGCCTGCCCCTGGACTGGGTGCCATGTAAGCCTCTGACGGCCTGGGGGGCAGCTGCCCACCAGGAAGGTGCCCAGACCCCACAGCAGGGGTCCTGCACAGTGCAGTGCCTTGCTACCCTGGAGCTCCTCTTGAACCAACCTCCTGCCATGCTGCTACCCATCTTCTGGGGGCTCTAAAGGGGTCCATGGGCCCCTCTTGAGCTTACTTGTGGCTAGTTTGTATCCAACTACTTCTGAGAGTTGAGCATGTGTCAGTGGAGGCTGGACTCAGGGTGGATATGGAGGTGTGTTATTACTCTGGGAGAGAGGGGCAGATGTCCCAAGACATACTGTCTGACCTCTGTCTCCACCTCGTCCTTCCCTACTCAGAGGTGTGGCTATGGCTGTGAGTTCTGTCTGATGGATACAAAACCAAGTCAGAGAGCAGCTCGAAGGGCTCTGGCAGATCAAGGAACCAAAGAGCTCATTCAGCAAAGACCTACTGAGCACCTACTGTGTGCTGGGCACTCTGAGAATTCCTCGCCCTTGTGTTTATCATCCCCAGCCATGGCTGTCACACACCGTTACCCACTGTCCCCCAGACCTTCAGCTTTCCTCCTGCCCTGCTGGGCTCTGTGTTGTGCTGAGGGGTACTTGTTCTGGGCCTCGGGAGCCCTATGCTAAGGACTGTGCATTGGACAGGGTCTCCTTGTGGAAAGGCAATAGGGAGCCTGTGGGCTGAGGGTCTTATTGATTCTATGTAGCAGGAAAAAGGGGTGAGGCCTGGTCTTTAGTGGAGCTGAGCAGTTGCTGTTGGAATAACCCTAAGCAGTACCAGTAGGGTGAGGGTATGGGGCAGGAGTGACCTAGGGGTCAGGCTGGAGCCTATGCCCTGGTGCTGAGGCCCTTGGTGTTGGCTTTGGGTGTTGACAGGCCCAGAGGCAGCTCCTGCCTGGAGATAGGCAGCATTTCCAATGCCTGGAGGTCCCTGGGCTATGGGAGAGAACTTGTGGGTGGTACTCAGGGTGCCTGTGCTGCTGTGCCACACCTGGGACTGGCCCAGCAGCTTTGGAGTGTGGTGGCCCTGGGTGCTACAGCCTCCTCCCCAGGCAGCTCCACAATTTTCTGCTTGCTTTCAGGAGGTGAGCGCCAGGCCTGCTGAGCCTCCCAGAGCTGCCAGCCATGCCCGGGATCGTGGTGTTCCGGCGGCGCTGGTCTGTAGGCAGTGATGACCTCGTCCTGCCGGCCATCTTCCTCTTCCTTCTGCACACCACCTGGTGAGTTTTGTCTGGGGCAACAGGCCTGGGTTTAGGGAGAAAGGTCTGAAAGGAAGCGCTCTGGCCATTCATTCCTCCCTGCCTGGGCCCAGTCCTGACCATGTCCTGCTCCCAGGAGGAGGTTCCTAAAACTTGGAGTCCCTCAGGGCAATACCCACATAGAGCCAAGGCCCCTCCTAGCCACTGCTGCTTCCTGATCCCAGCATTGGGTACAGTCACCATTGCTGTCTTCCCATGCTGACAGTGGGGTTCCCTGCTCTCGTGTCCCTGTCCCCCAGAGGCAGTCTTGTGGGGTAGATGCCTACTGCCTTCTTGTTCTGCTGAGCCAGGTTGGGCATGGCCTGCCTGACGGGCAGTACAAAGTCCATAGGCTTCTGACCTTGCTCACCTGGGCCCTCTGCAGGTTTGTGATCCTGTCTGTGGTGCTCTTCGGGCTGGTCTACAACCCACACGAGGCCTGCTCCCTGAACCTGGTGGACCACGGCCGCGGCTACCTGGGCATCCTGCTAAGCTGCATGATCGCCGAGATGGCCATCATCTGGCTGAGTATGCGTGGGGGCATCCTCTACACAGAGCCCCGCGACTCCATGCAGTACGTGCTCTACGTGCGCCTGGGTAAGGGCCGCCCATTTTGTGCTGGGGGCTGCTCCAGACCACCCCTTCCTGCGTCCTTCTCTTGTGCTCATTTGTTACTTCAGCTGAGATTCCTAGGCACATACTATGAGCTAGACTCTGAGCTACACGGTGTGCAGCAGTGGACTGAGATGTTCTGGGGCTTTCATTCTAGATCTGGGACAGGCTGTGATCTGAGGGCCAATAAAGTTTTATTGGAGCACATTCATTCATGCATGTATCCCCTCGGCGGCTTCAGTGGCCGTGTAGCAGAGATGAGCACAGTCACCCCAAGGTCTAAAACATTTGCTCTCTGGCCCTTTACAGACGGACATTGCCAACTCCTATTCTAAACCATGAGCACCTCTGCAAAGCCCATTTGCTTTGTGATCCCTCTCAGGCAGCTCCACCCCTCCCTGGAAAGCCCTTTGGGCTAAGCCATCTCCCCAGAGGACCAGCCTGCATTCTCTTCCCTGCCTGGGGCCCAGCCACTTCTCCTGGGCATCCCTAGTGAACAGAGCTCTTATTCTTCTGTGTGTAAACTCATAGGAAGGAGTGTTATTGGCCTCATTTTGTAGGTGAGGCTACTGGTGCCCAGGAAACTAATTATCTCTCTCAAGGTCACACAACTAGTTGTTATGGAAGTGTCAGAGCTGGGATTTGAACCGATGCTCTCTGCCTCCAGAGTCTGGGCTCTTAGCTGCCACACTGTGCTGCCCCCTGCCAGGCTGCCATATCTCCTCTCTACCCTGAATCCAGGCCCTGGGATCAGTGTGCTGACGGACTGAATGCACAGGCCAGACTGGGGTGCAGACATGAGCTGCCTGGTTGCTGGCCCTCCTCCCTCACCCCTCTCCCCAAGTTCCAGAGGCCTTTTGCTGGGAAGCATCAGTTTTCATGAAATGAATACTCATCTAATCCACATGTTCCTATGACATAGATGTCGTTCCCATTTTATACATGAGGAAGCAGAGGTTAGAGAGATTAAGTAACTAAGACATGTCTGATTCCAGAGTTCCTGCACATGATTCTGAAATCCTGAAAAAACAGGGAAGTGCCTCTTCCTCATCCACCTTTCCAGTCACCTTCTCAGGGAGGCATTGGGGACCTGAGGGGACAATGCAAGGGACCAGGTGATGGCCAATAGGACAGAATGGTGGTGGGACAGCCTTGGGGTCTGTGAGGCAGAAGGCCATGGGGGGACCCCTGCCTTCCACTCTTGCTGCTTGGCCAAAGGCTCCTGCAGTAGGAGGGGCTGGGCTGCGGTTCCTGAGGCTGCCCTAGTGGGCAGAGGGTGGTCATCCTTCAGCCAGGGACTGCTCTCCTCGCAGCCATCCTGGTGATTGAGTTCATCTATGCCATCGTGGGTATCGTCTGGCTCACACAGTACTACACTTCCTGCAATGACCTCACTGCCAAGAATGTCACCCTTGGTATGTCCTCCACCCCCACCCCTGCCCCATGCCACAGCCCCAGCTAGCCCTGGGGATGGAGGGCATGGGACCAGTGTTGAGAGAAAGGGTCTTGGGCACCCGACAGGTAGACAGGGCTATAAAGGCTGCTCATTTCTCTCTCTGCTCTTCCATTCCCCTGGGGACCTGGTCTTTGGGGGCCACATTTAAGGTTCCTCAGCAAATTGTTGGAAGCCCACAGAGCAGCCTGCTCTGTGCCAAGGTGTGCCTTGGGGGTCATGGCTCAGCAAAGCTGAGGCTAGCGGCTTCTGAGCCTTGCTCTTGGATCCCAGAAGCAGTTGGGGGCAAGGAGGTGCCAATGTCCCTTTCTTCAGAGCTGTTGGTCAGGGAGGTGTCCCCAACACCTCCATCTCTTGCCTCACACTCTGTCTCCAAAGGGATGGTTGTGTGCAACTGGGTGGTCATCCTCAGCGTCTGCATCACCGTCCTCTGTGTCTTCGACCCCACGGGCCGCACCTTTGTCAAGCTGAGAGCCACTAAGAGGAGACAGCGCAACCTGAGGACCTACAACTTGCGGTCAGTTGGCCAGCTGGGTGGGTGGACAGTCCCCTATTAGGCAACTCATCTCAACCTCTGTGAGCTGTGGGCATTAGTGAAAGTTAAGCTTAACCTCTCCCTGCCTCCGTTTCCTTGTCCTTACAGTGAGAGTAACAGTTCCTGCCCCATGATGAGACTTAAATGAGATAGTAGTGCAAAGTAATTAACCATGCTCCCACCGGTAAGAACTCAGTACTGTTGCTGTCGTTGTCATCAGATGCAGCGCTAGTAACAACGGCACTAACAGCAGAAGGCGCTCATAAATCTAGCCAGACATTATATGGTGTAAGTTACAACCCTGAGGAGTGGCTGTTATTGTCTGCTCCATAATAGGGACTGAGAAACTGAGTCACAGGTCGTTTATATAAATTGCCTGAGGCTACATAGGTTGCAGTGAGGCTGGAAAGTAGCCTTCAGTCTAGAGCCCTCACTCAGCCACCAGGCTAGGCTGCCTAGATTTCAGGGGTTGGAGGAAGTTAATCAAGGAAGACTTCCCAGAGGAGGTGAGTTTCACATGGTGTTTTATTGAAGGGGAAAGCTGTGCCATGGCGGAGCAAAAGAGGCAGGGCATCCAGGCTGGGTCACGACTCCAGTTATTGAAAGAAAAGGAGCAGGGGCTTCCAGGTGTGTAATGGTAACCCTTGTTAATCAGGCTTCTCCTGCAAGGTTAGCCCCAACGCTGAGCCCTTTCCATGGGTAGACAGTTCATCCTGTCACCAACCCCAGTGTAGTTGTGAGACCTGCTCTATAGGTGAGGAAACCAGGACGCTTGCCCCAGGACATGATGGTGGGGCATGGAAGTGATGTTCCATCACAGGCCAGCCCAGTGCAGCCTCCTCAGGAGTCCCCATCCGGAGCAAGCTGCCCAGGCCCTGACCAGCCAGACTTCTCCCACGCCTCTCACTGGGCAGAGGGCTCCCCTCTGGGCTCCCTTCCGATTTTCCACGTCAGCTCATCATAGCAGCCAGCACCACACCCAGGCCTAGGCTGGCCACCACTTAGCCCAAAATGTCAGACCTTGGAGTCAAGGCCTGGGAGCCCATTCTCCTTCCTAGTGTAGCTGACCACCCTACACCCCTACCCTGTACCACTCTGTTCCCACATGCCCCCACCCAACCTAATTTCTGGGCTCCTTGGGTCCTGGAGAGCACTTGTCTTCCTGACTCTGGGTGATTGTCTTTGCAGTGGGAGGGGGTCGGGGTGGGGGGCGGTGGTTGCTGTCATTTTGATTAGAAAGCTATCCATGGTTTCTAGACCCTGTGGAGGTGAGTAAGAGGCTGGAGAGGGCAGCCTAGCCATAGGGCTTTGTTAAGGTCCACCACCTCCCAGACTGTGCCCCACTTGCTCTGAAACTAACAAACAGATTTTTTGTCTTTTTTCGCCATTGGCAAGGACATCTGCAAGCCAGCAATTTCCCAGTGTAGGGACGCACATACCCTTGCTGGCCCACACTATTAAGTCCTTTTTGGGTTGGAAATCCAGAATATGTTTAAGTCCTAGGCCCTGTCTTTTTCCAGTGAACTCTGGTGGGGATTGGGAGGAGGGGGTTCTCTCCAGCACTACTCCCCAGAGCCTTGACCTAACCCCCCCTGCCACACACACACACACACACACACACACACACACACACACACACACACACACACACACACTTTAGTGAGTTGCAAAGGCAGAGGGCTGCTGGGTCCATGAACTTTCTGTTCAGACTTGGCATGTGGTTCCCTGGCTTGGTCTGTAACTTTGCTCCTTCACTTGACCAAACCTGTCACCTTCTCACTTACATGCCTAAGATCAACTGCCCCCTGGTGTGCATAAAGGGTACTGCAGGATAGGTAGTCTGAGTGTTTCTATCTAGCCAGAGGACAGGGAAGAAATTCTCCTTCTATGTTTGAATGCCCCATTGGATTAGAAAGTGTTAATGATTGCCATGCTCTGGGAATTCAACTTGGTTGGCACACTGTTCCTTCATGAAGCCTCTGGAAGGTGGGACATTTGTTTAAGATGCAAGGCTTCCCAAGACCCTAGGGGCAGCTGATCCTAAACCCGGAGTTCTCTTGCATCCTTCCCTAACCCCCGGAAGACCCCGTTCTCTCCTTTTGGCCAACTGCCTTGTGGAGCCAGGGATAGGGAATGAGGAGCAGCCCTTGGCTGCAGAGAGGAGCCAAGCAGCTTGAGGAGAGACAGGCCTGTCACTCCTTATAGCGGTTAAGTGCCTTGAGTACATATTTGAGTGCCACCTTTGCCTTCCCCTCTGACCGCCCAGCATCAGGCTTTTAAGGGGCCAGCACATGGCACAGAAGACAGCCAGCCCCTCCTTGCTCAGTTCAGAGACTGGCATGTTTGACACTGGAGCTATCATTATGCTCAAAACATGCTGGGTGCGCAATGCTGGAGGGGTCTCTGGAAAACTGGCCCACTGCTCTGCCTTTGCATACAGGCTCCTGGTTCCCCTCACTCCCTGTCTGAGGACCCCTCAGGGCTGGTGTTGGGGGTGAGAAGACGGGGCACCCCTGAAGACAGGGGACCCACCCTACCTAGGTAACAGATGCAAGGAATTGGGAAATGCAGAGCCTTATTCAGCCTGTAGATTTCCTGTAAATTATGTACATGAATATCTGAAGTCCTTTGTGAGGAAAAGCAGGTCTGTCTGACGGTTTTGTCAGCCCCTGGAACAAGAAGACAGAGAGGCACAACACTGGCTGACACTTCCCAAGGCTCTTGGTTTGAGCCTTTGGACACCTGAGCTACAGAGAGGCCGCCACTTTGGGCTCCCAGCTCCGAAGCCCTCAAGGCATGCCTGTGGGTCAGTCTTCCAAATGTCAGGGAGCCCTAACTCCTGGTCAATAGCTTACCCTCTTAGGCCAGCAGGAGCTCCTCAGGGAGTGCCCTGGCTGGCTGACAACCAGCTCACTGACCACTCAGCTTTGGCCTGGGCCCTGTTCTCCCCCAGGCCTCCCTCCTGTGGAGCCCTTTGGTGGGGTTCTGGGAATAGGCCACACTGTTTCCATAATTTCTGGGCCCAGCTCTTCTGCTTCAGCCCTCTGACCTGTACCATCTCTCTCCCTTCACAGGCACCGATTGGAGGAGGGTCAGGCCACCAGCTGGTCACGCCGACTCAAAGTGTTCCTCTGCTGCACTCGGACCAAGGACTCCCAGTCAGTAAGTACTGGGAGGTCCCTTCCCTCAGGCCTGTGCCCTGTGATACAGGCACCTTTTGGTCCCTTGGCAAAACCAGGTGGGCAGGGCTGGCACGAGGTGCTGGGTTTTGAGTGTGAGCAGGTGACAGCCTCCTTATATGGTGATCTGGTCTTCTCTGACTAACTCCCCAGCCTTTAAAGCAGCCATCCATTTGCTTTGTAAAAGGGACAGAAAGATGTGAAGTCTTTGTGTCAACCCCCTTGGAATGTACAGTTTAGTTTAGGAGGCAAATGCTCCCAAATCAGGTAACCTGAAGACAGAAAAGTAGCACCCTGCCAGCAGCAGATGGATCTGGCAGGTCTAGTGATGCTGTCTGGTGCTTTGCATGGGAGCTGGACGGTACAGAGTTGGAGCAAGCAGAGGGCCCGACTTTTAGCACCCAATGAGCTCTGCAGAAGGAAGGCAGGGCTGGAGGCGGGTGATCCTGAAGGGAGGGAGGAAGGCAGGGACTCAGAGATCATCTAGTCCCACCCGTCGTTTTGCAGATTAGGCAGCTGAAGTACAGAGAGGTGGAGTGATTTGCTCAGCTTCCCCTGGCTAGTTAGTGGCAGAGCCAGTGAGGTCAGGAGAGCACCCCTCCCTGAAGCATAAAGCCAGGTGCCCTCCTCAGAAGCTCTTGGAAGCCTCTTGCAGCTGCTTCCCACCAGCAGCCCCAGTGAGCTGTAGAATGAGTGATCCAGTGGAAGAAAGCCCCTAGGGGGGAGCATCCTTGGGTCTGTCTGGAGGGGTCACGGCCCAGAGTGTGGACCACAGGCAGCCATGTAGAGGGCAGGACACTGGGCCTGACAGAGCCCATGGAGGGCACACCCTCCCCTCCGAGGCATATACATAGAAGTGGTGCTGTTGCCAGAGCCTGGTGTAAAGGCCACATGTCTCAGGGTAGCTCCCAAGCATGAGTCCCATTAGACACAGAGGGCCTAGGGGCCAGGTGCAGTCCACGTGCTTTTTGATCAGCTTGTACTGTGTTGCTTACAGACTTGATTTGGATGCTAGCATTTAAAAATCAAGGGTATTTATGAAAACTCCTGTGTTTCCGAATCTGGCAACTCAGGCATTTTCCGGCCAGTCAGCTGGAGCTAAGCAGTAGCTGGCACCATGTGGCCTCCTTAGGCATTTGCAAGCCTTGTGTTTTTTTTTTGTTTTTTTTGTTTTTTTGTTTTTTTTTTAATGCATGCCAGACTCTCAAGTGTAAGATCCAGTGAGACAAAACCTCATGAGTTGTCATGAGTTTGTTTCCACCTTGGCCTCTGGTGGTTAGGGAGATGGTTTAGGCCCCAGGACAGCAAGAGGCAGGGAGACTCAGAGCCCACCAGCTAGCAGGGCTTGCCTCTCTTCTTTGCCTCCTGCCCCTCATGAGGCCAAGCACCGGGAGGAAGCCAGGAAGGTCACTGGCCCAGGGGTCATACCCCTTCTTGGGCACATAATGGGGGCCACTGAGCCAGGGCCCATGGTAGCAGGGGAGCTCGAGACCCAGGAGGCTCCATGGAGCCCTTGAGGGGTTTCCAGAATCACAGCTGGTGGCAGAAGCAGCTAGACCCTTCATGTGGCTTCTCTGCTTGAGAAAAAGGCTGCAGGAGCAAAGAACCAAAGCCACTGGGCCTTGGTTCCTAGGGTCTAGGAAAAGAGAATTGGCTCCGGCTAGCACTTGGGCACATTGGACAGTTGAGCTGTGCACCTACATTGAGGGGAGAGGCCTGACAGGTGGAGGAAGGGTCAGTATTAAGCCAGATGACTCCTTCCAGGCCTGTGGGGGCCCAGGGCCTAGAACTGGACCCTCAGGGTCCCTGCTGCACAAAGCCACCTGGGGTCAGGCCTGACTGGTGCTATGGGTAAACCTTCCCTGGGGGATTCACTTTCTGGTCTCTCTTCCTCTTCTGCCACCCTGCCACCACCTCCCACCTTCCGGAACCTCTCATAGGATGCCTACTCGGAAATTGCCTACCTCTTTGCTGAATTTTTCCGGGACCTTGACATCGTGCCGTCTGACATCATTGCTGGCCTGGTGCTGCTCCGGCAGCGGCAGCGAGCCAAGCGCAACGCGGTGCTGGACGAGGTGAGCACTGCTGAGTGCCTCTAGGCAGCCTCCATGCACGCCTTCTCCCGGCCCCAGCCCCAATTCATAACCCTGCTGCTGACCCATGAGGCTGCCTGCCTTATGGGTTCTGGAGGTCTCCCCTTGCTCGCTGCCCTCCCCATCCTGGCGGAAACCTTCAGCCAGCCATTCCACACCTCCTCTTTGGGAACTTCTCTCTCTCTGAGCTATGTGCCGCTACTTCTGGGGCCACCCTCGAAGGACTTCTAATCACAGGGGCCTGATGACCAATGCCAGCCGAGTGCTCCTGTCTTCTGCTTTGCTGCTCTGTCCCACCCCTTTGTCCCTGCCAACAAACCAGTTCTGGTCTTCCTGCATCTCATACAAAATCTCTTTTTCCTGGTGTGGGCCAGGAATGTGCCCTGAGGTGTGATGCTTTGGGTTGAAAAGGAATAACTGGAAATACGGGGAAAACTTCTGATTTTGGAAACTGCTGAATGCTCTTTTGGGCCTCCCAGGTCTTCAGGAACCTCTGGGTGCTGAATACTTTTCTCAGCCCTGCAGCTGGGCCACTGACATCTTAATATGATTATTTTATAGGCAAACAATGATATCTTGGCCTTCCTGTCTGGGATGCCAGTTACCAGAAACACCAAGTACCTTGACCTCAAGAACTCGGTGAGTCAGAAGTCACTCCCATCCCCTGCCCTAGTCCCTCTCTCTACCACGATGACCTAAGCAGGCACCTTCCCGTTGCCCACACAGTATATACGGCCATTGTACTGCTGACCAGGCTCTGCTCAGCCTGTCAGGGAACCTCCTCTCTGATTATGTCCCCGTGAACCCCACCATCATGTTGCTTGTACAAGTGGAACCCCAAATCCCTTAGCCAAACTTCGAAATGTTTGGCCCTGGCTATAAAGTGCTTCACAAGGGTGAGTTGTGACATTGCTACCACTGCACTGTAAGGGCAGTGGGGCATGGCATTGTGGTTTCTAGGCCTTTTCAGTAATAGAAGCTTCTCCCAAGTGCCTCCCACACTCTCCCAAGTGTGACTTGGGGAAAGATGGTATCTGTCCTGTGGTGCTGAGCCCAGGCCAGGGCAGTGCAACCCAGGCTGAAACCACAGCTGGTGACAGGGAGAATGACCCTGCCTGAGGCACAAAAGTGATTTAAGTACACCCTTGTTCTGTTGCCTGTTCCTGTGACCTTGAGCAAGTCTGTCATCCTTCTGAGCTTGTCCCCTGAAGCAAGGCTTCCACCTAGAGCTATAGCGGGAGAAAGTAGGTGCCCCAGCATGGTGCTGCAAAACAGTGCTAGTCAGAACATGACTGGAGCTGGAGAGGCTTTAGCTCTTGAGGATCTCTGTCCTTTAGGAAAGACCCAGGCCCCTGTCTGTCCCACTCCCCAAAGCAGGCGTAGCAGGTGCCCTAGCCAGACATCTCTGCTTGCTAGGAACTGGCCTGGGTGGCTCTTTCCTCCCCCAGTGGGAGAGACAGGGCAGGCAGAGGGCCAGGTCCATACCTGCCACAGGGCTGCCAGTGCCCATCAGCAGGAAGCTCTGACATAGGGTAATTACCTCTCTGCTGGCTGGCTGGCTCTTCCTAAAGAGCAGACAGAGCAGCGTGGATGCTCTCGCCCCTCTGGGCACTGATTAAGGCCTACCTGTTTGACTTCACAAGATGACTAATCACTGTCCTTAACTTTTATAAGGTGACTAATTCCCTCTAAGTGCCACAGTCCTCCCAGTGTCCTGGGCGCTCAGGACTGACTTGGCTTTACTGGGACACCATTATCCCCACCTCTCTCCAACCTGTGTTGCTGATAGCAGCCACAGTGTCAGTAGCAGCCACTGGGCCTCAGACTACTAGGCTTCAAACTGGCGCCTTTCTCCATAGTGATGCCAATCTCCCCGAGACAGCCTCTCCTCAGCCTTGGGAACCTGCTATTCATGAGCCAAGTTAGAGAAAACCCAGAGGCCACTTGTCTCATTGCTCAGAACAGCTTGCCCTGTGGCCCCCAGCCAGACACCCCCAGCTGAGGGCCCAGGGCCTCTCAGGGTGAATTCCCTGCCAGTGAAGTCCCTTCCCAGGGCCTGATTGCTGAGGTGGGATATTTACCAGTCATGCCCCTCCTTCTCTTCCTTGTTGGGAAAACAAGCCAGAAAATCGATCTAGTGTTCCAAGTGATTTTCTTTCCCCAAATGATTAATTTTGAGACTGGAGCCACAGGACAGGTCTCAGGAGGATTGGTGCCCTGGGTGCATGGAGATGATTAGTCAAATGCAGTGATCATCTGGAGGCACCTCCCTTCTCCAGGGCCGAAGGCCCCGTACCTTGGAGGCCTAACAGACCCTCCCCCTCAGGGCTTCAGCCTCAGGACAGTTGAGCAGAGGCCGCAGGCAGAAGGACTGGCAATCACTGCCCTCTGTGCCCTGTCTTCCAGCACGAGATGCTGCGTACCTTGGAGGCCTAACAGACCCTCCCCCTCAGGGCTTCAGCCTCAGGACAGTTGAGCAGAGGCCGCAGGCAGAAGGACTGGCAATCACTGCCCTCTGTGCCCTGTCTTCCAGCACGAGATGCTGCGTTACAAGGAGGTCTGCTACTATATGCTCTTCGCCCTGGCTGCTTATGGCTGGCCCATGTACCTGATGCGGAAGCCTGCCTGCGGCCTCTGCCAGCTGGCTCGATCCTGCTCGTGAGTACCCACCAGCCCCTCCCAGCCATGCTGGCATCTCCCCTCCCAGCTGCCAAGTGTGCAGGGAGAGGCAGAGAGGATGAGCCAGTGCCCATAGGGTCTTCCCTGAAGCTACTGCCCTACCCTGGGGCCCAAGTACCTTCTCTTCCACACCTTTGCCAGGCCTCAGCCTTCTTCCTGCATCATTCCTCGGCAGTGAAGCTGTGGGCTTTGGAGTTACACAGCTCTGGGTTTGTATCCAGGCTGTCAGTTGCAGTCTTAAACGAGTCAGTCTCTCTCTCTGAGACTTAGTTTCTGTGTCTGCGAAATGGGGTGTCAACACACAATTCCTGGAATTGTTTTGGAGAGTACTAAATGAGATGTTGCAGTACCTACACTGCCCATTCCCTTCCCCTTCTGGCTCTCTCTGCCCCCTTAACCGTTCCCTCCTGCTCACATCTCTTCTCTGGCTGTCCTCCTGGGTTCTGCCTTTCTGGAAGAAAGCTCTTGGAATGGAAGCCCAATCCATGGGGGGCTCTGAAAGGGCCCCAAGAAGGCCTTTAGAAAAAGGCCCCAACCTTCTTCCTAGAGAGCTGAGAAAGACCTCAGCCCCAGATCTGACTGCTGCCTGGCTCTGCCCTCCACCCAGCCCCTGGGGACAGAGTGGGTGAATTTTGCTTTCCTAAGTGGGCCAGAGAACAGCTCCAGGAAGGACCGTGTTCTTCCATGGTGACTCTGCCTTCAGCACATGCCACGCAGAATCAGGCCAGCTCCTTGGGCTCCTGTTCCAGAAAGCTTTGCCTGTTGGGTGGGAGCTTCTGTCCTTACACCCTACTCTGGGGACCCACAGCAGCCATACCTGCTCTGCACTGCCTCTTTCCTAGGAAAACTGATGGCTCTTAGGACCTTATTCTTACCATCCCCCAGCAGTTGATGAGAGAGGAGCAGGGCAACTTGTGGCCCTCCCCATCTCAGCCAGCTGCACATGCCTGGCATTCTTCTCTGAGCTCTTGGGAGTCCTGGCTGGTGCTGAGAGCTTCTCAAGATGAGCCCTGGGCCCTGAGACCAAGCTCCGGCAAGCCCTGCTCCACTACTCATGGCAGTGTGGACATCTCTCAGAGCCTGTTTCCTCAGTTATAATAGGTTGTATCTATCCATAGGATGGTTCAGAACCAAGGAGTCACTGGCAGCAGGGGGCTTTGGGGACAAGCAGGGATGCCAGCATCTGCATCAGCCTTCTCAGTACCAAAGAGGGGGTGAGAGCAGAGTCCTCAACCCTAGCAGGGCCCAGTCGGGTCTCTTTCCTGGAATGACCAGGGCCCTGTGGGGTGGAGAAGAGGCAGACCTGAAGCTGCAGTTGAGGGAATTAATGGGGCCAGAAGGTTGGGCACCCTTCTCAGCATCCCAGTCTGTGCTTAGCAGCCCTGGCTGCCAATACTGGCTGCAGGAAGGCAGGCCTCTGCCCATCACGGTCTGGGCCTTTCATCACAGGTAAGAGTCCAAGTCAAGCCTGCCCGTGGCTTAGCTACCCCCAGAACACCCCCACAAAACACCTCACTGGGCTCCAGCCCTGCCCTGGATGTGTGATCGGTCCCCTCTCATGGGGGGAGATGCCTATGACAGACCAGGCTTGTGCTCAGGCTCCCATGGGCTCCTTGGTTAGAAGTGCACCTTGGAAGACACTGCAGGGTTGCTCCCCTCCAGGCAGCTAACCCTGCTGCCCTTGCCACTGCCCCTGGCCCTGGAAGCATGACTCAGGCAACACGCCCTGGAGGGCGGGGCATCTCCACTTAATGCAATGCCTGCTGTGCGCTGGGCCATTAGCTTCACAGCAGCCTCAGGAAGCAGCTGTCAGTACCCCATTCATACAGAGGAGGAAGCTGAGGCTTTAGTGGGGCAGTGGCCCTCCAGGTTTGTGAAATCAGGAAAGGACGTGCCAGGAAGGATTCCAACCCAAGTCCAGTCTGAGAAGAGAGGAGATAGCTGCCTGAGACCAGGAGCGGAGTTCTGATACCACTTGACTGGCAGCACAGAGGTTCCCTCCCCCAGCTCTCGGATGTACATTTGAGTGGACCCAACCCCCAGACCCAGTGGCTTCCAGGCTTTGGCTCAACTCCGGTGTTTCTCAGTGAGGCTTCTCTCTTTTAGAACGTGACAGTCTCACTGTTCTGAGAGAAGACAAACATCCCAGTCTCACTAAAATCCCGGATTTTTGATAAAGTCTCAGCCTGCAACTCAAGGCACCTGGTAGCCCTAGTCACATCAATTCCTGGCTTCTGGTGCCTGATCTGTTGGGTTCTGGCTCCCTCTGGTGGCCTGAGAGGCAGCTGCATTCCCAGTTGGGGAACCTGCTCAGTGCTGGTTCAGCCACCCTGCTAGGTTTCATGCTTGGGACATGGTTGTGACCAGCACAGAGCAGACCCTCCCCGTGGAGCTCCAGTGGAGACAGTATGCAGGCAGGGAAATGTGTGGTGTGTCAGAGGAGATGGGCATGTTGGAGGGAGAGACAGCTAGGTGACTGGGGTGGGAATGCTGAGCGGGGAAAGGACAGGGCTATTCTATTAGACCTCACTATAAGCTAAAGGAAGTAAAGGAAAAAGGGGGAGTAGCATTTCAGGCAGAGGAGCTGCAGGGGAGGCAGGGCAGACACCACAGCAGGAAGGCATCCATATGAGTTAGGAAAGGCAAGCTGAAGGGTGCGATCGTAGAGGCAGTCAGAGGAGCAGTCAGACCAGGGTCAGACTGAGCAGCACCTCGGCCCTCAGAAAGACCAGGCCTTTTATTCTGTGCAAGGAGTGCATCATTGTGGGTCTTAAGTAGAAAAGTAACATGGCTTGACTGTTCTTCAAATGGCCACTGTGCAGCTGATTGAGAACACAGTGGCAAGTATAGTGAGGGAGGCCAGTCACTGGCCACTGGGGCACCCAGGCAAAGAGAATGAGGAAGGGACCACAGGCAGGGCCTGTTTCTGAGTCTGAAGGTAAAACCAGACTGGTGTGACAGGGAGAAGGACAGTGGGCAGGTGTAGAGGGCTTTGGGAGGAGGTGGGGCTCGTAGGGCTTGGGACCTGGCAGTCAGTGGAAGCACCTGGAGGTCACTACCACGTTTAGAGTAAATTCTGGTGTGTATTGATGGCATTTGGAGCTCAAGACTAGGTGAATTTATGAAGCAGTTGACATAGCTAGAGGGAAGAGGAGGTCCAGGCTGAACCCAGGGGCCTTAGTGCCAGGGGACAAGCCAGGGAAGAGACCCAGCCTGGGAAGAGACCAGGACTTGGGTGTCACTAGCCAAGTGCAGAGACACCCATGGTGGTACAGGTGCAGCCAAGATATCACGTGGAGTTGCTGGTTGATGTGGCACCACATCCCTGGTGGTTACCAGGGAATAGCAAGGCCAATTCTGGGGATGGGGTGGGGCTAAAAGTCCAACTGGATGGGGTCCATAGAGGACAGGGGGAGAAAACTACCCCCTGAGGGGTAGTTTCTGGCCCTGAGTCCTCTGCTGCGTCCACCACCCCCAGGTGCTGCCTGTGCCCTGCACGGCCCCGGTTCGCCCCTGGAGTCACCATCGAGGAGGACAACTGCTGTGGCTGCAATGCCATTGCCATCCGCCGTCACTTCCTGGATGAGAACATGACTGCAGTGGACATCGTCTACACCTCCTGCCATGATGCGGTGAGGGTCCGGGTAGAGCTGGTGCTTGAAGTCTGGTGCAGATAGCTAGCGGCCTTGGGCACTGAAGATATCCTCTGAACCAGCAGAACCCATGGTTTGTTTGGCAGTGGCTGGCTATAGTCTCAAGGCCATGCCCAGTGGGCAGGGCAGAGGTGGCCCCTCCTTCTCAACATCCTGGGGTAGAAAAGTGGGCACCAACCCCACAGCCAGCATTGGGGTCTCCTGGCCCCAGCCTTAGGGGAATGAGGGAAGAAGCAGGGAGGAATGGTGAACTGTCTGGACCCAGCAGGTGGGACAGCCCACCCAGGGCCCCTAGAGGGCAGGGAGCCTTTGTGCTGGGAACAGTGACTGCCAGTAACTGCAACCTTGATAGACATAGGGACCACTTGGCTGATGGAGCCAGGTATCCTGGCCAGGAAGGAGACCTGCTTCAGTCACGTTCCTCAGGTCTAGTCCTGGAGTCATTTGGGCTCATGACGTACTGCCCTCTAGGTCTACGAAACCCCCTTCTACGTGGCAGTGGACCATGACAAGAAGAAGGTGGTAATCAGTATCCGAGGAACCTTGTCCCCCAAGGTATGCCCTCCACAGCTTCCCTGTGGGCTCCTTACAGCCCTGCGTGCCTGCCTCCTACTCTGTCGTCCTCAGCTGCCTCTCACATAACTCCTCTTTCTCCCCAAGGACGCCCTGACTGACCTGACAGGTGATGCTGAGCGCCTTCCCGTGGAGGGGCACCGTGGCACCTGGCTAGGCCACAAGGTACCCACCATGTGCATTTCCTTACCTTTCCTGTCCCCGTCAGCATGCAGGTGCCTCTGTTAGGCATCCTCCCTTCCGGCTGGGCCACTGGAAGAGACCAGAAAGGTGTGGATTAGTCTGGTAGGTCCATGGGACCCCCAGCCTGCCTGGCCCAGAGCCTATCCCCAGGAAAGCCTGTTGCCAGGAGGTCCCAACTCCAGGAGGGCCTGGGGAGGCGGCCAGGGAGAGGTGATGCCAGCTTCTATCAGGTGCTCTGCCCTCTGAGCCTGTTTCTTCATCTGTGAAATGGAAGTGCTGTGGCCAGAGTGTCCACTAGCCCCTCAGCGTCAGGTTGTTACAAGAACCGAAGGGGAACATAGTGGGACAGGTCCAGGAAGCTGTGGGTCACTATGGCTCACTGGCTCAGGAGGCCCTGTGCCAACCTCACCCTGTCCCTCTCACCAGGGCATGGTGCTGTCAGCCGAGTACATCAAGAAGAAGCTGGAGCAGGAGATGGTCCTGTCCCAGGCCTTTGGGCGTGACCTGGTGAGGCATTTTCCATGCTACTCAGCCCTAGGGTGGAGAGGTGAATGGTGGCTTCCCCTCTGCCCAAAGGCAAGGCCCCTAACCCTCCCTGCCCCACTCTGTCCCTTAGAACTCATCTCTTGCACCAGCGCCTCCAGGGGCCCTGCTTCCCTCACTCCCAGTTACCAAACACCTACTCTATGCCAGCCTCAGCGGAGAGCCATTTGTCCAAAGAAAATTTTACACAGAACTCAAATATAGAACAGAATGACAGAGACAGCAATCACAGAGCAGGTAGAAGCTGCCACTCTGCTTGGTGATCTGAATCCAACCCTCTCCTCCCTGTGTAGGCAGCTCTAAGGCTCTGCCACCTGCCCCTTCCCTTGCCACACAGACTCCAAGCTACTAGTTGGGGCAGAAGAATGGGACAGGTACCAAATGATTAGGACAGAGTATGATCATGATAGTGATAGAAGGTTAGATGGAGTGCCTATGAGGGAGTAAGCCACTCTCGGAAAGTCAGGGAGGGCTTCTCCCAGGAGGAACCTCTGAGCAAGGTTTTGAAGGATTAGTAGAAGTTTGTGAGAACAGTCTCACGGAGCAGTTAGTCTGTGGGACCCTGCCCAGTATCCATGCAGAACAAACTTGCTCCCAGTGCTCTTCAAAGAGCTCTCTGCCTCCCTGGTGCCAGGTGGGACGCTGAGCATGGCAGGCAGAGAGCAGGGCTCTCAGGTTCTCTTGGTCCTCAGGGCCGAGGAACCAAGCACTATGGCCTGATTGTGGTGGGCCACTCCCTGGGCGCAGGCACGGCCGCCATTCTCTCCTTCCTCCTGCGCCCACAGTACCCGACCCTCAAGTGCTTCGCCTACTCACCTCCGGGGGGCCTGCTGAGGTAAGCAGCACCCAGCTTGGGACCACTGGGGCCAATGGCTGGCTGGGCCGGACAGGCCAAGGAGCTAATGGCTGGACTGGGCCGCCTAGCTTCCAATCACAGGGAGGCCTGGGAGCGGACCAGTTGTGGGGTGCAGTGGTAGAACGAGGGCTCTGTAAAATACCATGTGGATCCCTGGATCCAACCCTGGTGAGGCCTCGTGACAGGCAGGACAGAGCTAGGCACCCTGCCCAGCCTGACACCTGAGCTCCTTAGAAGGCTGAGGCCAGCAGCTCACCTCTGGGTCCCCACTATGGAGCACCAGCCGTTCCCTCAGCCTGAGCACCTGGGCTTCCCCCCGCCCCGCCCCCACCCCACTTTCCTCGCAGTGAGGACGCTATGGAGTACTCCAAGGAGTTTGTGACTGCTGTGGTTCTGGGCAAAGACCTCGTCCCCAGGTGAGTCCCTCACCCCACTCCCCAGGCCCTGCATCTCACTCAGCTTCCCATCTCCCTAGAGACCCTAGTGCCCTAGGTGATAAGAGGAAGGCTGGTGCCCACCTCGGGTGGCTTCTCCTCTCCTTTTTGTCTTTGGCTCTGCTTTGCTGAACTACAGACTCCCCTCCATGCCCCCTCCCTACCGTGACACTGATGGAGTTGTCTTGGTTATGGGGGGCCAGGCATGGCCTCACTCCCAGTGCCCCCACCGTCTCTCACCTGCTCCTCTCCCAGCCCTGACCAGACATCCGTCTCGCTCCCTCCCCCAGGATTGGCCTCTCCCAGCTGGAAGGTTTCCGCAGACAGCTCCTGGACGTCCTGCAGCGAAGCACCAAGCCCAAAGTGAGCTCCCGACTGGCATCCTGGCCTACGGGCAGCCCTGGCTGTCCTTGCCCTTATCCCCCACTGGTTCTCTAGGACAAAGCACAAGAGGCTCCAGCTGTGTGTCATGCGAACTTCAGGCTATCAAACCCTCAGTCTCCAAGCTCAGCCCCATGCAACCACAGTCACTGTACAGATGGGGAAACTGAGACCCAGTGTGGGAGGGACCTATCTTTGCTCACAATAACAAGTTGTTACCATAACAGAACTGGAGCCAAGGTGCTCCACACAGAGCTACCGGAAGTCAGGAAGGGTAATCCCTGAGGCTCAGTGCTTTGAGCAGGCAAGGAAAGGCCTGTTGAAAGCATGTTGGGGTTACACAGGCTCTGGGAAGGCTGGGAAGCCCGGTGGGGAGGATCTGGGCCCAGTTTGTTCTGGTCTTCTGTTGGGGCCAAGAGGAGAAGTCCAGCCTTTCCTAATCCGCACCAGGTCTTGGAGGATCCTGGTGGGTTCTTCCTAGGCAAGGAGGCTTCCAGAGCGCCAGGCAGGTGGGGTAGAGTCGGGTGCTGTGGCCAGGGGCCCTGAGCAGCCCTGGGCAGCAGGAGGGCCCTTTAATAACATGGGCCCTCGCCCCGTTCACTATCCTCAGCCTGTCTGTGCCGTTTGTGGCTTCAGTACCTGTGACCCTCTGGCAGGAGTATCCTGGGCCAGGTGCCAGGTGCCAGACAGTAGTCAGGGTAGCATAGCTTTATGGGAGTGTTCTGCTTGGTTCTGAGCAATAGACACTGCTCCTAGAGAGCCAGGCCTGGGCATTCATCAGACCTGGAACCAGGTGGCTAGGACTTGACCCAGAAGTAGCTAGGCCTGGCAGGTACAGCTGGACCAAACTGAGGTTTGTTCTGCCTCTAACTTGCAGAGTGACCTAGAGCAAGTCCCTTCCCTCACTGGGCCTGTCTCCCATCCACTAGATGAGGGCTTGGCTGGTCTTCCAGCCCTGAAATTCAAAAATTCCGTGTCACCTGTCCTTGGCATCTTATTGGCCATCTGGCCACTGTACACCTCAGCCACTACCTCTTCAGGTGGGCACTGACCTTTAATGCTCTGGCCACTGCCCCCTCCCCCATTGCCATTCCCCCTCCCCTCTCACCTGTTGATCCCTCCTTCTGAGCTCCCCAGCCCTGCCTGTCTAGTCAGTACTGCTCAGCTCTGACCCCCTTCTCTGCCCCCCCACAGTGGAGGATCATCGTGGGGGCCACCAAGTGCATCCCCAAGTCAGAGCTGCCCGAGGAGGTGGAAGTGACCACCCTAGCCAGCACGCGGCTCTGGACCCACCCCAGTGACCTAACCATTGCTCTCTCGGCCAGCACTCCACTCTACCCACCTGGCCGTATCATCCATGTGGTTCACAATCACCCTGCAGAGCAGTGCTGGTGGGTGCTGCCCAGGGCCCCAGGTCTACAGCGGCGGGAACTGTGTCCTGGGAGGGGGAAGGGGACGTCAGGGCCATCACAGAGGGGGTTTCTCCAGCCTTGAGCTGTGGAACTAGAGGAAAAAGCCAGGCCAGAGCAGCACACCAAGCCCCTGTGTCACCAGTTCCAGCCTTTAACTCCAGAATTGGCCTTTCTGCAGTGTCCCCCAGGGAAGCTTGCCCTACTCTTGGTCCAGTTAAGAGTGCATGTCTTCCACACCATCATATTGCCCTGCGATGAGTTTGGGAGACTCCCAGGGACTTGTCCTGGGGCAGGCTAAGCTGAGAGGCGTTGAAGGTCACCTGGCACTTACCAGATGCATAACCAAACAAGGACAGTCTCAGCCTTCCCCAGCTTTTGAAGGACTGAGCATAGGACAGGAACATGCCAACCTGGCCCATCTGTGGGGCAAGCATCCTGTGACAAGTCCCAGGCCTTCCTTGAGGAGTCTCAGACCCTCAGGAGGAGGAGAGAGGGACTCCCTTGTCCTGTGGGGTGTTTTTTTCTGGGAGGCCTGGGCTTGGAGGCCTGCTCCAGCCCCAAGGCTGGGCTTGCCATCCCTCCACACCAGCTCCTGCATCCTGCCTCCAGGTGCTGGAGAACTACAACAAGGGGAAGACTGCCCTGCTTTCTGCTGCAAAGGTCATGGTGAGTCCCACTGAGGTGGACCTGACTCCCGAGCTCATCTTCCAGCAGCAGCCGCTGCCCACAGGGCCACCACTGCCCACTGGCCTGGCCCTGGAGCTGCCGGCTCCAGAGCACCGCAATAGCAGTGTCCGGTGAGTCCCGCCACGCTGAGGGTGTGGTTTTGGGGTATGCACAGTTGTCTGCATGTGCATTGTGCGCATTCTGAGCTCACCTATGTTCACAGAGCTCTGCACATGTGCACAGGAGGGCCTAGATGTCCCCCTGTGTTCTGGATCTCTTCTGCTCTGTTCCAACTGTCTTTCAGTCTGCCATCCCTGAATGGGGCTGTGTCTCAGGTTTCCCATATGGGCTAGGGGTCTTTGACACATATGCATAACTATAGATCCCAGGCCACAAACACACAGATTCATTCACTCATTCCCTCTCAGATCCAAGCAGATGGACACCTATGTGCTTAGACATGTGCATATGTATGTGCTGTTTTAGTTGTGAGTACACAGATGACTCCATACAGACATACACATGTGCAGAACACACGTATACAAGACACATTTGGAAAAGCAGACGTGTACAAAAGGCGTGAATGTACCTGTGTCATTCAGACACACAGCACATAGACACACACACACACACACACAAACATCTGGTCTACACACTGCGCACACAGATGCACACACTTCTCCTCGTAGTCACTCACACTCTTTGAAAGGCGTCAGGCTCTTTAGTGATGGCTCTTTTGGGGGACGGTTGTCCTGCCTTTCTGGGACCCTCCCTCCTGAACCTGTGCCCTTGGTTACAAATCTGACCTGTAGAGGCTCCTGAACACCTTTCCCTGCTATGTGTGCATTTCCTGTGGCAGCTGTATGACTGATGGGGAAGCTAGTATCATGCTCAGCCACAGTAACCACTTCGGCCACCTGCTCTCCAATCCTTATCACTCCTGTTGGCTGGTCTGCAGAACAAGGGCCTGAGGGCTCCCCATCTAGCAGAGGGCTGTGCCATGGGAGAAATGGAGGAGCCTCAGGGTAAGGAAGGAAGTAATGGGAGCCCTAAGGAATGGCACAGAGGGGCACTGGCCTGAGAGTGGGACTAGGGCAATGCTTCCTTTCATGCCTTCATCCCAGCTTCTCTCTCTCTCTCTCTATCCTTCTGTCCTTCGCTGGGTCCCTCTTCTTCCACCTTGGTCTCATGAGGGACCAAGGGCAGCGGTCTCTCGAGGCCTCAGTCTCCCACGAGTACAGTGATAGGGCTATGGATACAGGAATCCCCAGTAGTCCTTTAGCACCCTAATGCCCCCAGTAAGGTCTTAGCCCTTTGGGATCCCTACCCCAGTTTATCCAGTATCAACCCTGTCTTCCATCTTAGGTTCTTGTAAGTTGGTTTTTTAAAAATCAGGGTTCCCTGCCCCAAACCATTCAACAAAGACTGAGTTAATTGTGCCCTAGTCTCCTCTGCCCTTCCGAATCTCATGCTCCACCCCTACCCTGGTCTCCTTCATAGGAGCAAGTCCCAGTCTGAGATGAGCTTGGAGGGCTTTTCAGAGGGGCGTCTGCTGTCTCCAGTGGCTGCTGCATCAGCAGCCCGCCAGGACCCCGTGGAGCTGCTGCTGCTATCCACCCAAGAGCGACTGGCAGCAGAGCTGCAGGCCCGGCGGGCACCACTGGCCACCATGGAGAGCCTCTCGGACACAGAGTCACTGTATAGCTTTGACTCACGCCGCTCCTCTGGCTTCCGAAGCATCCGCGGCTCGCCCAGCCTCCACGCAGTGCTGGAGCGGGATGAGGGCCACCTCTTCTACATTGACCCTGCCATCCCAGAGGAAAACCCATCCCTGAGCTCCCGCACCGAGCTGCTGGCAGCTGACAGCCTGTCCAAGCACTCACAGGACACGCAGCCACTGGAGGCAGCACTGGGCAGCGGGGGTATCACTCCTGAGAGGCCCCCAAGTGCAGCCAATGAGGAGGAGGAAGAGGTGGGTGGAGAGGGTGGTGGGGCGGCCCCCCATGGAGAACTGGCACTGCACAATGGTCGCCTGGGGGACTCGCCCAGCCCTCAGGTGCTGGAATTTGCAGAGTTCATTGACAGCCTCTTCAACCTGGACAGCAAGAGCAGCTCCTTCCAGGACCTCTACTGCATGGTGGTACCCGAGAGTCCCACCAGCGACTATGCCGAGGGCCCCAAGTCTCCCAGCCAGCAAGAGATACTGCTCCGGGCGCAGTTCGAGCCCAACCTGGTGCCCAAGCCCCCACGGCTCTTTGCCGGCTCTGCTGACCCCTCCTCTGGCATCTCACTCTCACCCTCCTTCCCGCTGAGCTCCTCCGGGGAGCTTATGGACCTGACACCCACGGGCCTCAGCAGCCAGGAGTGCCTGGCATCAGACAAGATCCGGACTTCTACCGCCACTGGCCATGGGGCCAGCCCCGCCAAGCAGGATGACCTAGTCATCTCAGCACGCTAGTACCACACAGCAGCTGCCAACCAGGCCTCAGCCAGGCCTCGGCCAGAGCAGGGAGCCCCATGGGCACCTGGTGGCCACCCCAGGGCCAGGTAGCTTTGAGGAGAGGCCCACAGGGGCCAGCTAGCCTCAGGCCTGGAGCATTGCTGCTGGGCTGGGGGTCTGCATCCCTACCTCAGCTTAGGACACCCAGAATCAAGGTGGCTGGGAAAAGGTGGGGAAGACATGGAGCAAGGAGGGACCAGGGCAGCCTGCCGGGCAGGCAGGCCACACTCAGCCCTCAGCCTGACTCCTCCACAGGGCATCTGGGCACCCTGTTCTGGGATAGGCACTGGGCAAGCTTGTTCCCCATCACTGCCCTCTGACCACTCCTCCAGCGCCGAGCCCTCTCCCTACATATTCTTACCTGTGGTCCAGGTTGGCATCTGTCCTGGCCACCCCCCAGATCTGGTGCCTGCTGGCCAGCTCCCTGGGGTGACCCCCACTAAGGTGGCCTGCAGTGCTGTATATGTTTACCGAAGCTGCTGGGCTTGCCTCAGGATGTGTTCTGGGCAGCTGAGGGCCCAGAGGGGCCTAGAGGAGGGTGAGGTCAGGACTGCTCCTTCTCTGCCTGGTGCCCCTCCTGCTGGCCCCTCTTTGTGTGGGTCCTGGGCACCATAGCCTGCTCTTCCTACCTGCCTCTGTCTGGCTTACCTTCTACTCCAGGGATCCTGGCCACTCAAAGGGTGGTGGGCACTGCTGTGCCCACCCCTGGCTGCAGAGTCAGGGTCCAGGGGAAAGAAGGCAGTCAAAGCCCCTGTCCTCTGAGCGCCCCACCCAACCCCTTTATGTGATCCCACCATGCCTAGGCAGTTCTGGGCCCTGGGGTCTGAAACCAAACACACCTCTGTTCCCTAACCCCTTCTTGCTGGCCTGGATCCTTCCTGGGATCTGGGCTTTCTCCCCGTCCCTATGTCCTGTTGGTAGGAAGTGGGGCCAACAGCAGGGCATTGTTGGATTTGGCTGGAGACCAGCCAAATCCTGGTCCAGGAGGGCCAGGGCACAGGGGCTGGCCCAGTTTAGCTAGAGGCCCCCATAGGAGTTCCCTATGGGTTTGGGAAACAGTTGGGGAGGTGGGAACCCAGCCTTTCCCCCAGGCAGGGGTGGGGGAGGTTGTGCATGCTAGTGCCAGGCGTGTGTATGCATGTGCATGAATGTGCACCGCTCCTGAAGATGGGGCTGCCCTGCCCTGCCCACCCTCCTGCCTGCTGCCCCTCCTAGCCTGCCAAGAAGCAGTCCTCCAGCCTCAAGTGGGCCTGGGAGGTGGGGCCACAGGGCAAACCCTGTTATTGGGGTGTGCAGGCGAGCTGACTGCCCGCTTGTGCCTTTGTCTCCTCGGAGGCATGGTCCCTACCCCTTTGGTCCCACTCACAGCCTCAGTGGGTTGCCTAGGCCTCCTCAACCAAGAACCCAATCTCATGATCACTGGTATGAGACCTGGGAGCTGGGCCTCCCCTCACTCTCTGTGACTCCCACCCTCGCCAGACTCCAGGCCACCCTGCACCTGCTGAGGCAGAGCCTCAGCCCAGCACAGAAGTGAGACAAAAATCAGTGGTTCCTAGAACTTAAAAAAATGAGATAAAAATCTCAGAGGGAAGTTCCAGTGAGCACTCTAACCAGCGGCAAGGAGACACTTGGGTCTGGCCTTTTAATTCCTCCTCTGCCAGGGTGGGTCTGGGGACCTCTAGGGTGGGTATCCTTCCCATGCCCAGGACTGAGCCATCAGGGACAGACCTCCCACCCCCAAGGCTGCAGCCACACTGGGTTACAGGCTTGGGGCTGGGACAGGCTTGGACTCAGCCCTGGACCCCCAGGGTCAACCCACCCCTCACCTGCCCATTCCCTGCCTAGGCCCTGAAGGATGGGCCTGCTGCACGTCTCCCTCCTCCTGCCCATGCCACATCTGGGGGGGTCTGAGCCACCCCCCTCAGCCCAGCTCGGCTCAGACCGACCCCCACACTGTCCCCCAGACCCGCAGCACAAGCTCTCCCAGCCGTGCGCTGGCCTGTCCTCCCAGGGACCTGGGCGACCTCCATATGCAATCGGTAGTGAGCAGCCGGCCGCATAGACCCTCTCGCACTCTTTACGTGCCATTCTCCCATGACTTTTTTGTACTTAATGTATGAAAGATCCACACTAATATTGCTGTAAAAAAGAGAGACAGATTAATATAGCTTATTCTATAAATATATCTGTATATAAAGGTTTCTGTATATTGTATAGAGCTGTGTATAAATTGAATGTAGAAGCACTCCTGCTGCCTCAAGTGATCTCTCTTCTCATACAGGGGGACAAGGATGGAGGAACTTGCTGCTAGGGTCACAGCACAGTGGGTGGACAGCACCTATGTGACTAATCCCTGGACAGAGCAGAAAGCCTAAGGGGGAAACTAAGGTTCCTTGGGTCCAAGCCTGAGCTTCCCTCAAAAGACACAAGATTTGTTTGGGTGGGTTACGTACAGCCCAGTCTGTGGCTAAAAGTTGGGTTTGAACTGTGTGGCTCCAAGTTTGCACAATTCCCTGGGTCTTGTAAAATGTGGGTGCTAGTTTGGTGGATTGGGGTGGGGCTGAAAGCCTGCATGTCTTGCTTGCTCGGGCTCCGCCAGTGTCCAGGCCCAGGACCACAGTGTGAGTTGCACCGAGCCAGCATAAGATTTTCAAAGTCCTGTGTGCACGGGGTCAGTCATATGGGTTCAGCCTGTTTGAGATGTACCAGGGCATTCATATCCACCTATCATGACCTTGCAAGATGTCGGTGGTTAGCCACCCCTTCCCCCCGAGGGGCCTGGGGCTCAGAGGGAGTTAGTAGGCCGACCAAGCCTTAAGAATCAGAGTTTTGGGTACCAGACTGGTCTGATGGTGGCCACTCAGACCTGGTGGGGACCCAAGCAGGATAGCGCTAAAATGCAGGGCCACTAGAAGTTTTGCTAATTGCCACTTCTGCACAGCAGGGGGCGCTGTTCCTCCAACCAGTCACATGGTGACCTGCAAAGCTTGACCAGGCACTGGCCCAGCCAAGTGTCAACCTCACTTTCCTTTTCTCCACTCAACCACTTCCCCACCCAAATTCCAGAGTGATACCGCAGCTAGGGAGATGAGCTAGGAAAGGGTGACAGGACAGTGCTCTTGGCCTTGGAGCCTGCCTTCTGAGGAAACAGCTTGCTCTAGTTCACAGAGGAAGTGGAAACAGTCCTGAGGTCAGAATCCAGGCCTCCCAGCCTAGGACTCTGGTCCTGTCCCCCACCTAATGGTTTCAGAGGTTCTCCCTTGTCTCATTTGTTTGCAAATTATCCTACCCCTGGTGAGAAGACTTGCAGAGCGAATAGGACTAGAGAGGTTCGGTGGCTTCCCCAGGGTCACACAGCACAGATGGGCACCCATCTCTGTGGATGGGGCCCCTCGAGGTCCTGGTACACAGACCTTCCTGGACTTCTTCACCGGCCCCAGAGCCACCCTGCCCAGCCTGCCTCAGGTGGCTTTGGGCCTCATGGTGGCTGAGACCTTGAGTCTGGGCTGAACCTTGGAGTCTGAGATAGTTCAGCCTCCCTGCTTCCCCATATCAGGCATGAAAACCCCTGTGGACAGTTGCTTCTTTGCTCAGTGACCTAGTGGGATCAGGGGAGGTGACATAGCCTGAGGCCCTCTAGCCAGACCAATTCCCATGGGATTAACAGAGGATCGCATCCTGGCAGGTCCAACTACAAAGCCACCTAGAGATGGAACAACCTAACATCTTAACAATGAGGTGAGATGTCGGGGACAATTAGGCGTCTCCCGCACACCCCCAGCCCCAATGACAGGGACAAGTGCAATGCTTAACTTGTCATTGCTCCTGGATGGGGAGGAAAGACCTGTGGGTGGGGGAAGTCTCACAGGGAGAAAATAAATTCATCCTAAAAATCGCATGGTGCAGCCGGGTGTCCACTTTGTCTGTAAGCAGTCCTGACCCTGGGGGGAGGAGGGGCCAGAGCGGAGAATAACAATTGTCTTAGGGGAGTCTACAGAGGGGGCAAACCTCTCTGGGGGTGCAATCATGGAAAAGAATAGGCGACTCAGTGTGGCCCTCTCCCCTCTGGGACCAGCCCCGTGGGGAAGGGGGAGGGCAGTCAGTACACACAGCTGGGCCTCCAGCAAAATCTCATTCTATATACCTAAGAGCAACAGCTCCGAGAGCGGCCCCCAGAGGGACAAAACCTCATTGTGAGGCGCCCGCCGGCCTGGCCACCCCCTCCCCCAAGCCCAGAACTGTTGTGGCATTGACCCTCCTCGGCGGGCCACCATGGGCCTGCTGACTGGGCCACATCTGGGGCTCAGGCACCGGCTGCCCCTCCCCCATGGCTGGCCACTGAGGAGGGGAGGAGGGAGGGAGGGAGGGGGGTAGGAGCAGCTAGCTCATTAGGATCTCACCCAGCCCCCTGCACTGGCGGGTTTGTGCCCCACCCTCCTTTGGGGGCCACTGCCTGTCAGAGCAGAGTCTCCACCCCTCTGGGCCTCGGTTTTGTCTTCTGCCAAGCAGTGGTGAGGTGGGGTGGGTCTTTCCAGTTTTGACTTGTTGTGTCTAAGGGTCCTGAGAGGCCATGATGCATTGAGCCGCTCCCTAGCAGGATGATTCCCTGGGTCTCAATTCTAGAACTCTGCTCCAAACTTTAAGCATTCTAGGATTCTGCAGTTTGCAGGTGCCATCGTCCATTCATTGAACATCTATTTATTGAGTACCTGCTGTATGCCAGGTAGTGTTTTCTTGGTGTTGAACCATAGCAGTGACCAAGACAGAAAAATCTCTTGCCCTCACTAGAGTGAGAAGGATAACAGAAACTAAATTTTAAAATCTTCTACATGGTGAGAAAGGCCTAGGTGGGAAAGGTCAAAATAGAGGGAAATGCTGTAGGTAGGATGCTCAGAGAGACCTGTGAGCTGAGACTTGATTCCTGAGAAGGAACCAGCCATATGAAGATAAGCATTGTAGACAGATGAAATAGCGTGTGCCAAGGCCCTGGGGCATGTGTGGGCCTGGCATGTTTGGGTGATGGCAAGGAGGACTTGGCAGCAATGATTTCTAGAGAGAAAGTGGGCAGTAGAGAGAATAGTGGGAGCTGAAGTTAGTGGTTCAGGCAGGGGCGGAGCATCCAAAGCTTAGGAAATCAGGGCAAGAGGTTTAGATGTCTGAGTGCAAAGGGAAACCACTGGTTTTAGCAAAGGAATGATATGATCTGATTTATGCTTTACAAAGAGTGATTGTGAGGGCTGTAGAGGGGTCAGTGAGGAGAGAGGCCATGGTCAGGCAGGAGGGAGGAGAGGTGGCACTCAGAAGGCACAGGCAGGAGACAATGACAGTGACTTTACACACACTTGCCTGTAACCTTCAGGTCTGGCTTTACCAGGCAGGACGGCAGGGAATGGGAATGCTGATTTCTGAGTCAGCCAGGATTTGCCTCTGAACCCTACTGACCTTGAACTCTTAGATCTGCATTGTCCAATTCGATAACCACATGTGACTATTAAAACACTAAAATTAATCAAAATTGGAAACAGTGCCTCAGTTAAGAGCCACATTCCAAGTGCTCAGTGGTCACTGCGGCTGGTCACTACCCTATTGGACAGCACAGAGAACATTTCTATCAGTCCAGAAGTTCTATAGGACAGTGCTTCCCAGGACAGGACTTAATCTCATTAGGCCTTAGTTTACTCTCCTATAAAGTGTAGGTAATAACAGTACCTCCTTGGCAGGTGCCTGTGCGGACCGAGGTACTGTCCGCAGGGTGGTCAGTGCAGGGTGGACATTACAAATACTCAATAAGCCCACAGTGCTACTGCTGAAATGGGAGTGGGTAGGAATGGGGGCTCTGTCTTAGTTTTGGTTCTGAAAATCTCAGATTCAGAATCCTGAAACCTTGCTCTGCCCAAGGAGAGGGCAAGAAACCTCAGTCCCCTGCCACCCTGGCCAAGCCCGCGCCCACACCCCCAAACCCCCCGGCAAGACCCAGGGCCCAGCGCCGCCTGGAGGCGACGCCGCGTTCTGCTGCGCGGACCTGCCGGCAGGGGGCGCTGTGCGCGGCGGGCGGGGCGCGGGGCGCGGGGCGCGGGGCGGGCCGGGGCCGGGGCCGGGGCCGGGCCAGGGCTGCGGGGGGCGAGCGCGCGGCTAGCCGGGCGGGACCGCAGCCGGAGCCGAGCTGGGACTACCGCGCGGGCCGCGCCGGCGATGCCGCGCCCCCGGGCCGGGCTGTAGCGGGGCCGCGGCCGGAGCGCGCGCGGGGCAGGCGGGACATGGAGGTGGTGGACGAGACCGAGGCGCTGCAGCGCTTCTTCGAAGGTGAGAGAGACCGCGGGCTAGCGGGTCGGCGACCATCCTGCGCGATCAGCCGGCCCATCTCCCCGGGGACCAGGACTTTCCACTGGGTTCTAACCACGCCAGGACCTCTAGAACGCCTCCTCTGTCAGGGTCTTCCTCCAGGTTGGCACCAATCAGCGGTGCGTGGCTGCCAGCGCTAAGGGGCTCGTGGAGGTTACTACTGACCTCCACTGGACTGGGCTCCCTCTGCCCACCCACCCACACGCAGTTTCTTTGGGGTTGTGTCCCCTTCCAGGCTTGGTTCTTCTTTCAGGCTTCCAGGACCCTCAGACCCCCTAAGTGGTGACACTTGTCAAGTCTGGGAACCCTCTACCCTGGAACTCCATCCACGCAAGAGGCCCCCCACCCCAGCACACCTTCTAGGACCTACCTCTTATGACCCAGACCCAGTGCCCCATCTTCTAGAGACCATTCCTTTCAGGTTTGTGGCCTCCCCTCAGCCTGACTCCTAAAAGCTGGGACCTCCCCACTGTGCTTCCCCAAGACTAGGACCCCTTTCAGACTGAGACTCCCTTTGAGACCATCACCTGCCTTGGGCAATGCTGGTTCCTCTCCCAGGGCTGAAACTCCCCTTGAAGCAGCTGCTCCTCCCCTACATGGGGCTAGACCCCTTCCCTACAGATGGGACCTTTTTGAAGCTGGTTTCCCCACCAGCAGCCACCTCTGCTCTTGGAAACCCCTCAGTGCCGTGAACTCCCCAACACCTGGAACTGCCTCTTCCTACACGAGTAACCTTGTCTCCTTGCCTTGACCTGAAAGGACCCTCCCCTGGGTGGGATCTACTCATACCCCACCATATTTCCTTCACCGCACCCCCACATCAGTTTTAGAGGTCTGCTCCTATGCCTAACCACCTCCCCAGCTTCCTCCAGGGTTGCCCCTCCTTCCTGAGTGCCCCAGTTCAGGAGGGAGGAAACGGGATGGGAGGGGGAGGGGAGGTGCAGGCAGAAGTCTCTCAGCCCACTAGGCTTCTCAGACCCTGAATGGAATATTGAGCCAGGCCCACTGGTTCCTTTTGTGTCACTCTGTATCTAATCTTGGGGATACCAGCTCCTACCCGACCCTCTTCCCCATCCTACTCCTCAGCGCACGAAGAGCCTTTCATGAGTTGAACCTGCTCTAGGCCTGCAGAGCTGGGACTGACTGCCAGCCTGGTGGAAATTGAGGCCCAAATTTCAAGCCCAGTCCTCCATTCTCTTGGGAGTCTCCTGGGCAAAAGAGAAAGCTTTTTTCTACCCCAGTTTCTCTCTGTGTGACTTGGAGGGTGGCAGGAACCTTTGTCCACTCATACTTGTTGAGTAGCCCAGGCAAGGGCATCCTCAAACGTCAGCCATCCTGCTTCAAGGTACTAGACACCCTGGCTGACCTAGGCCCCAAGAGACCAGGCTTGGACTGTGTTAAATGGCAGATCTTGAGGCAAATGGGCCATTTGAGTGTGCTAGGCAGCCCCCCCACCCCCACCAATCCCAGGGACTCTCATTCTCATCCTCTGTTTGCTCTCCGGGGGGCCTTTGGGGATTAGGGTCCCCAGGCAGAAGAGAAGAGATGCTGGTCCTTGAGGGGGGTGGTACTGATCCAGGGGTGCCTTGTGCCTGCTAGGGTAGGTCCCCTTGATTCCCAACGATATTCCTATGCCTCCTCCCTTGGACCTGAGCCCTGGGCAGAGGGGTGGACCTGGCTGGCCTGGCTCCCTGTTCCTGAGCCAAACCTTCCCTCCTGGCCTGGGGGCGGTGGGGGGGGGGGTGGGCAGCGCTGACGCCACGGCTCAGCCATGCGGCTGCCTGGTGGGGAGGCAGTACTGCTCCCTCCAGAGAGATAAGAGGAGACTCAAGAATGTCTGTGGGGAGCAGGGCGGGGTATGAGGCTGGCCGCCCAGGAGCGCCAGGCTGGAGAAGTCTCCCGGAGCCTGAGATGGGAGGGAGGGTGGGTGGGCAATGAGGGTCAGTCCCTGGGAGGGGGAAAACCAAACCCCACAGAGAATCAGGGAATTGGGCTGACGGTGGTAGGGAGGGGTGCCAGGGTGGGATGCAGGGAGTGAGGATAGGGCCCTTGTGCTCAAAAGCCTGAATGAGGCAGGATGAGATGAGGGAGCTGGAAGCTGGGCTTTGTGTGTATGAATGTCATTCTCAAGCTCAATGGGGAGACATGTTTTCTCACACCCAGGGCTGGGGACACTTGAGTCCTCATCCTGGTCCCCCTGTGGTCTCTGTAACTTTTGGACAGTGGGCAAAGGGCTTCATGCTTTTGGCTGTGGGCTGGGAGGCTGGAAGGATTTTGCCTAAGGGGCTGCCATGTCAAAGCTCCCCTCCTCTGCTGAATGTGATGCCCACTCCCTCAGAATACTGACACATGGTCTGGTCCTGTTCTGGGCAGGTGGTGGGACTGGGGGCTAAGGCGCTTTGGGCCTCTGGTGGGAGGCTGGGACAGGGCGGCCCCCTCCAGGCTGGTACAGCCAGGCCCCCGTGACGCCCAGCTAATCCCCTCAAAAGAGGCAACAGCAGCCTAGATCAGTAGGCACAGGGCCTTAGAGAGAAGACCTGCAGGCAGGATGCATTGGCTCCCAGCAGGTAACTGGTGGTGGGGCAGGTGTGCTTCCCATCACCTGACTGGCTGGGATTTTGGCCTCCCAGCGCCAGGACAGAGGTGGGGCAGGGCAGCATCAGAACATTAGGCCAACACCTCAGAAGTTCTGGTGAGAGTTGGGCCATGGAGGCTGTGGAACCCTGGGCAGAGCCCTTGTGTTCTTGGGGCCTCTTTTCCTCACCTGCAAGACAGGAGCTGATGGCACAAGAGGTTTTCACAGTGCCTTCAGCTATGATGAGTCTCCTCTTCCAGTTCTGGGAAGAAGGGATATTTTAGAGTATGATGGCTAAACCTGGAAGGGGTTGGTGCTGGCCTCTGATTCTCAGGGTACAGGAGGCAGTCACTGCCCCCAGAAAGCAGGTAAAGTGTGGAGGAGGACTTAAGAGGCTTAAGGGAATAGAGCTTCCAGCGGGTGCTAAACTGAGAGTTTGGGGACTTCCAGCCTCTGGAGCCTCATGTGCTGGAGTGGGAAGCCTGGGTCTCCCCTGAGCTTTTGAGGGTCTCCACACAGCTTCTAGAGCCCACAAGGGCTAGAGGGGGAGCTAGTGTTTCCACTGAAGATTTGGGGGCCTCCTTTCAGCCTCTAGAGCCGGGGTGGACAGGGAGACCTGGGTTTCGCTCCTGCTGAGCATGATGGACGAGCTGGGCTGGCAGTTCCTTCTCCGGCCTCAGTTCCCCTCTAGAGTGTACATTGGCTGGACCAAAGCAGGGCTTCTAATGCAGTTATTTTCAGCTGTCAAAGACCAACCCATGGCCTTTGATAGGACATACAAGGTGGACAAAGTGGAACTGGACTCCCCATAGCCCCAGAGCACCAGAATCTGGGTTTGAGACACCCCATGGCTTGGGATGGAAAGAGAAAGGATATGGCATTGAGCTCTTTCCCAGAGTCCAAGAGCGAGGGGGGTCCAAGACTAAAGGGGTTAGTTAGCCAGTTGGTCAGTGCTGACCCGGTGCCCAGCTCTCTCCTCTGCCATCGGGGCCCTGGTGAGAGGGGTTACCTGTAGGGGAAAGCATCTTTGCCACCCCGCCCCCAGGTCAGGAGCCTCAGGTGGAGGCTACCTGGTGATTTAGAAGAAAGGATCGCACCGGCATGGCAGTGTGGGCTGAGGTGGGCTGTGTGTTGGTGGTGGCTATGTGACTGTGTCAGCCTGTCTGTCTGAAGGTAGTAGTGGGGAGGAAGTGGAGGCTTCTTCAGCCCTGACTCCTACAGAGATGGAATGAGGGGCCTCTTGCCTCCTACAGGACTTCTGTACAGCTCCAATCCATGAGCAGACTGCCAGATCCAGGGCCTGGGGAGGGGAGATGATAAGAGGGGGGGTCTCATCCCCTGTCCCCATACCCAGCTCAGAGCCACACCTTGGAAGGTGGGCAGGAAATGTTCCCGGCCAATGGAGGCCACAATCGGTATGTGAACAGAAGTGGTGGCGGAGGCGCATCATCAGAAGAGATTCTCTGGGGTCCGTGTAGGGGTCAGGAGCAGTGTCACCAGACCCCTGCCTTTGGGCCTCTCCTGAGTCTGAGGGGGGTGCACAGAGTGCTCCTTGGGGGTCTTAGGCATAACCAAGGAGGCTGTTTGGGTACAGACAGACTACTCTAAGCAGAATGACCTCTCCCTGGGGACACGCCTCTCCTAATTCCCAAGGGGTTACAGCACTGGGTGGGGGTGGGAGCCTAGAGGCAGGGCTGCTGGGTAACAGCCCAGCAGGGATGCTGATTGGCTGATATCCTTGGACTTTGCCCTCCTCGATAAGGACTGGGCAGAAATTATTAACTGAATTATTAACTGGAGTAGCCCCGCCCTGCCCTGGCAGCCTCCCCTGATTTTCATGTTCTTCCTCCTCCTCAAAGCCTAGCCCACTCCTCTGAACCTCAGTTTCCCTTAGTGGAATGACTCCTCTCCCATCTCAAGGCCACCAGCCCCTGCTGTCACTGAGTGGGGTTGGCTTATTGGCAATGTGGGGGGGGGGTAACAGGGAATGATGTAATGGTTTTGCACATTTGCTGAGTGGGCAGAGGGGCTACTGCTACCTCTGCTGCTTACCGGTGGTTCCTCTCAGGCATGTCTCTATCATTCACTGTGCTCTCTGTCTCATCTGTAAAATAGAAACACAACTGTAGTACTCTTCTGTGGTTACCTCCAAGGGTTTCTGTGGGACTGGGTAGGACAGAGCCTGAAAAGGGCCTGGCCCAGTGCCTGGCCTGGTTACCACTCCATAAATGTCAGCCTCCACTTGATCAGTAGCCCACAGGCACGCACAGCCTAGTCCATAGGCCCAGGGCAGGTGTTACATGCCTACCTTGATGATTATTGGCCCACAGAGTAGGTTGATACCCCCTAACTTGGACCAGGGCCTTGTAGTTGCACTGTGTGCACCCTCTCTTGACTTCTCATTCCAGGGGTGAGTGCATTCTGTCTGCAGGGGCCTGTACCATGGCAGATCTGGTCCCTCCTGGTCCTGGTCCCTGTACATCAGTTGGGACTGTTCCACTCTCCGTCCTAGAGATGTGGAACTTGTCCCCATGGAACAGGGCACTCTCTGCATATGTTGTCTTCTGGAGTCCTAGGCACACTGGGAGGGGAGAGCTGAGGTGGGAGAAGAAAGTGATGGATCAGACTCACTCAGGGTGGCTACAGCTGAGTTGGGGCAGGATGTGGGACAACAGTTGGGTGCCAGCCCTGGGCAGGCAGGGAAGGCAGCCTCCCATTGCACACTGAAGGGTCTGACCCACTGGTGATGGCCATGCTATGTGATGTCGTCCAGCCCCTGGCTTCTCTAGACCTCAGGACCCTCATTCACATGGTCAAGGCTGTGTGATGTGAGTAGAGAGACCCCAAAAGTGCCAAGTCCTGCAGTGGGATGGGAGGAAGAATATGGATCAGTGGGCAGCTGAGTTCAGAGCCCCCACTGGCCTGGAGGCTGGACATCCTGTCCTTGTCCCAGGAGTTTTGTCTCCCATCTGCCTCCCGGTTGGGGGCCAGTGACCTGAGAAGGGGAGTATCTCATCTCTGCCCTGGTAGCTCGGAGGGTAGGGGGAGAAGGGAGTGCTGCCTTTTGTGAGGGTTGCACCTATGACATGAGTTTGCTCAGTTGGATCTGGTTCCAGCTGGAGCTGAGGGAGGGTCTGACTGCAGCCGGTGGAGAGAGGGATTGAAGGGAAGAAGAGGGGAGAAGCTTTTCCTGACCGGCCCTGACCCACACATATGAAGTCCTGCCTGGGAAGGGTAGTGGCTGGGGCCTGCTCTAGGGCCAGTTTCATTTGAACACGCATGTCTTGCCGTGATTGCCAGTATATACATGCTTATATACCTCAGGCTTTTGTCCTCACCAACCTGACCCCTCTAAAATGCCATGGATTTTACTGACCTGTCTTGTCATCTGACTCTGATCCCTAGATTTTCAGCTCCATGTGGGCCAAGGGTTTTGTTTACTGCTTGACACTTAATGTACATTTGATGAAAACTTCCTGAATGAATGGTGAAGTCCACCTGGGGCATGCTGGTGTGCACTGTGTGTGGACTTGTTGGAGTATGCATGTGTATTGGAGTGTGCCAGGGGAAGGATGTGCTCATGTGTTAACACAGATAGGCAGGGGTAACTCTACTGGAGTCCTGTCCCCACTCCAAACTGCAGGTCTTTATGGCAGCAGGTGTGGCCTGCTTGCCTTGGTACCTGTGGGAGAGGGTCAGAGGCACTGGCTGGAGCTAAGCTGGCCCTGTGAATTTGAGCTGGGGGCTCCCAGAACAAATTGTAGGTCCCTGGGAACAGCACCGGTTCCCTAAGAACAGGCCATAGGTGCAGGCCTCAGTTTTTCTGGACCTGACTTGGGAGTATGTTGGGGCTGTGAGTTCATTTTTTGTTGTCCTAAAGACAGGGTGGCCTCCCCATGGGGACCAGAGGAGAACGTGACCATAGCCCAGATATGGGCTCTTCCTCTGGAAGAGAGGGTCTCCACAGGCAGGCTGTGGGGCTTTTCTGTATTTCTGGTGAGAAATTAGAAAGAAACAGGCAACTGTGACTTAGATTTAAGGACCTGGTGTAACAGTGACCTGAGAGTCATATCTTTGTCAGATGTGGCTGTTGGGCCCAAGCTAACTGAGAGCTTGGTGCAGGGTGCAAAGCGTTGCTTGCATAATCAAGTATCCAACCTAAAAGTATTTGAATGAAAAGGCTTTGGTCACAAGTTGAAGCCTGAAAAAACAGAGCCAGTTAACAGATTATATTAATAAAGATAGAAAGTCCAGATCAGAGTTTGTTGTAGCTGGGTTAATGCTGGGAGACAAGCCACAAGCAGGTTGTCTGTGACTGGGTGATTGGGGCGGGTTTGCCTGGGCAGGTAGGAGGCAAGCATAGAAGACTTTACCCACTCGAGGATGGGGGATAGCCGGGGCCACGCCTAGAGGCTGGGGTAGCAGTATAGTATGGGCCATGTCTAAAGGGACTTAGGACAAATATGAACCCTCGGAGGCCCCAGAGGCTCCCTGGAACAGGTGTGTGGGAAAGCAGAGAGGTGTGGGTAGAACCACACAACCTCAGGCAGAGGCGTGATGTTGGGGAAGGCTTGTGGCCTCCTAGGGATCACTTGCTTTGGGCTTGGGACCACCACATGAGGCAGGGGTTCATGCTCCATTTGACAGAGAAGGAAGCTGAGGCTCGGGGTGCTCAGATGAGGATGCTAGGTGGGCAGTGCTTGACCACCAGCTACTGCCTAGAGCTAGGGCACCCTCAGACTCGGACACCTTGGGTGATCACTCAGGAGACAGGCTTCTGTCCTTCTGCCCTGTCCACCCCAAGTTCAGATCTACTAGTCTTGGCTAGCATCCTCAGGTCCTAGCCCACCCTGTCCACAGCCACGTGGCTGACGAGATTTCCGCCATGTTTGGGGCATGAATTGACAAGTGCCCCATTGACGGGGCAAGGGAGGGGGTGGGCAGGGCACAAGCCTCCCACTGTGCCATGTCCCCACCCTCCCCCGTCCCCAGGGACAATGGCCGAGACTCAGCCAGCAGTCACAGCTGGTGGTGGTGGGGGTGAGCACGAGGAGGGGTGAAGGGAGGGGTCCAGTGTGGAGGGAACACCTGGGTCCCCGCCTGCTTGGGTCCTGCACCTGGCTTGGCTCTCCTGAGCAACCCTCCTGCCCATCTGGGTGGTCTTAAAAGGAGTAAGAGAGAGGGAAAGGGTCGTTTTCCAACCTGCCTGAGAAGCAGCAGCAGCTGGCTCCTGTTCCAAGCAGGTAATAAAGGGCCTAATTAGTGTGGAGCAGCTGGAGCTCAGCTGTGCAGGATAGGGCAGGACCTAGAGGGGCCCTGTTTAGGTCTGGACCCCAAGTCCAGCATGATCTGCCTGAGGTCCCTGGGCCCAGCAGGACTGCTTCCAGTCCCCAGCTTGTCACTTTGCAAATTCATTCTCTGGATATTCATTGCATGCCTACTACTGTGTGCTAGGAAACTTGTAGCCCAGAGAGACAGAAGGCATATTCCAGCTCTTGCCCCTGGAAGCGAAGGGCGGAGTAACTACCCTCAGTCTCAGTTTCCTCATCTGTAAAATGGAGAAGAAAGAAGCCTCCTGCCTCCAGGAGAGCTGCTAGAGAATTAAATATGAACTACGTAAAGGGCATGGGTGGATGTGGGCATACTGGCCACAAGGTGAGGGAGCTATAGGCACTCACCTTCCGCAGGGAGATGCATACTGGGCAGGCAAGCAGAGAGCCTGATGAGAAAGTAGAATGGGGGCCCAGGGGACAGTCAGAGGGGCTTCCTAGGGATATTTATGTTTAACCAGAAACCTGAGAGGAAACAGAAATCTGCTTTCTGTGGCATGTGGAAAGGCCCTGTTGTGGGTGTAGTGTTTGTCCTGAGATAGGAAAGAGACAGGGACTGGACCCTGGAGAGTTGCACAGAGGCGAACTGGGGCAGGAGGAGGCTGTGTCAGATGCTGGTTGGTGACCTTGAGGTGCCACTTTCTGGTCGTGAGTGCCCAGCCCACTCATCCCAAGGGGGATGATGTCTTAAGGATCAGGTAAGACACATGTTCCACTCTGAGCCTCCTGCTTACAAGTGTCCCACATGGGGACCTGATGATGCTCTAGGACTCTTGGCAATGATGGGGAACAGCACCCCAAGAGTGTACCACGGGGATTCTGCCCCTTCCTGGGTTCCTAGAGGCTCTACTCCAGCCTCTGGATCCCTGGACTCCAGCCTCCATTGTGGTTCATGGGACAGGCTGGGGGCCTCTGGCTGGTAGCTGGCCCAGTCAGGCTGGGTAGCATGGGGAGATGAGGCAGGCTTCTGGGGCTTCCAGAGAGAAAAAGGTGGGGGTCGGCATGCTTTGAGAGGCCCTCCAACTTCTCCCCCAGCCCTGGGCCCACCCCCATCCTGCCATCAGCCCCCTGCTCCCCCCTCCGTCCTCCCGGCCCCTGGCACGGAGGGTCCCTCCTCCTACCAGCCACATCTGTTTCTTGTTAGGGTCTCCCAGGATGCCTCTGCTTGAGGCCCCTGTCCCGGGGGAGGTGGGCAGGAGGATTAGGGGCGATTAGGAGTGCTCCTGGCCAGGGGAGGAGGAGCAGGAGAGGAGGGTTGGGCCCGTTATAAATAGCAGCACCATGACTGCAACAGCCCATCATTCACCATAGATTCCAAGTTCAGTCTCAAGAACCTGCAGCTTCAGCAGGCGGGGTCAGGGAAGGCACCAATCCCTCCTTCCTCCCCACTGGGCTTGATCCTCTCTCAGGAACCTTCCAGTCTGTCAGATGGGGCAGCCCCTGTGGGTGGGGCAGGGGTGGGAAGCACAGCCACATGGCCACACCTTCCTCCCTGGAGTCAGATCCTGCACCTGGGTTTGACTCTTCCTTCCTTGCTGTGTTGTCTTGGGTGATACTTGACTTCTCTGAACCGTGGAGATGGAAATAATAACCCCAAGTTCATGGGGGTGACTGGGATGTAAAGTACATAAAGTGCTTAGAATTGTGCCGGACTAGGAGGGATTCAGTCAGTAGGAGCCCGTCAGTGTCACCATTATTGTTATCGTCACATTTATGATTTGTGATCTGGTAGGTACTCCGCATCTGCCATCAGCACCAATGTCACTTTCTTTGTCACAAATAGCCCATGTAGAGCCTGCAGAATGCCTTACACGTAATAAACTCTCAATGAGCTTGTGGCACAAAAAGTGTGTGGCACATAGCTGGCGCTCAGTAAATGGGAACTGAGGTTAACAGGGAAGGATGGGGTAGGGCTGGAACCTAAGTGTGCAGACTAGTCCTTCCCTGTCCCACAGGGCATGGATGCCCATTGGTCCTGCGTGGTGGGTCCTTGGTTGCCAGCTGGGTGAGTCGGGTGGGGGTCAGCAGGAGGGCCTGGCTTGTCGCAGACTGCGCGTGATTCCTAGGAGGGCTTAGCTGCTCATTAATCACCTAAGTGAGGCTCAGCATTCTTGAAATGCCGGCTGAGGCCAGGGAGGGCCCTGGGCTGGGGGCTCTGGGACCCCTGGACTCTGGGAGCTGGGAAGCGAGGACAACTGCTCCATTTGTAGAGCTCCCACTGTGTGCTGGGGATTGCACAGACCTTATCTGCTCTAAGAAACGGTAGCTGCCCATGTTCCCATTTTACTAATGAGGTGACTGAGGCTCAGAGAGTTTGGCTTGACCCCGCCCCAGGTCACTCAACAAGGAGTGGCTGAGCTGGGGTTTGTTCCTGGCCTATCTGAGCTCTGTTCTCAGGGCTCACCAGGGAAGGGGACATAAGGTGCAGACCCCAGACAGGTGTGGAAGGGGCCTCTGCCTCAGTGGGTATTGCCAGCCCAGGTCAGCAGCGTGGGTGGGGCAGTCCTCCATTATCAAGGATGACGCATCTCCCACGTCAGCCCCCTTATCACCCCTCCCTCCAGCTCCCCCTGCAAGGTGACCCTGGGAGAAGGCCAGCACCACCCACTCTCCTCCCTCAGGATGCCCAGGAGCCCTAGGTCGTCTTTTCTGAGTCCCTCCCTGTCAAGGGCCGGGGCCAGTAGGGAAGGCCCAAGAGAGGGAGGCATGTGAGTGGGTAGAGGAATAGAGCTCTGACTGACATCACTCTGTGATCTAGGCCTCTACCTCCTCTGGAAAGCAGGGCCTGGGGCAGTGAGCCTCGCCACCAGAGGGGGTCCCCACTCCTCCCTGCAGCTGGGAGGAGTGTTGCAGTGGCTTCTCCACTCCCTGGGTCCCCAGGATATGTGCCCCTGCCTGCCCAGGCCTTGTGCCTTCCCAGCTGGGCCACCTGGAACTGATCACAGGAGTACAGGGCAGGACAGTTTGTGCTGGATCTGAGCTGGCCAGTGTGATGGGATCTCACTTGTTCCTCAAGGTACCTTGAAAAACCTAGGGACCAGAGATTTGAAATATTGATGAGCGAGAGGACCTTGTGCCTGCCACACAGCTGGAAAGGAGTGTAAAGGGACAACAGGGGTCTCTCTGTCCCCAGATCTATGCTGTAGGGCTGCCCACCTCCTGCTAGCTTGAAGGTGGACTTGTGGGCTGGGGGAGGTGGTTTCCTGAAGAGGTGTTGGAGGGTGGACAGAGAAGGACCCCTGGATACAGATGGAGAGGAGCAAGGACGTAGGTTTCAGCCTGCGGAGGCAGGGAGGGCTGGGCATGAGTTTTGGGGGGCTGTGGGGAGCCGCTCCCAGACCAGTTCCCCCTGTCCTATAGGCCATGACATCAGCGGTGCCCTGGAGCCTTCCAACATCGACACCAGCATCCTGGAAGAGTATATTGGCAAGGAGGATGCCTCGGACCTGTGAGTTGCCCTTGCCAGCCACTGGCCCCTGTTCCCTGGCAGGCCCTGAGGCTGACATGTCCTGTCCTGACAGCTGCTCCTCATCCTGTCCTGATGCTGACTTCTGGGCCCTCTGAATAGTTCCCTGCGGGAGGCTGGGGTGGGGATCTTCCCCTTGAGCCTGGGAGCTGAACCTCCTCCCTTCCCCACAGCTGCTTTCCTGATATTGCTACTCCAGCCAGTGCAGCCTCCTTTCCACATGGGCCGCTGGCCATCCCCGGCTCCAGTGGGCTCCACCACCTGAGTTCCCCTGGAAGTGGACCCTCCCCAGGGCGCCATGGCCCCCTCCCTCCCCCAAGCTATGGTGCCCCACTCAACTGCAACAACAACAACGGCATGGGTGCTGCTCCCAAACCCTTCCTGGGGGGCTCTGGGCCCCCCATCAAGGCTGAGCCCAAGGCTCCCTATGCCCCAGGGTGAGTGAGGGCAGGGAACGGGTGGGGACAAAATGCAGGGACACAGCAGCCTATGATCTGGAGGCAAGAAGGGCCTAGGTGATGGGCTGTCCTGTGGATAGGTCAGTGAAGGGGGGATGCCAGGCTGAAGGGGGACCATGGGCTTTGTTCTGAGATAGTGGACAGCCCAGGGTTCTGAGCAGAGAATTGATGAAGACTGATGTAAGTCTAGAAAAATCTTTGAGAGCAATGTAGAGAGGGAAAGGAGACTGAACACCATAACCCTATTACATTCAGGGGAACCCCAACACACACATGGCACACCTGCAGGGCACCCAATGCACTCCACTGCCCTGTCCACTCCCTGTGCATTTAGCTGACATTTTCTATGGCCCTGGGAGTTGTTCGTGGCTCAGATGTGGACCCTTAAGTTCCCCCTACCCAAACAAGCCTTGTAGAGCCAGGGTCTCATCCTGAAGAGACCTGGTCCTCCCAGCCCTCCCCCTTCTCTCTGACGAGTCCACACCAGTGGCCTGACCCAGCCCAGCCCAGCTCCAGGGCAGCCCCAGGGCTCATGCTTAAGGGGAGAAGCAGAGAACCTTGGTTCACCATGCTAGGCAGAGGAGCTTGGGAAAGTTCTGGGTTCCTGGCCAGAGGCAGGAGCAGAATCCTGTGTCCGGAGGGAAGAAGCTAGAGCGCTGGGGCATGGATGATGCTGTGTCCTGCAGCCTGGTGCCAGTCCCAGCTCCAGCTCCAGCTCCAGCTCCAGCTCTACCACATGCCAGCTTCCTGCCTTGCTCACCGATGACTTTTGTCAGGGCCTCAGTTTCTTCATTTATAAAATGAGCCCCAAATGCCTCCCCCTTGAGGTCATTGTGGAAATTAAGTGGAAGTAAGCAAAGGTAGAGTGCTAGGTGAATGGTGGTTACTGATACCCCGCCAGCAGGCTCTGCTGAGCCCCTGGCCTATGGGGGACAGTAGTGGAGGCCCGACTTGGGATGCAACGGAAGGCAGACTGTCTCCTTGAGGCCATGATGCTGTCCTTAAGCCAAAGTCACCGAGAGCAGAGGGGAGAGAACTAAGTTTAATAAATACCTGCTAGGTGCGAAATGCCTCTGTTCGTATGAGATCATCACCTTCCCTAGGAACCAGTTCTGAGGGGGGCCCTCAATCCTTCTTGTGACAGGATTCTCATGTTCCCAGAAAGAAAGGGGCTTTTCCAGTGCCACATGGGGATCCTAGGAGGGACCAGGGTCAGGTCCTGTTCTGGGTGATAAATAGGACAGTCATGTGCCTTCTGGGGAGATTCTGCAGGTAGAAAGAGAGATATTAATCAGTGTGTCACAGGACTGGTGAAGTAGCTCAGTGGTAGAGCACTTGCCCTGCATGCTCAAGGCCCAGCACCATAAAAATGAAACAAAACATCACCAAATAGAGGGATAAAAAGAAGTGAGAAGAATTTATGAGGAACAAATGCAAGGTCCTATGGACTTGGGGTATTTGATTACAGGGACTGGAGGGTGTGAAAAACCTCAACACATTAGAGAAACCCAAGGCCATTGTCAGGGATGGTCAGGTTGCAGGCAGACAGGTGGAGATGGGCTTGGAGCTGTGGCAAGGGGTATGGGTGTGAGTTCTCACTCATTTTCTGTGTCACCCTCACAAACCCTTGTTTTGAGGTCCATATTCTTGAATCAGTTTCATAGATCTGTAAACAAGGCTTCAAAGGTTGGTGGGGGCGGGGATGGCTTGTCCAGGGATGCGCTGAGACTGTGGAATTAGGGCTCTGTCCATGATAGCTTGGCAGTGTTCATGGGCACACTGGAAGGGGATGCTATCCAGACACGGGGTACCAGGGATGTCCAAAGAGCTGGATTCCCAAGAGGCCAGCCTCCCTCTTGCTGGGTGAACACAGGGTTTGTGTAGGACACATTGACCTCTGGGGCTCGAGTTTGTTCTTTTTCCTGAACCACTGATAAAACAAAACTTGCCAGAAAAAAATAAGGCCAGGCCTGGCAGAACTGGCTTCCTGCCAAGCCCACACCTGCCTCCAGCAGGGCAGCCCCCAGTGACCCACTGAACCTCCCCAGGCCTGACCCCAGGGGCCAGAGTCTCCAGGAAGTCGAAGGGCTTCGGTGGATGCAGGGAGGGAGGGTAGGCCTGGCCTCTCCACCTGGGGAAAGACTCCTTGAATCCCTGAGCCACGAGCAGGAATTTGATTACTGGCCCACAAGTAGCCATTAGGTCTGAGGGGATTCTGGGCAGGACCCTGAAGCCCCCCCACCACCACCTACAATGTAGCCCCAGGCCATGCCAGACCCTCCAAGGCTGGTTGAGCAGAGAAATGGCTGTAGGGTGGATGTGACCCTAGGATCACAGTGCTCCTAAGCTGGAGGTGGGGGGAAGGTGTCTCTGGGACCCCCCCCTCCAGGAGCTGCCAGGCTTGAGGGCTGGAGGCTCAGCTGCTGGCCCAACAGCCCCCTCCCCCGGCCCCTGCAGCACACTGCCGGACTCCCCCCCAGACTCAGGCTCTGAGGCCTACTCCCCCCAGCAGGTGAATGGTGAGTTCAGTGGGAGGTGCCACCCTCCCCCTCTGGGTTTGGGCAAGTGGTTGGGGCTGGTTGGGGCGGCCTTATCGGGGGAGGGAGGGAGGAGAACGGGAGGGGGCCAGCGGCTGCCCAACGGGGCCAGATTATCGCTGGTCAAATACTCCCTGGCGCTGGCTATTGTTTCCGCACGGGCGGGTGGGGAGCCTGGCCCTGCCTCTGAGCAAGTGTCCCTGCTGGTGATGCCACCGCCTGGCCGCCTGCGCCATCATGGACGCGCCCTTCGGGGGTAAGTGGACTGCTGGGGAAGGCCACGGGTGCAGACTGAGCACAAGCCTGGCAGCTACTGGGCCCACCTTACCTTACAGGGTGCTCAGAGTTGAAGTGGCCCCCAGGCGGCCGGGAGCAGAATGACCATGAGCAGCTGGCTCCCTGCAGCCTGAAGAGGGGTCAAGAGTTCTGTTTATCTTACCAAAACATCCCTGGAATGCCTCCTGGGGAACAAAGGGAGCTGTGCCCCCCCACCCCCCCAGGCCTGGGGGGCTGGCCCCTGGGAGCCAGGAAAGGGGCTGCTGGAGGGAGGAGGCTCAGCTGGGAACTGGGCTGGGGTCTCTTGGGAGTCTCCAACCTGGGGCCAGAAGACCAGGTCTGAGAGTTGTTGGTAGCTGGAAGAACTTGGAAATTTGGGATCTCTCAGGGTGCTGGGCCTGGCCAGCCTGAGGGAAAGAGATGGCGAAGGGAGAAGGACAGCCACCCCCTGCACAGGGTCTCTCTTCCCTGTCCAGGCTCTGATGGCCAGCTGCCCAGCCCCTGAGTGTGGCTTAGGAGGGGGCAGAAGCAGGAGACCCTGCCTGGGGAGAAAGGATGCCCGAACCAGAGCGAGTTCAGTCTCTGATGCCTGTCCCCCATCCCTCCTGCAGACCCCCATCTCCTGCGTACCATAACCCCTGAGACTCTGTGCCACGTGGGAGTGCCCTCCCGCTTGGAGCACCCACCGCCATCTGCAGCCCACCTGCCTGGCCCCCCGCCGCCCCCACCGCCCCCTCCTCATTATCCTGTTCTGCAGCGGGACCTGTACATGAAGGCCGAGCCCCCCGTGCCCCCCTACACTGCCATGGGACAGGGTCTGGTGCCGGCCGATCTCCACCACACCCAGCAGTCGCAGGTGTTACACCAGCTGCTGCAGCATGGAGCTGAGTAAGGCTTGGGCAGCGTTCTGCAGTGGAAAGTGGGGTGGGAGCTGGGGCGGCAGGCCGGCCAGAGTGCTAAGCCACCAGCTGAACCCAGGAAGGGCAGAGGCTCTGCAGGGAGGCCAGTATATTTGTACACGTGCCCAGCAATGCCCTGGGGGACTTACAGCCATAGCAAATTGCTGACAAATACCTTTATTTACAGATAGGTAAACTAAGGTTCTGAGAGGGGAAACTGGCTTGTCCAGTCATGGAACTGGAAAAGAGCAGAGCCAGAACTTGAACCTGGAGCTAAACTCTTTTATCCCAGACACTAATGACTTTCTACCTGCCTCATGAAGTCCTTAGGTTTCTGTCTTCTAGATCTGGGCTCAGGCTCACCATTTCATGATTGCCTTTTAACTGTTTTACATATTGAAATTAGTTCAAGGAAAGATTCGGCTGACAATGTTTTGTAAACCCTAAGGGGAAGGGGTGCTGCGCAGGTCCCCTTACCTCCCTCTCTTCCCTATACCAGGAAACTCTCCCTCCCTGACCCTTGTGGTCCAGGCCCTCTAGCTTGTTTCTAACCCACGAACCAATCCCCCACAGTACAGAGTGACGCTGAGAGTAATACCCCCAGGAAGGGACCAACTCATTCTACCACAGACACTTGCAGAATGCTCTGAGTACCAGGCTCTTTGGTGGGTGTGATACACAGTCTAGCCAGGTTTGGCTCCTGTCCTCCTGGATTCCATGGATGGGGGGCAAAGAGTGACAGTGGCAGAGAATGGCAACACTGAGTGATGTGGGGGCACCGAGGAGGTCAAGCCTGAGGGCTTTTAGCAGGAGGTATCCTCTGGGTTGAGCATATCCTGCTGAAATGGGGCAGAAGGGAGAGGGTTAGGCACTGCACCGTGGGAGGGGGCTTAGGAACAGCCAGTCCCCATGGTGCATACCTCTGTCCTGCCAGGCTCCCCACACACCCCTCCAAGAAGAGGAAGCACTCCGAATCACCCCCCAACACCCTCAATGCCCAGATGCTGAATGGAATGATCAAACAGGAACCTGGGACCATGACAGCCCTGCCCCCACATCCTGCTCGAGCCCCATCCCCACCCTGGCCTCCTCAGGGTCCACTCTCACCAGGCCCAAGCTCCTTGCCCCTCAGCATCGCCCGGGTCCAGACACCACCTTGGCATCCACCAGGTGCACCCTCCCCAGGTATGTGACTGATCAAACCTTGGAGCTGGGGAGTGGAGACTGGGGTCTGGGCCTCAGGTCCCACATGGGCATTCGTTCGTTCCTGCCCTCTAGGTCTCCTACAGGACAACGATAGCCTCAGTGGCTCCTACTTGGACCCCAACTACCAGTCCATCAAATGGCAGCCGCATCAGCAGAACAAGTGGGCAACGCTGTACGATGCCAACTATAAAGAGCTGTGAGTGACCTGTGCTGCTCTGCCACCCTTGTCTTGGGACAGCCCAGGACCCCACTGAGGTTCTAGATCAGGACCTAGGAGCACCCCAGGTACAAAATAGTCTCATTTCATGGAAGAGTAAACAGGGTTAAGGAGGAGCCAGAACTGGTTCTCAGCCTTCCTGACCCCTGTCCAGCCCCAGGCCTCCCTAAAGAGGTGGTATCCACCAGGGAGGGCCCATGGGAGCCAAGTCAGGAGGAAGTGGGCGGATGTGTGTTTTCTGGCTCCTCCTCCTCCACCTCCTCCTCCTGCATTCCAGGAAGGTAGCAGGAAGCTGAGTGTAAGCAGGGCCTTTCCAACAGTCCCCTCCCTCCACAGGGGAGGGAGGGGGTTGAGGGAGAACTGGGTCAGAGGCTGCCCAGGCTTTTCTGACTCTCCCTCAACACCCACATGGATCCAACTTGCCCAGCCCTAGGCCAGGAGCCCTGTAGGAGCATTCTCCTTGTTCCCCCAGGCCATTGGGTAGGTGAGCAGGTGACTCCCCTCAAGTCACTTTGGACATTGTCACATGGCAAGGTGGTTGGGGCTAGACCTTCTCACTAGAACAGTGGCCTTGGCCCCCCACAGCCTTTTGGAGTTGGGTGCCCCAGGTTGTGGTGTAGCCCAGGGCTGGGTGGTGTGCCCAGCTGTTATGGTGACTGAAGTGTTCTATGAGGTCTAGGGGTGTTCTTTATGGTCTAGTCACTATGGCCTAGGGAAGAACCCCTATACTCTTACCTCCACACTCTTTGGGCCAACCCTTCCATCCCCTGCCCACAGCCAGGGAACTGGCCAGCAGAGGTCTCCAGTGTGGCCCAGGCACTTCTGGGTGCTTCACTAGGTGAAGCAGATGGGTGAGTCCCAGGAAGGAAGAGGTGGTGAGCCTTCCTGTAGCCCATAGCCAGCTCCACAGGCCTCTTCCCATGACTTGAAACACTCTCCCTGCCCATCTTCCTCTGGGCAGGCACCAGGCACTCCTGTGACCAGTCAGGGCTCCACTTGTGCCTGGGGACCTGGGGGCTGGTTAGCCAAGCCATAGACCAACAATTGCCCTCTTTACTCCTACCTGGAGGTCCCCCAGAGGTGCATACTTGGGACACTATGACAGCAACAGATGGCAAGCTTCTGCCGAGTTCAAGGGGGAGTTCAGAAGTGCCCCACTTCCTATGGACAGCGGGAGAGTCAGAATGAGGGCGTTCTGGAGGCTTGAGCAAACTGGTGGGCCAGGGCGGGCCTGCGGCAGAGCCGGCGCCTGGTTCCACCGTTTCCACGGTAACCAGCTGTCAGGCACAGTGAGGCTGTACAGATGCAGCCCCTCTTACACTCTCACGGGGGAGGGGGCTTCAGGTGGTGTCTGTGAAATAGTCAGGTGTGGTGAGGGGGCTGTCAAGCCTCTCCTCCATGTTCCCTCCTGTGTGGTGACCCTCAAGGGTCTTGCCCTGCATCCCCTACCACTGTCACTTTGCCGTACCCCGTGTATGTAGAGGAAAGACCTACACCTTGGTTACCATTTCTAGGAAGTGGAATAACCCCATTGGTGGTGTGGGGACCTTGGGGTACAGAAAAGAAAATGGCTTTGTAACACAGGCATGTTACAAAGTGAGGGGGTCCAGCGTGGGGGGGGCCCATGGTGAATGCCCTTAACTGCCCCTCAGACCTATGCTCACCTACCGCGTGGACGCAGATAAGGGCTTCAACTTTTCCGTGGGTGACGACGCCTTCGTGTGTCAGAAGAAGAACCACTTCCAGGTGACAGTGTACATCGGCATGCTGGGTGAGCCCAAGTATGTCAAGACGCCCGAAGGCCTCAAGCCACTGGACTGCTTCTACCTGAAGCTACACGGAGTGAAGGCAGGTTTGGAGTTCAGCAAGGAGGGGAGGGCAGGAGGGCCAGGAAGCTGGGGCACTGAGAGTCCCAAGGCAAGGTGTGCATGCCAACATGCACAAGCAAACTCTCCATAGTTCAGTTCCACCCCACCGCTCTGCCTCTCCCCTGTGCCTGCCAACACTGGACTCCCCAGCCCTCTCTCTTTCTCTTATGCCCTGCTTTTTCTGTACCCTGGGACCCCAAGGCTGTCCACAGCCAAGTCCCGTCTCTAGCTGTCTTATCAGCTGCCTGTGAACTTGCACCTCCCCCTGGGCTTCCCTCAGGGAGGGGGGACCCAGGGTCTGATCACCCAAGTCATGAAGGGGACCCTCCTGCCTTCACCTTATCATGTACCTGGCATCACTGCTTTCCTCCCAAAGTATCCCTCCATCTAGTCCCCTCCTTCTCCTCCCCTTGGCTTCTCTCCTGGCCCAGGTCACCCCCACTCCTTGTCTGAATGTCTATAGCAGCTTCTACTCTGGCCCCCACCTGTGCACACATGGTCACGGCATGCCCCTTCCTTCCAGTGTCTTCCCAGCAAAGCCATGGCTTCTAAGGTGAGCCCAAAAAGGCCGTGGGGATCCAGCCCTTCACTCCAGCCCTGCCCCATGCTGTGCCTCATACCCTTTGTGCCCACTCACAGCCCCTGCCTTATCTCATGTGGCTGACTTTCCCTGGACACGTTCCCAGCACCCCATCCGGTTTCTCTTAGCAGACTCCATGTTGCACCCCTCAGGGGAACCTGCCATGAGGCTTGTTGTAACGTAGATTCCTCCATAGCACTGCCACAGTCAAGGGTGATTTCGAGCCCTCTGGGGACATGGCTGTGTCTGTCTGCCTCAGTGTCTTGAGCTGGGCCTGGCGTGGTGGCTTGGCCAGTGCTCATGGACAGCCATAGGGCTGTGTTTGTGAGAGAGGGTTTGGGGAGGGTTCTGCGAGTGTGAGGCAGAGCAGGGAGTGTATAGATGTGGGCACAGGTGTGCAAGCATGGAGAAGTTGGTGTGGCTGTGGAAGCGGTCACCATGGGGCAACTGCATTGCTGTGCAGAAGTGGGGATAGTAGTGTGCTGTGAGAAGGTGTAGAAGCAGTGTGTGTACTGAAGATTGGGGGGTGGGGTGTGTGTAGATGTTGGGGGGAATGTGGCTAAGTTTGTGGTGAATTGAGGTGGTTTCCAGGGCTGCACCTGGGCTTGGACTGAGATGGTGAGGGAGGACAGGACCAGGTTGAGAGCCTAGCTCTGAGGTATCCTTGGGCTCTGTCCCCCCTAGCTGGAGGCCCTGAACCAGTCCATCAACATAGAGCAGTCCCAGTCAGACCGAAGCAAGAGGCCCTTCAACCCTGTCACGTGAGTGTCTGGCTCCGTGGGGTTGTGCCTGGAGCTGGCTTGGGAAATGGAGAGCCAGCCAGGTACCCAGTGTTCATCTCCTGCGTGCTCCTGGCCTGGGTGCCCCTCTGGGCGCTCTTCTCTCTGCCCCCTGAGCACCCTACCCCTCCTCTGCAGGGTCAATCTGCCCCCTGAGCAGGTTACAAAGGTGACTGTGGGACGGCTGCACTTCAGTGAGACCACTGCCAACAACATGCGCAAGAAGGGCAAACCCAACCCTGACCAGAGGTGGGCACCCTTGCCCTGGGAGCCCGGCTTCTGAAAGCCAGGGTCAGGAAGACACCACCCATGAAGCATGCCAGGCAGGGTCCACAGACTGTCCCGTTTCACAGATGAGGGACCTGACATTCAGAGTCCTTCCCTGACTTAGGGACTAGAGGAGCTGAAGCTTGCATTCTGGGTTCAGAAGTAGCTCTATGGCTTCTTGGCTGTGCACCCTGGGGGATTTCTGCCCCCTAGTGGAGGCTCAGGTTCTTTCTGTAGGATGCCCGCTAATGCCAGGGGGTAGGGGGTGGGGGGTGGGTTGGGTGGGTGAGATGACGGACAGTGGGAACCTATGAACCATGTGCACCTGGTCCAGGAAGGGTAGCCATGGCGGGGATGAACCCTGAATGCCTCTGAACCCCTTGTGTGTCCCAGGTACTTCATGCTGGTGGTGGCCCTCCAGGCACATGCACAGAACCAGAACTACACACTGGCCGCCCAGATCTCAGAACGCATCATCGTGCGGGTGAGGATCACCTCCCTTCAAGAGTGAACAGTCTTCCCCAGAGTTGGAAATAGCACCCAGGAGAAATACTGGGAACTGGGAAGTTAGATCCTGTGTGCATATTTTGATGGGCACTGGCTGTGTGGCCTTGGGCATGACTTTCACCCTCTCTGGGCCACGGTGATCTCCTTCACAGTAAAGCACGAGGTGGATCAGACCTGGTAGCCTCCTGGAATCCCACAAGTGACTAAAAGTTTTCACAATGGGCAGGGCAGTTTAAGTTGGGCATAGGGTGGGTAAGAAGACCTTACTGGACTAGGAGGGATAGTTGTGGGGTTTACCCTTTTCCCTGGGCTCTTCAGGTCTCCCACTCCCCAGGACTGATCCAGCCCCAACTTGCCTTAGGCCTCTAACCCAGGCCAGTTTGAAAGCGACAGCGACGTGCTGTGGCAGCGGGCACAGGTGCCTGACACCGTCTTCCACCATGGCCGCGTGGGCATCAACACAGATCGGCCAGATGAGGCTCTGGTCGTGCACGGAAATGTCAAGGTCATGGGCTCGCTCATGCACCCCTCAGATCTGCGGGCCAAGGAGCAAGTGCAGGAGGTGGGGGCGGGGCCTCTGACGGGTTCTTGGGGGAGGCGCGGGGCCAGATGGACTGGTCTGCCAGGGTAGGAGGAGGGTGAGGCTGACCCTGGATCTCGATCCTGTGACCCTTTCAGCCTGCAGTTCCCGGGCTGCCACCTTCCTGGGCTCCGGGACCTGCTCCAGGGAGGGTTCAGTCTCAGCCCCGGTTTTCCTGCAGGTGGACACCACCGAGCAGCTGAAGAGGATCTCGCGCATGCGGCTGGTGCACTACAGATACAAGCCCGAGTTCGCGGCCAGCGCGGGCATCGAGGCCGCTGCGCCAGAGACCGGTAAGGATCTGCCCGGTGCGGGGTGGGACTCGGGAATCCAGTGACCTTAGGCTTCAGGAACCTGCTCCCTGACCCCAGGCTCAGGCCTGTCCCTCCTGTCCCCTGGAAATCCTACTTCCCCAACCCTTGACGCCAGGAATTCCGGCCCCTGGGAATCGTCCCCCTAGAAGCTCCGCCCCTCCGCCCCTGGAAAATCGGTTCAGCAAGTGCCCGGAACCTCACCTCTTGACCCATAGGTCCGAAAATCCTGACCGCGATCCTCACCCTGTGGCCCCCAAAGATTCCTGCCTTCATCTTCTTGGAACCCTGCCCCCTTCTTCTGGGATCCTTACTTCCAGGACTCCCGCCCACCCCAGGAAACCCACGCTTTCCCGGGCTCCTTGGAATTCAATTCTCTAGTGCCTCTCCAACCCCCACCCCCACCCCGCATTTTGGATTGCTGCAGACGGTTCCCTTTCCCCGCCCTTGGCTTGTCCCTTCTCAGGTGTCATCGCCCAGGAGGTGAAGGAGATCCTGCCTGAGGCTGTGAAGGACACAGGAGACGTGGTCTTTGCAAACGGGAAAACCATAGAGAACTTCTTGGTGGTGAACAAGGTGGGCTGGGTGGGCAACTGGAGGGGCTTTGGGCAGAGAGACCGGCCAGCTGGGGGCGCTGTGGAGCAGGCTCCTGCCGCCTCCAGAGCCCTGTCCCTGGTGGATTTGGCCACTGGAGGCTTGTCTGGTCAAGGGCAAGAGGAATCCTGCTGATGGTCAAACCCTCCCCCTCAATTAAAGGAGGCCAATAAGATATTGTCACATGGTTGTCTCAAGGCTTGAACATGTGATTTATTTTTTTGCTGTGCTGGGGATCACATCTCGCACTAGCCAGGCAAGTGCTCTACCACTAAAGTTAAACCTCCAGCCCCAACACGTGGTTTGTTGAGGATGATGTGTCTATCTTACGTGGTAGACACATCATGTCTACATGAGGAGACATGTAACATGTTTTCACCTCACCTGAAGAGTTTTCACCTCCTCTGACCTGGTCGTCAGAGGAGACAGGTCTGAGGGCTGAGGCGCTGAAGGACAGAACTCTGATTTGGACAAGAGTAGCAGGCTGTGCAGGCAGATGGGACAGCACTGACAGGGTGAAGGGGGGATGCTGTGCAGGGCTGGGTTGGAGGACAGGCCTACGCCCTGGTCTGGATGTTTCAAGGGCCTCCAGTGTCCATGGTGCATGGGGCTCCCAGGTCTGATCCTGCCCTCAAGGTCAGCCCATTCCCTGGCAGGAGCGCATCTTCATGGAGAACGTGGGGGCAGTGAAGGAGCTGTGCAAGCTGACAGACAACCTGGAGACGCGCATCGATGAGCTGGAGCGCTGGAGCCACAGGCTAGCCAAACTGCGGCGCCTCGACAGCCTCAAGTCCACAGGCAGCTCCGGTGCCTTCAGGTGGGGGCGTGGCATAGGGTGGTGGCAGGCTGCAAGACCCCCTTCTCAGAGGCACCCCTAACCCTGTCTCTCCTTGCTGTAGCCATGCAGGGAGCCAGTTTAGCCGGGCAGGCAGCGTCCCCCACAAGAAGAGGCCCCCCAAGATGGCCAGCAAGGTGAGGGTGGGCAGGGCTGAGAGGCAGGGGGGCCTGGGGTTTCCCCATCTCCCACAGCCTCCCTTTTCAGCTAGCACCTCTGTAGTCTCACTGGCTCTTGACTTTCCCCACCCCCCTCCAACCTGCTCTGTAGCCCTCCTAACCCATTTCTGCTTCCTCTTCCTCTGCCCCTGGGGAAATGTGTGGCTCCTAGGAATGGGCGAGACCACAGGCTCCCTAAGTCTGCCTCTTCTGCTGCTTCCCCCTTTCCTCCCGGTCCTCAGGCATCCTCAGTGGTCCCAGATCAGGCCTGTATCAGCCAGCGCTTCCTGCAGGGAACCATCATTGCCCTGGTGGTGGTTATGGCCTTCAGGTGACTTGTCTCCTCGGCTTTGGGGGTGGCTGACAGGGAGAGTGGAGCTGCTCAGTGGGGTCAACTGCCCTTGGGCGCAGGCCCTGGGGAAGAGGAAGATAGCTTGGAAAGTGAAGTGTCTCAGGCAAGGGGGCTGCCTCCCTCTGTCTCCCCTTCTGGGGCTGAAAAGACCCTCTGTGGCATCACCTGGGAGCCCAGGCCCTGGGGCCAAGGACCACTGGGTCTGCCCTAGAGCGGGCACTGGACAGTGGCTCCAGCTCTAACAGTGACCCTGTTCTGTGGCTCCCAGCGTGGTGTCCATGTCCACATTATACGTGTTGAGCCTGCGTGCTGAGGAGGACCTGGTTGACACTGATGGGTATGTCTCTGGAGGCTGCTAAGCCTCCAGGCCAGGTGGGGCTTTGGTGGGCAGCCTGGGGTCATAGGAGCCACAGAAGCAAGAAATTCACCCCAGCAAGCCAAGCGGCTTGCTGGGGTGGGATGGTGGGTCTCCCTGGATGGTAGGCAGCCATTCCCAGTCTCTCTTTGGCCTGCTCAGTACTCCTCCAAGTAGGCTATTTGGGGGAGGTTGGGTAGGAATATGGGGTGCAGGGAAGGCGGGTCAGGGCAGGACTTTGGGCTGTCTGCCACTGTTACCCCAGTTTCTGGGGCCACTTCTGACTGTCTTCTCCTTCTCCTTCCCTGTGTCTGTCTCCCTCTTGGTCTCTCTCTTGCCCCTTAGCTCTTTTGCCGTGTCTACTTCCTGTCTTCTGGCCTTGCTCCGGCCCCAGCACCCTGGGGGGAGTGAGGTCATGTGCCCATGGTACGTGTCTGACCAAAAACCCCTCTTCCTCTGGCTCCTGCTGCCCTTCATCCTGCCTCCTTTCCATCTTCCCTCCGCCTCCATCTGTCTCCATCAGGACTTCCAGGCCTGCCCCTCTGAGCTCAGCCCACCCTTCCCCAGCAGGTCTAGCCAGAGCTTTGGGACCACTCAGCTCCGACAGTCCCCTGTGACCACTGGGCCACCAAGAGTACAGCCATCTTTGCTGCTGGGTGCGTGCCTGGAGGGCTGGGGTAGGGCAGGTAGCTATGTTGTGGGTGGGGAGCTATGCTGCTCCTCTCCAACTCATCCAACCTCTGGCTTCCTCAGTTACCACCGACCCGACCAGCTCAGCCCCAGTTCCAATGATACGCACCTTGGACCTATGCTACAGCCACCACTGCCCTGTTGTCTGCTGCTCTGTACCCAGCCCCAGCACTGCCTCAGACTCTAGTGTTGGCCCCAGCTTTAACCCTGGTCCCAGCCCCAGTCCCAGCCCGGCCACCAACCGCTCAGGTATGGCTATCTTGGGGCCAAGGATTGGGTTGTCTGGGGCCTCAGGATTACGTGAGTCAAGAGAAAGGCCCCAAAGACTCATTGGTGGGAGGGTCTGGAGACCAGAATGAGGGTTGGAGAAAGATTGGTGATTTCCCCTGAGGAAACCAAGAAACACATGGGGTTCACAGAGTTAGCTGGAAAGGAGGCAACCAGCTGCCTTTTCATCAGTCTCTGGTTCTATCCACAGGTCCCAGCCATATGGCCTTGCTGCCAGTCACCAACATCAGAGCCAAATCCTGGGGCATTTCAGCCAATGGCATTGGCCACTCCAAGCATCCCAAGAGCCTGGAGCCTGTGGCCAGCCCTGCAGTTCCCTTTCCTGGGGGGCAGGGCAAGACCAAGAATAGCCCCAGCCTTGGTCTCCATGGCCGGGCCCGCCGAGGAGCCCCTCAGCTCAGCTTGGGCCCTGCCAAACCCACTCAGACCCAGGACCAGCCAGGTACTTGCTCTACCCTGACACTTCCCAGCCCAGTCCAGCAAGGATCAGTGGCCAGGGCCCCTTGTAGCCCAGTCATTTGGCTGCCTGGGCACAGAACTGTCATTTAACAGACATTCACTAAGCACATTCACCGGCACATGCTAATTGTCAGTAATAAGGCCAGGAACCTTGTGTAGCTCTTCAGTCCTCACAATGCAATCCCTGCAAGGAAGGAATTGTTCTCATCGTCCAGGTGAGAAAACAGACTTAAAGAACTTGTCCAGGGAGTCTGCCTGGCTCCTTTGTCATGTGCCAGGGCAAGGAAGGTACTGTTCAGGGGTTCAGGGTCTCCCCCACTTTTCCTCAAATATCCAACCTTTGGTTTTTATAAAGCTAGAAAAGTTTTTATTGCAGAGATTTTCAGACTGAGCTCCTGAGGTGCCAGAGCTGCCTTGGGGTTTGCAGAGGCAGCCAGAACCTTAACCAGCAACTCTGGGCTAGGATGTAAGTCTCCTCATCACTTTCGCTTGGAACTTGTGGCTTACAGTGACTGAAGTTCAAAGTGAAGGGGAAGCCCAAGAGGTAGAGGCTCCCCAGGCAGATGCTTCCTGGGCCCCATCACAGCCAGCGGGTAGTGATGTACCCTCACTCCAGAGTTGGCAGAGATGAGACACCCTGGTGTGATGAGGCTGTGGGGACAGGCTTTGGGATTGTGAAGGGCACTGCATCTGGACCAAAATAAGCAGGGATCAGGGAAGGCTTCCCTGGAGGAGGTGACAGTGGAGCTTTCTTTGAAGGACATTTGGGGTGAGCCCAGGAGATTTGGGAAGGGCACCGTCCATCCTGTGTATTTTGGTACCTGCCCCTGGCTGCACAGGGAGTTCTGGATCCTGCTAGTATCCATGTGGGTTGGGCTTCAAAGAGCTGAAAATGTACTAGATCCAGCAAATGTTCAAAGGCTAGTGGCCCCATCTTTCCCCTTCCCAGGTGAAGGGCCAGGAAGCAGCAAGTCCAGAGATGGACTGACATGAGTAAGAAGGTCTCATTTTCCCCACCCACCCCCCAACCTTGTCATGCTTCAGTTCTACCTGCTATCCAGTCAGCCAGTCTGTGGTGTTTCGCTCAGTGAGGGCCACAGGCAATGCTGTGTTGGTAGATGTTCCGTGGGCTCTCTGGGGGCAGGGGAGAGCCTTGTTTTGTGTGTGGTGCTCTCTCCATGCCTGATTTCAGGCTACCAGGACACTGACACTGAACCTAGAGTTGGGAAGAGTTGTGTGCAGTTAGGAACAGAGGCCTGTGAACTGGCTTCTGCACACCACTGGCCAGGGATACGGAAGCCCCATCCCTGATTCTGGGTGTTCTGGTTCTATGGAGGAGGCAGACCTTAGGCTCATGGGAACTAGCTAGTCATAGAGATGCTGGGAAAGGGGTGTGGTATGACCCTGACCATTGTGTGAGTCTAGAAAGAACCTGAAACACATTCATAGTAAGGTGTGAGTGAATTATCCAAGTTTGACAGGGAAAGACTTGACTACTTATTTGTTTCCTGCATTGCCCCCTTCCTCACTGCCCCCACAGCCTCTCTGTCTTCTCCTTGTAGATCCAGTGCCCTCCCTGACCTCCATCCAGCTGCTGGAGAATTCCATGCCCATCACCTCCCACTACTGTGCACCAGAGGATACCTGCAGGTGGGCTTGGCTCCCTCCTGACACTCCAAGGAGAGCCCCTTAGGTGACATGAGCCCAGGCAGTTTGGATGCCCATATCTTGTCCTCTCAAGGAGAACCTCCCCCATAAGGCAGGGCAGCCCCTTTCCAGGCTTCTGAAGGACTCCAGTGCAGACAGGGGGCTGAGATGCCATCTTTGCCCCTTCAGGCCTGGAAACTTCACCTACCGCATCCCGGTCAGCAGCAGCACACCACTGCACCTCAGCCTGACCCTGCAGATGAAGTGAGTGCTGGAGGGGAAGTGGAGAGGCCCTCGCAGAGCTGACCAAGCCAGCCTGAGCTTCCCTTACACTTCCTACGGGGGAGGGGCTGCTTCATGGTTCTGTGGCTGTTGGACCTAGTCCTGTTGGCTGGGAGGACCACACAGGGTGAAGAGGGAAAGGCTGTGAACTTTACCAGGTCTCTGGCTACTCTGCATGGTTTTCAGGCTGGGCAAGGACTAGGTGCTTGTTTCAGGGGTGGAGGGCAGGTTGGCAAGGCGCTGGATGCAGTGGCACAGAAACCCCATTCCCTACTAACCGGGTCTTTTCTCAGCTCCTCTTCTCCTGTGTCTGTGGTGCTGTGCAGCCTGATGGCAAAGGAGGAGCCATGTGAGGAGGGGGGCTTTCTGCAGGCTCTCCACCCCCTCCAGGACACCCAGGTAGGGGCAGCTGGTGAGCTGGGGCTGAACAGGCCCCAGACCTTCCTCTTCTCTGGACAGTGCCCCTCAGAGGGTTGAGGGGAGGGAGCTGGGAATCTCTACTAGGAACTCTGGGGCTTAGACCTCTGTTCTGGAAGAGGGGGACATGGACACACATCTTCCTTCATTCCACTCATTCTAACATTTCTATCCCTGAGATGATAAAGCCCTGGGGAAGAAAGCAGTTTTCAAGGACTAGGATGGGATAAGTGCAGTGGTAGAGATGGAGCAGTTTTTGGTGCCCAGGGCCTGCAGCAGGGAGGGCTGTGCCAGGGAAGGTGGACATGGCGTCTGCAACCCTCACTTTCAGGCTGGGGAAGTGGCAGGTAAATGTCCAGGGTTAGAGGGCTCTTAGGCCAGAGAACCAGGTGGCTGGGCCATCACTCACCAGCTTCTCACTGGCGATCCTTTCAACCTGGGGTTATGGACCTCTGGTGTCAGACCCCAGGCAGAGGAGAACCGGATGGCCGGGCCATCATTTACCAGCTCCTCACTGGCCATGCTTTCAACCTGGGATTATGGGCCTCTGGTTTCTCCTTGGCCTGAGAGGCTATGGGAGACACCTCTTTGGACAAGTTACAGGTAGTGGTGATTCTTGCTCATTTGTGCATTTATTGTTGAATAAATTACTGACTGATTACAGTACTGGGGGTTGAATCCAGGGCCTTACGTTTGCTAGGCAAGTGCTCTACCCATCTGAACCACTCCATTAGCCCAACAGGTATTTACTGGGGCCTCCGTCTCAGGGCCTGTGCTTCCAGTTGTGGGAGAAAGAGATAGGGTAGACTCGACATTGACCTAAGAATGCACTCTCCCGTGAGGGAGAAAAGAAAGTCCCTGGAGTACAGGAAGGAGTAGGTGAGGTGAGGGCCCAAGATAGGCTAGGACACCAAACCATAGAGGGGTAGCCTAGCTAGACTTTCATTAGACACGTAGATCAAGCCCAAACTCACGTAATAGAGGCAAGCCAAAGCCTCAGGTAGGAGATGGGCAAGCTGCCTATGGCTGGCCTCAGGCTACCCTGCAAAGAGAACCAGACAGACCTGGGTTTGAACACCAGCCTTGCCACACTGCAACTCTGAGGCAAGTGACTCAGTTTCCTCATCTTTGAGATGCAGGTAGCAGCTGCATCACTTCATTACATTCGTGAGGACGGGGTTAAGGAGATAGCTCCATGTGTCTGGAACACGGGGTGAAAGGAAGCAGAGTAAGAGAAGACTGAGGGGCAGGGCAAGTGGCTGTGGACTCGGGGATGTCTGGCACATCTGTGGAGGGAAGCTGCCACTGCTTCCACCCCTTTGAAGCACTCTGCCTTTCTCCTTCGTAAGACTCGCCACACACCCTGAAGGCCATGATGAGGGGGAGGCTGGTTGGGACAGGGAGCTGCTCTGATCCCTCTCTGCTTTTTCTTTCCAGGGCACCACTCACCAGTGGCCAGTAACCATCCTGTCCTTCCGTGAATTCACTTACCACTTCCGGGTGGCACTGCTGGTGAGCATGGGCCCACTTTGCCCCCAATGTCCAGGCTCCTGTATGTGCATGATGCAGACTGGGGAAGGAAGGGAGCTCTACAGCCTGGGGTAGGACTTGGGGCTCAGTGTCAAGCATGTCAGTGGGGGTGGGAGGGAGGTCACTTGCCTTGTAGCTCCAAAACCATCTCGCCCATCCTACTACCCTTCTGCCCAGGGCCAGGCCAACTGCAGCTTAGAGGCCCTCGTTCAGCCAGCTGCAGACTACTACTTCCACTTCTACCGCCTGTGTGACTAGCTGCCTCCTGAGGCAGCACCCCAGCAGGGATCAGGTCACCCGGCTGTCCCACACTGGATGCAATGGTGTTACACTGGAGTCTGCTGCTGGCCAGCTCTCTGCTGCTTGCTCACTGGCCTCAAGACCCTGGGGAAACTGGAAGTCTTCACACTGGAGCTGCTGTTCCTGCTGGCACAGAGGGAGTCAGACAGGCAGACTTCCTGGGCCTTCCTTCTACCACCTCCTTGGGGCAAGACAGGATCCATACATGCGTCTTGTCTAGACATGGTGGCAGGTGGGCTGACTTAGGGGTCTTGAAGGCAAGGGGAATCTGTGGTCCTGACTTGCCTGGTTCCAGTCTCCCTGTCACCCCTTCTGAAGACCTGCTGGGGGCTTGAGCCCAGCCCTAAGACTTGACTGGACACTGAGTCCACAGAGAGCAGACAGCTCTTGCCCTCAGTGCTGCTCCCTATTGGACAGCTTAGTAGTGGACTTTTTGAGGTTTGACTGTTACGCTGAACTTGAACTTCTAAGCTTTAAGTGCTGCCCAGGAAATTTCTTTTCCCTGAGAAAGTTTGGCTCCCAAGAATTCCCGTGTTGGCCAAGGCCAGCCCTGGATGGCTGGAGAGACTGACTTTGTGCCTTAAGTCTTCTGAGTGTCTGAGGAAGCCACCCTCAGCCCTTTGCAGGCCTGAGCGAGTGGGACCTAGTGGGCCAGGTAAGACTTGGACCCTTGAACATGGAGTATCCTGGAAGGGAAGTTCCCTGTGAGCCCCCTAACCTGTGCATTTGGGGGCTCCCAGAGTTCATGCTGGTGTGGCTCCATCATTCTCTCTGAGCAGAGGAGCAGGAATCCCTGTAAGCAGTAGGCTGGTCTGGGCTGGCAGGTGGATGCAAATAGTTTTTGCTGTTATTAGTGAGGAAATTACTAAATGCACTTAAACCAGGGCAGGAGGGAGTGAAGAGTGGAGCTGGAAGGCTGAGTGGATCAGAGCCCTGGGATGACACAACAGAGGATGTCCCTTTCAGGAGCCTCGGACACCCATCCCATTTCCAAATGCAAGGCTGGCTTCTCCTTCCACTCTTGCTTGTGGGTGACTTTGTCTTCCCAAATCAGGCACTCTTGCTGGGCTTGGAATCAAGAAGGCCCAGCTCTGGTCTCTGCACCAGGAGTGGAGTGGTAGGTTTGGGCTAAGGAAGTAGTTCTTCTCCAGTGCCAACTTCACCATTTCTTAGTAGGGCCTGGGACTTTGCAGGCTCATGGGAGCGTGGCAGTCATTTAACCACATCTGCCATGAGGTCAGAAGTGGGGATTGGAATGGCTATCATTCACCTGTGGTATTCTGCCGCCTCTTTGGAAACCAGCCTTGTCCCTATCCAACTCTCATTCTCAGTTCTGAATGGGAGGCATTCTTTGGGAGAGCTGAGTTCTAGAAGCCTCTGAACTGTGGGCCTCCTTCTTTCATAGATCTCAAAGCACTTATCCTCAGGATAGGGAATTACCAGGACGACTCAGGAGAGTAAAGACACCTTGCTTCCCAGCCTTCTCCCCAATTTGGTTCTACCCCATTTGGATATAGGAATCGTATGACTCCCCATCCTCCCGCCTGGGGATGTGCCGTGTTTAGAACCATTTTCTCCTGCCTTGTACAGGGGAGTCCTCCCTACAATGCCTTAAAACTGCAAAGGCCCCACCCCTTGTAACAGATTCTGGGGCTTCCTCGGTGGGGCAGTGTTCTTGGACTGTGGCCCCTCAGCCCTTAACTGGAAAGTGACATTCCTTGTCCCCTGGTGTCCATTTGGACACAGATGGCCCCAGTCTCATTGGCAGCTGGCTGTTTCCATGCCTGGGGAGAGGTCCTCAGTGCAAGAGTTAGAGTCAGGCTCTGGCTCCAAGCTGCTGGAGGGGGTCAACCCTGGACCAAAGTTGCCTTAAGCCCAAGGTATAAAAGGGCTTCAGGAAAGGTGAGAGGGCCACCTGCTGGAGGCTAGCTGCCCAACTGGCCCTCCAAGATCCAGCAGGCCACCCTCCCTTCCCGTCTTCCCTCTGGCGTCTGTTCCTATAGCCAATGGGCTAATTTCCCCCTAGCTTCAAGCTGTACATAGGGCTTCCTGGTGCAGACCCTTATTCACACCACACTCCCTTAGCAGCCTGCATGTGCATAGAGCGCCCTCTGCAATCCCAGTCCTCTCCCTGAGTGCTGACTTATATTTATCATGTGCCCAGTCTGACTCTATAGTGGGAAGATGCCTAGGCCTGCTTGCTCCCAGTTTCCCCAGTGTCCTTTTCTTCTGAAGTAAATATACATATATAAATAAATGTATAAATACTGCTTTGTATCTGAGCTTGGCTCCTATCTCTTCCTGAGGTTGTTCTGCTTGGAGGAGTCATCTCCTCCAACTCCAGGCCAACTGAATTCAAGATGTTCCCTGAGAAATCTGGAATCCCTAAGCCCCGTACCAGAGGGGCAGAGGGCAGCTTCGTGCCCCTTGTCATGAGCATCATATAGGGTTGGAAAGGACTCAGTGACCCCACTTTAGCCACATCTCCCCTGCCCCGTCCATGCATCCTGCCACTGTCCACTTGCCTGCCTATGGAAAAGCCTTCTCAGGTGACAAGCTGAACCTGGTGAAGGCACTCCAGCCCAGAAAAGGGTGGCTAATCTTAGAGGAGGGGAATGGCCCAAGGCAGAATCAACTGATATGGGTTCCTGGAGATGTTTGTTCTAGAAACAACAGAAGAGAGCCAGACCCTTCCTATCCACAGGTAAGCCTTAAATTCCAATGACCAGATACCTATCACACAGCCCTCACTCCATGGATAGGAAGAAGGTTCCCAGCAGTGGAACCATGTGGAAGGCAGGTGAGAAATGGGAAAGGTGGGATTGGGATAGTCACACAGGTCCTAGCACCACCCCACCCAAGCAGAATGGACACAAGACAGGGCTGTCACACATCTGCTTTTATTGTGAGCAGCAGGTGGGACACTTCTAGCAGTAGTAAAAAAAATTAAGTTACAAAAGCAAGGAATTCAGTGATGCCATCTGGCGGATACCTGAAAGAGGACAGGGGTATCAAAATGAGATCAATGACCTTTTCTTCCACTTCGTCTCCCTGAAACCCCATGCTCCTTGGACAAGGGCTGATAGGCACATGCCTCTGAGTATGAGTCACCAGAGCCAATTCTTGGTGACCTGTTTGGTGGGTTATCTGTATCAAGTTTTAAGTCCCAGATCCTTTCCAGGTCATTGGTGTATAACTTTTAAGAATGCAAATGTAAAGCCACAGGAAGCCCTCACTCACCTCTCTACCTAGGATACTCCAAAATCAGATTGGAGCCTTGGGCAGTGTGGAGAACTGAGAACTGACAAAGTAGGTCATACTTGGCTCAATCCCCATGAGAGGCAGGAGACGAGGCCTATATGCCCAGTGTCCCTATCCATCCCAGTGAGTCTGGACCTTGAACCACAGGATCTTGTAGGTAAGAGCCTTAGGACCCACTGATGTGGCTGTGGGAGGCTTCTCCAGGCTTTGAGTTTCAAGCCTATTAACCTATCACAGCTCTTACCTTTGGTAGCTCATACATAGATGCCAACCCAGAGCAGGAGGAAGAGAACTCCAAAGCCCATGAAGAGTGAGGCCACCAAGGAGATGAGGAGCTCTTTGTAGATATCCCGTGTGTACTTGGTGGAGGTGACCTCGTAACTGGGCAGGACTGTTAAGGAGAAACAGGGATGGGCTGCCAAGTGCATGGAGCTGTCCAGCTTCACTCAAGGCAGAAAAGTAAAGGCTGAGGGCTTTTTGGGAAACTTGTCTGGCTTGGTGCAGCCAGAGGGGCCCAAGAGATGACTTGGGCTCTGGTGGTCTATACTATCCCTGTACCACCCATGAAGAAATTAAGACCTAGAGGAGCTGTCACTTGCCCTAGGTCACACAGCTCATACTAGCCTTCAGACCTCCTGACTCCTAAGTATACCCTTCTTTATTCCAAGCTCACTTCCCCTAACCTCAGCCTCCACTTCGGCCAGGCCCTCAGCACTCTGTCCTAAAAGTCAGAAGAGCACATTGGGCCATCTGAACTTGGAAAATAAGGCCAAGACCTGCCCTTGGGCATCACCAGCCTTCTCCTTGCTTTCTCCCATCCCTGCCACAATGTAAAAAACTAGCAGGGTTGCACGGACTGGGTGGATTCCCACATCACTAATTCTGGCTCACTGGCTGCTCAGTAAAAGGATACACGAAGAACCAGGCGGTGAAGAACATGCCAATGGCCAGAAGCACCACAGTCAGATGGGGGAAGACAGCCGGGTTGACTGGACTGGTGTATCTGCTCATAGCCTCGAGCTCCTAAGGGAGGGTATGAGATCAGAGCAGTCACAAAATTCCATGATTTCAGCCGTGGGAGACTCTGGAGCAGTCTTGAGCTGCTGTGATTGCCAGAGGCCCATTTCAGCCTGAGAAGTGTGAAAATCCTTCAGAACCAACATTAAGTGATTCATTACAAGAATGACAAATACAACTGTTATCTTAAAACAGAGATGGCACTTTCTCTTCAATATGGGACAAGAGGGGCAGCTGAGAGTCATTGGCTGTGACACAGAAGGTGATTAGCTGCCGATCAATGGTCCTCAGCAATTTCTAAGGCTAATGTCCAGTATGAAAATGTTTGGAAGGTATGGACTCTACCTGGGAAAGCCACAAAAGAACAAACTTGCCTCTAAATTCTGAACCTGTGTCTACAGACTGCAAGTTACTTATTCCTGCTACCAGAGCCTAGACTGGTACCCAGATCTCAACTTCTAATTATCACTACATTATTATGGAATCTCAGGATGTACCAGCAGAAGCTATCAGTTAAAATTCTAGCTCTACTGACTGGTACCCAGATCTCAACTTCTAATTCTCACTACATTATTATGGTATCTCAGGATCTACCAGCAGAAGCTATCAGTTAAAATTCTAGCTCTACTGAATCATCTGATTCTGAGTAAAGTGGCTGTATTAATATCTGTTTAAGAGATGATGAATGATGGCACATCTAGTCCAGTGCTTGGCATAGAGTTTTTGCTCAATAGGTGTTTGTTTCCTTCCTAAGGTTGCAGAGCTGATTATGAGATAATGCCTGTGAAAGAGGGCTGTACGCTTGAAGTTCTGTACAAATGTTAAAACTTCCATTGTCAACCACCAGCCAATGCTTCTAAAATCCAGAACATAACAACTCTAGAGAAGTAAACGGACCCCATTGTTCTAAGAGACACAGGAATTCAATTCAGTAAACAATTATGCCCCTCTCACCCCCCCTAAAACCGATAAAAACAATTGCTGCCATTTATTGAGCCTCCAATTGCAGGCCCCGTGTTTAGCACTGGGAATACAAAGATGAATAGACATCATCCCAGAGCTAGATGCACGTCAGATAGTGGTCACTAGGAGGCGTGGCAGATAACAAAGAAGTCCAATGAAACGTGGCAAGAGGTCTGCACAGACTGTGGGCGCTCCCAGAAGACAGCCGCCAAGTGCCTGAGAAGTCCCTAGTGCTTCTCCAAGAAATGACATGTGCCCAGAACCTTGTAGGATGAATAAGAGTGGGACGTTAACTTTCCATATAAGATAACGGATCACTGGTAATAGATACACAAGTTCGAAAGTACTCAACGTGCACCCCACGCCCTTTACCTTTATAATCACCGAGATCATAAGCCCAATGTGATCTAAACCTTAGCCCGACGAGACCAGGGCAAGGGGCTTTCTTTTCCCACCCCCTAATTGGAACCAAGGGCTCCAGGATCATCCCTTCTCCCCAAGATCCCGGGCGTCTGAGGACTCCGCGAGAGAACGCGGTGCGGGTCGGGCAATCAGCTGCCCTGTTTCTGTCGGGAACTACCCTCAACCCTCTCACCATTTCGCCCAACACAGGGTTAGCTGCCGATCCGCCACCGGAAGAACACGTCGGCAGGAGCAAGCGCCTTGCTCAGCCGGAAGAGGAAGTGCCCCCGCGAATGGCATTGTGGGGCTTGTAGTCCTGAGGTTCCGGGTATAGCGGAAACTGGACCAGCGAGGGCCTGGTGTGGGTGAAGCAGGGGCAGACGGTAGGGAAAGGTAGTTCAGGGTCACCGAAAGAGTCTGTTCTCCTCGGAAGGACTGCCTGTAGTGAGGGCGACTGACTAAGCGGACAGGCCCTGAACCCCATTTCCCATGTGGCTTTGCGCGGCGGGCAGGTCACGTGACGGCAGCGCGGGCTTTGGAAGGCGGCACAGCAAGAAGTTACCCCCGGTGGATCGGAGAAGTAGGGTTTGGGGCTGCCTTGGACACCACCGGACCCAGCGATAGCTGCCGAGGCTTTCCTCCCCAAAGACCAGGTGAGACCCCAGGGGAGGTGTCTCCGATAGTCTCGGGGTCCGCTGTGTGCTGGGCGTCGTGGGGAGCCGGGCTCTGGAGCTCATGGGATTCAAATGCAGTCTGGCTCTGCTGAGCTTTGGGCCATTAGCGTAACCTCTTCCTTCACTTGCAGGAAGAGGATACTTTCACCTTATGGGGTCGTGGTGTAGTTTTACTAGGCCTTATACAAGAAACATTTGACTCTTAACTTGATTAGACCCCTTTCCCGTCTATGTCTGTTGAATGCCACCAAAGGTCAGCGGCTAACAGGACATTGTCTTCTTTGTACATATCCTAGCAAAGCAGCCTGCTTGAGGCCTGAACCAAAGGACAGAATGGCGAACACTTAGAGAGCATCTGGTGTTGCGCGGAGAATTTCCCATCTTTGTGTCAGTTCACCTTTGTAGGCATCCTGCAAGGCAGGCGTAGTTATCATTCTTTTTTGCTGCTGAGAAAACCAAATTTCAGTGACTTAATACTGTTCCACAGATGGTAACCACTGTTGCCCGGTTTCAAGGCCGAGCTTTTGCCACTGCTGTTCACAGGAGAACTGAAACAAGATGCATGGTGAAGGGAGGGGTGACAGGATGGAGGGAGGAGGGCACAACTAATTGAGCAATGGTGAGAAAAGGTCATCCGTATCCTACCCTGTCTAGTTTCCAGACTGCAAAAGTTGTTTGGGAACCAGGGCTTGAAAGATCTTGGTGCCATGTTGAGGTGTTTGGACTTAGAAGGAGAAATTTCTAATTAGAAATTAGAAGCATAGTCACTTTTGCTTCAGAAAAAAACCCTGAGAAGGAAGCAAAGTGTGGAGACAATTAGAAGGCCTAATAGAGTGTGGACACCTGCCATCATTGTGGGTGCAAGATGATTTTAAGTTATACATTAGAAAATCCTTTTGTTAAGTTGTACATTTAACACATTAAAATATGAATGATAGAATGCAGGCATTATTGCTCAAGATGGGTTTTCTTTTTCCACTTATTTTAGTTGGCTTTTTCTTGGTGGTGGTGGTGGTGGTACTCAGAGCCTTGTGCTTGCTAGGCAAGCACAGTCACCTCCCCCCAACCCCCAGCCCTTTTTGCTTTAGTTTATTTTTCAGTTTGAGTTTCATTTCAAGCTTTTTGCCCAGGACTGGTGTAGGACCTTGATCCTTCTGCCTGCCTCCTGAGTAGCTAGGATCACAGGCATGCACCACAGTGCCTAGCTAGTTTTTGAGGTAGGGTCTTGCCAACTTTTTTTTTTTTTTTGGCCTGTCCTGGCCTTAAACTGTGATCCTCCCATCTTCGCCTCCCAGGTAGCTGGGACTCCATGCATGGATTACCATGCCTGGCCTTATTTTAGTTTTATTATTATTTTTTTTAAGTTGAGTCCATTTAAGGAAAATGTTAAGTGAATGAAAGTTCTCATTTTAGTTGGAGTGGCAAAAGTTGTGAGGGTGGTTTGGGAAACACTTCCCTAGGAAAGGTTTGATAAGAGAGCACGAACCACAGAAGTGCGATTCTGAGCTGAGTGACTAGCATGCCAGTCCTTAATTAAATCAGGACCTGGAGTGGGGTAGGAGCTGTGGGGTCCACATTTCAGTCTTAGTGGTGGAGAGAAAATACAAAGAGAAAGACTAATAAAAGTGGAAACTCTTATGTGTTAAGGGGAATGCTGAAAGGCAATGAAAGCAGCATGTGAGATGGCTACATGAACCCATTCAGGTAAGGTGCCCGCTGGTCCTTCTTCAAGGCTGTGTCATCAGTCTGAACTCTCCAAAGAAACAACAAGTCAGTTAGAAGCTAAATTTGCTTAGCTGCTATTTGCCTGTTTCTTAGGGCTCAGCTCTGCTATTATGATCCCTGGACTCCTCCAGCTGAGACAAGCACTCTCCTGTGGCCTTCCGTGGTCCTTGATGTAGACATTGTTGTAGTCTTTTTTTTTGTATGATGGATTATGCCATTGCCGTATCCTTAAGAACTTTAAGTTTCTTAAGAACATCAACAGTCTAATTCCTGTAAGCATCCAGATAAGTTTCTCATACTTAGTAAGCCTTAGTGTTAACTGGGTGAACTCTTCTTCTAGACTGTAATTCTCTTGAGAATGAGGGATCTTGTCTTGTTCATCTTTTCTGCTCTGCTGTCTTGTGCCTCTTTTTTGGTGTTTGACTGGACATGAAGCTGGTGAGTTAGCACCAACCATAACCCTTGCTCCTTTTGTATCCTTAAAGTGTTTCCTCTTACCATCTTTCATTTTTTTAGCTGTCCCTCCTCTGCATTGCCATGGGAATTCAAGGCCTGGCCAAATTAATTGCTGATGTGGCCCCCAGTGCTATCCGAGAGAATGACATCAAGAGCTACTTTGGCCGCAAGGTGGCCATTGATGCCTCCATGAGCATCTATCAGTTCCTGATTGCTGTTCGTCAGGGTGGGGATGTGCTCCAGAACGAGGAGGGGGAGACCACTAGCCACCTGATGGGCATGTTCTACCGCACCATCCGCATGGTGGAGAATGGCATCAAGCCTGTGTATGTCTTTGACGGCAAACCGCCACAGCTGAAGTCAGGTGAGCTGGCCAAACGCAGTGAGCGGCGGGCTGAGGCCGAGAAGCAGCTGCAGCAGGCTCAAGCAGCTGGAGCAGAGGAAGAGGTGGAAAAATTCACGAAGCGGCTAGTGAAAGTCACAAAGCAGCACAATGATGAGTGCAAACATCTGCTGAGCCTCATGGGCATCCCATACCTTGATGCACCTAGTGAGGCAGAGGCCAGCTGTGCTGCCCTGGTGAAGGCTGGCAAAGTCTACGCTGCAGCCACTGAGGACATGGACTGCCTCACCTTCGGCAGCCCTGTACTAATGCGACACCTGACTGCCAGTGAGGCCAAGAAGCTGCCCATCCAGGAATTCCACCTGAGCCGGATTCTGCAGGAGCTGGGTCTGAACCAGGAGCAGTTTGTGGATCTGTGCATCCTGCTGGGTAGCGACTACTGTGAGAGTATCCGAGGCATTGGGCCCAAGCGGGCCGTGGACCTCATCCAGAAACACAAGAGCATCGAGGAGATTGTGCGGAGGCTTGACCCCAACAAGTACCCTGTACCGGAAAACTGGCTTCACAAGGAGGCCCAGCAGCTCTTCCTGGAACCCGAGGTGCTGGACCCAGAGTCTGTGGAGCTCAAGTGGAGCGAGCCAAATGAAGAAGAGCTGGTCAAGTTCATGTGTGGCGAAAAGCAGTTCTCTGAGGAGCGAATCCGCAATGGAGTCAGGCGGCTGAGCAAGAGCCGTCAAGGCAGCACCCAGGGCCGCCTGGACGATTTCTTCAAGGTGACTGGCTCTCTCTCTTCAGCTAAGCGCAAGGAGCCAGAACCCAAAGGGTCTGCTAAGAAGAAGGCAAAGACTGGGGCAGCAGGGAAGTTCAAAAGGGGAAAATAAACGTGTTTCCCCCCATTGTCCCTCCTTGAGCCCAGAATATCTGCTAGATATCTCTAGGTGTGCTAGAGCTAGCACACCTGGAAGCATGGGGCGGGAAGGGGGAAGATTCCATTGCTTTTCTAGTGCTTCCCTTCTCAGTACTGCTTTTCCTTTTTTACTTGATTTTATGGCAAGAAAGCTACAGGGGTGCTTTCTTTTCTTTTTTTTAATCTCAGGAAAGTATTTCAGGCTCAAGCCACTTCTCAGGCAGGTTAATGGACACTGGATCCATTGTTACATAAAATGACATCAAGTTTTGAAGAAAGAAGAGGGAGCTAAATGGTGGAGATGAGTGTGTAGAGATGACTTCCTGACTTGCCAGCTGCTGGCTGATGGGAAGTGACTGTGGAACATGATGACTATGCTTTCTTTCTAGTTCATTCATACCCATCCTGAAAGATAGCCATCAGGAAGATCCAGGCCTGGTGGATGAGAAGAGCTATCAAGAGAAGAGACAAGCAGAGCACAGCAGTCTCTGCAGTTGGCAGCCGGATCTGACTACTGGCTGTGTTGTGAGGTGGGCAGAAACTTGAACTTGTGCAGTGAGTCTTTACAGTGGTTATTCAGAGGAGTAAGATTGATGATGTGGCCTTTTGACTGAATTGAGATTGGGGTAAGACATTGGTTTGGATGTGCTATTTTTATTTTAAAGATGTGAAAAGAAAATAAAATTATAGAAGTAACAAGAATGTCATATTCTTTGAGGACATTTAAAATACCCCTAGTACTCTCTGCTCAAGGATTAGGTAACGGTGGTTTTGTACCTGCTTGACAGGTGGTTTACGAGTGACCACTAGGTGGCACCATACTCCGTACAGTAGCCATACCAGCTGTGGCCTCACTTCAGTCCTTTAGCCTTTGGAGGATGCTTAATTTATCTTGCTGCTAGAAGAGTTTGAGTAAATTGGATGGATTTCTCATGTTTCACCTATGCTGTGTGAGGTAAAGGAGCTCCTTTGGAAAAAAAAAAACTTGCAATTTAGCTTAACTACTTCATAACATCCAATTTGTCAGTTTGTAAACTGAAAGCTATTGTTCAGAAGCCACTCTTGTTCCCTTTGTGGTGTCAAATTTAGGTTTGTTTCCTAGAGATGAATATTTGAACTTTGTGTGTTTTATAATCCTCAAAGTTTGAGTTTATTTTTATTTTGGTGGGGTTTGAACTCAGGGCTTAATGCTTACAAAGCAGGCACTCTACTCTTGAGCCATACCTCTTGAGTTTATGATTTTTTTAAGCTTTAATATTACTGGCATTTGAAGTTAATTGTCTAAAATTTAAGTTGAAAATGCCTTAACAGATTAATTGGGAAACAGACTAATACCATTAGTCTTCAAATGTTTTAATGGAGAAAACCATTTTCTAAGAGTTCATCTAAGACTGTAAGAGTTCTGTTGAAGCAGGTGAGATAGTCTCAGCAATGGCCCCATAACAAGGAGACTATGAAAACCATTGACGTAGACATGAAATTCTACCCCGAACTTAGTTTTGTTCACTGCTTTATTCCAGCAGTTGATGAATGAAACCGACTTCCCAGATTGAACCAAGCCACACAATTTACTTAACTTGATCTTATTTTCTGATTCAGGCAATTTGATTTGGTTCTATACCTGCAGTAATGATGATGAGGCCTAGAAGTGCCAAGACGTCATCACCTTGGTGCGGTAGCTGTAATTAAGGGCTTGTGTGCCCTGTGGTAGTCAAGTATGTAGAATGATTGGTTTTCAAATTTGAATCACTTGTTCCTCCTAGAAGTTTGTTAATCTAACTTTATATGGACAACCTGCAGGAGAAAATCACTTCTGCCTGCAAACAGTTTTTGCTCAGCAGAGCTGTTTTAGTACGATGGTTGGTTAAGAGGCATTGCTCTGAAGCCTAGCTTGGAGGAATTGTGCTTGCAGAGATATAGGCAAGTAAGACTTCTGGGAACTAACTTAAAAATGAAAAGGGAAAAAAATGACTCAAAATTGAAGGACAAAAGAGTTAGTACAATGAGGAGGTGGTGATACCTTGAAGCCTTGTTATTTGGTCAGTTCAGCATCTGAACATATGGGCGTCACAGGAAGGGCCTGGTTTTGCTTCTTGCCATGGCTATCCTTGCCTGGGTCCCTTGGAGTCATGTTCCTTGCTGTGCCAGGAGGCTCATACAAGTTGGCACTGATCATGTTTAGAAAGAAGTTGGAGCACACAGGTGAACAGTAATTCACAGCAGAGGTACCAGCAAATCTTATATACCCGTGCAGACATTTTAATGAAATGAATAGCCTTTATTTGGTCAAAATTAACTTTTATTTTTTAGCTTTACTTCATTGGAATGTGGTAACAACACTGGCACACAAAAAGACACTGACATTGGACCAAATTAAAGAAATTACCTCTATAGCCAGGTAGTTGAAAAGTAAAAGTAACAAAAAATAAGTCAGAATTCTAAAAAAAAAGTGTTTGTTGGAATGTTCTGCAACTTTTCTTCTTGAATCCTGTTTTCTCATCTGTCAGTGGATTTGAGATCAACCATTTTACTACTGTAATATTCTGAGTCCTTTGTTACTTTGTGTCCCTTGTGGCCACATGAGACCACACTGGTAAAGGCCACACTGGTTCAGGTGCTTTGAAGACCTGGTCTTGGCACAGTAGAGCTCACTGGTATTTGCTGGCTGGTGGCCTGGGCCCAAAGCCAGTTGGCTTGACAGGCTGGTGATGCCACCCACATACCCCAGATGGCAGAGATCAACAACTATTTTGGAGGGAGAGAACCAATGAAAATGGAACTGTTCATTTCTGCTTCTAGTTTCCCTACTCAGCCTGTTTTAAACCAGGTTCTTCAGGGCCAAATTTCAAGACCTGAACTTTTCTGCAACCTCTTTCCTGCCTGGTTTTGACAAACCTCTATATAACCCTGCCAGCCACTGTATGCCAAATCCTAACATGCCTTACCACCCTCATTGTGACCCCCTGCCATAATCCCCAAACTTATCCTGGGCTCTGCTTTTTGCCTTCTAGGCTGAGGTTCTTTTCCAGTATCTAAATGGTCAATATGCTTAGAGTAGACTTTTAAACAGGCAAAGAAATACTGCCTCACCTGGACTGAAGGATTTGGGAAGAAAGAGGGTGTGAATGCTTATGATTGGCCCTGGGAGTTAAGTTAAGACTCTTCTGGCATATTCCTATGTTTGCTCTCTGGGGATAGGTGTTAAACCATTCTTACCTTTTATAAACTAGAAGATTTAAAAAATGGCATTTCAGTATTAGATTGATATGCTTTGTAAGAGGTTATCCTAAATTCCTATGTGGTTTCCAGAATAAGATGCTTGAGTGAACAAGAGTGGACCAAGGGGGATTCTTGGCTGCAGCAATGATACTTAACCTTCCTACTTCTGATTTAGAACTGTGAAATGATTAGTTCAGCCCACAGCTCCTACTAAAAAATAATGCTGGGGCATAATTTAGGGGATAGAAGTTCTGTTTCTGTTTATCATCCTTTACATTCTTTATGAATGAAACTTTGATCACCTGTGCCTTACTAACTGCTATTTTATTAAACTTGGAATTACAGGTTGGGAAGCAAAAGGAAACCATTTTTTTCTGGGGAGGAGGAAAGACTAATTTACCCCATTTATTCTCTTGCTTGTGGAGCAAGCAAGTCCTGGGAGTTCTCTGTTCCTTGAGGGATGGTTCAGAGGTGAAATCAAAAGGGATTTTTGATGGCCAGCAACTCTGTCTTGCCATCTTGGCAAGAACCTAGTACCTAATGTTCACTCTGGAATGAGGATGGAATACGAGACCAAAATCTGTGCTGCCAGGATCTCTCAAGGCCAAATTATCTACAAAACCACAGTCCTTGCCTTTGCCCTGCCTACTTCTGAAGCTGGAAAATGGTTTCAGGCATGGGTCACACCCAGCCCTGGACAGTGAGCTGAGCCCCCAGGCAGGGAGTTGGGCCAGGCCTCAGTAATTCTATGCATGAGTACTTCCTTTCTAAATCTTGCTCCAAGGGTTTAGTGCTCTGAGGTTAGCAAGTGAGGGTAGAGTCACTTGACGCGTGGCCCAGTGAGATGAACACCCCCTATATGAATGAATTTTAGTGATTTGCTGCTTGATGCTAGGCTCAGTAGGTCCCCTCTTCTGATCCTCTCCCAGTCCCCTTTTATCTATCAACTCTGCATCTACCAAAGTAGAAACAACAAAATAGACTCCTATCCCTGCCCCCACAGTTCCTTCTCTCCGTCCAAGGCTTGCACTTCTCCCCACCCCTCCTAGGATCTTCAATTTGTACCTAGAAGGCAAAAGGAGAATGTCTAAACGTGAACCTTTGTGACCCCTAGCCCACCCCCCCTGGGAACATGAGAATCAGTAGCATTGCCCCACAAGTTCCTTTCTGCTTTGGCTCCAGAGTTGTCCTCTTCCTCTTCTAGATGGAGGGGGAGGAGTTGTTGTTATTGGTGAAGATAGGCATCCAGCCAGAGCTGCCCAGACTCCTTCAGTGACCTGCAGGAACAACAGAAGGGATCAGTGAGGGAGACAGGCAGAGCAAAGCTTGCCAGAGATGGCCGAGTAAGGTCCTTACAGACAGGTGGGGCTGTGCCCTGTGACACAGCTCTTCTTCCACCTAAAGGCTTTTCTCCTTTTGTTTCTGTGGAAGCTGGCATGGGCTGTGGCACTGAAGGGAGCTCCAGAGAGAGCAGGGCCTGACCTGGCCGCAGGCAACACAGTGTCCTGCCTTTGCCATGGTGCCCTCCATTCCTAACTAAGAGCCCTTCCTGTGGCTCCTCACCCAGGATCCTGCTCCTCCATTCCCACCACCTTGCTCTCTCCCTCCTTCCAGCCAACTTCCTGGACTCCAGTACTCACTGGACGATGTCGGCAAAGGCTGTGAGCAGGGGCTTGGACTGGTACTCTATGCCATGCTTGGCACATAGGGACTGCACCAGGGGCGCCGCTTTGTGGTAATTGTGTCGGGGCATTGTGGGGAAGAGGCTTCAGGGAAAACAGAAGAATACAGTCAGGAGCTTCTGCCCTTCCATCCCCCACACCCCAAGTCCCCCAGGACTCTGCTTTCTGGGTCTCCCTACTCACTGGTGCTCGATCTGGAAGTTGAGGTGCCCACTGAACCAGTCATTGAAGGCAGAATGGTGGACGTTGCATGTTGCCTGGACCTGGAAGAAAGGCCAGCTCAGCCTTTCTAAGTCAGGCTAGCTAGGGACGACATGCAGGACCATCCCTGGTCATTCCCTTTACATGGTGGCAGAAGAGATGCCTCAAGCTAAAAGGGCAGTTACTGTCCACCATCTGCCCTTTTTGTTAGTGTGTCACGCTCAGGTTTTTGAGGGACTGTCCCTTACCTGGGTGGAGACCCAGTCCTTGTTCCGGTCATGATCGATGTGCATGGGGATGTGGTTCATCTGTGTCACCCACACAAACCAGTGGCTCTCCAGGAACCTGTTGGATGTGGCATGCAGACACCAACAGTACAGGCAGAGCCCAGACTGCCTACTCCTCAGGTTGCCACGCCAGCCTGTCTACCTTCCCAAGCCAACTCCCCAGCAGCCTCTGTTGCCTGAGCCCAGCCCCCAGACCAGCACCTGTACTTTCCTTTGCCAGCCCCTCTGCCCATCAGATACTACCTGACAATGAAGAAAAGACCCAGGAAGCCTTTCAGCCCCAGCAGCGGCATGTAAGTGAGGAAGATGCGGACATAGAAGGTGACCATCCAGGCCAAGTCCTGCAGTGCGAACAGCAGAGTGGCTTTTCCACCCCTTCCCTTCCCCCGCTGCTCCGCCTGCTGCAGCCATCCTCCTGCCCAGGCCTGGGCACTTGTTACATTCAGCTTCTCTGGGATCTGTCCTGCACCATCTAGTGCCACTGTTCCTTGTGTTCTTGGTGGTACCCCAGGGGTTGTCACTCTGGAGAACCCCTTGTCCCCTTCCCAGGGGTGCACATGGTCTCCCTGCCTCCAGCTCCACCCCAGCCTGTCTAAATGCTGTCAGATGAATCAATACCATAACTCAGTCTGTGCCAATGCTCTATTAAAGGCAATTCCAATTGCCTGGCAAACAAAGCACCAGTCTCCCCCACACTGGTGGCCAAACTTGCCCCTTACCTCCCAGTTTCTCTGCTGCCCTACTTTTACCTGTCAAGATCCTGCCTGTCCTGAAGCTAGTTAGAACAAGTGACTTCATAAAGCAGACACAGGCCCCTTTTGGGATCCCAGCACCTCTTTTGTCTGTGCCTCTTTTTGCTATCAGTCACATTCTGTTGCATCAATAATTCCCCGAAAGTAAGGAGTGTCTCTGGCTCCTCTTCCCCATTCATTTCCTACTGGCACCCTGGCCTTCTGCCCAGCATGGGAACCTCAGGAGACTGGATGCATGAAAGCAGGCATTGGGAATCAGGTTGTCTGGTGAGCTCAAATCATTTTGTGCCACCTAGAGAGCAACTACACCTAGTTTTATTATTTTGCTTTAAACTGGACCTAGAGTCAGCCTCAGTTTCACCTGGAGAGCCCCCTTCCCTCTGCAGGGTGCCAGAGAACACAGGATGTAGGACTCCTAGGGCATGGTACTCACCACCCATTTCTTCCGCTGGATAACAAAATAGAAAATATACCACTGGAAGTAGAGCGGCAGCAAGGCTGGGGGCCCAACTGGAGAGGAAAAGGAGATGTGAGCTGTAGGAGGGTCACAAAAGGACTGCTATGGAGATACAGCCCCCAACACAGAGCTGCCCCTGCCCATCCCCTCTTGTTGCCTCTCCACTTGCCTTAGTACTCCTCCAGTGGCTCTAAGCCAGCAGGCACTGAGGATGGGCATGAATGCAAGCTTGGAGAAGGCAAATTCTCCAAGAGGATGCAGGGGAGAGCAAAGGGTGGAAGGAGCACCCTTTTCCTATGTAAGAGGGTAGGAGGGGAAACTCAAGCTCCAGGCACGGAACATGCTCTGCTCCCACGTCTTTAGAAGGGCACTGCTAATACTCCCTGTGTGGCCTGGGCCACAGCTCTGCCCCTGCAATCACCTGCATGTTCATGGCTGCTCCACCATGCAGGTCAGGAGGCAGGAAAACGTTTTGGGGTGGACCCTCCTGAGCTTTCACATGCTGAAAGGCGCACCTGATGCCACCTCCAACCCTGCACTGCAATGCCCGTCCATCACTTCTGAATCTGATGTGCGTCAGATTCTACGATTCTTTCTTAGAGAAGATTCTGCTCTACCTTCTGTCCAGCTGTCTCTAAGCAGGAACAGTTAGTAATAAGCAGTTAGGATAAATTCCTTCCAACTTTTTTTTTTGGCTGTACTGGGGTTTGAACTCAGGGCGTACACTTTGAGCCACTCCACCAGCACCTCCCCCCCTTTTTTATGAAGGGTTTTTCAAGAGGGTCTTGTGAACTATTTGCCTGGGCTGGCTTCGAACTGTGATCCTCCTGATCTCTGCATCTTGAATAACTGGGATTATAGCCCTGAGCCACTGGTGCCCAGCTACTTCCAACTTTTAAAGGAGTTTTAAAGCTCACATTTGGGGCACTATGGAGCACTCTTTGAAAGCAGGGGATACATAGCAGGCCCCAGAAAGGCTTAAGTGACCACAGAAATGTCTTCTGTTCAGCAGCCATGCTCCTCATGCCCCACCAGATCACCTTAACTGACTTTCATCTTTGTTTGACAAGGGTTAAGGCAAGGTTGAAAGCTCCAATAAGAGGCCTCCACATACTACTCAGTTTTCTGGTGGAAGCAAGAGTGGGACAGGAGAAACTAGTTTGCCCCCTGCACAAATGACTAATCAAAACAGTAGCCTGCTGATGTTGCTCAGTGGAGAAGGTAACTACTCCCGGGTAGTTGTGAGCCACCTACCCGCCACACTCCTTAGTAACCCCTCCCAAGGCTGCTCCCCATGTGGCTAAAGACACTTACTCAGGAAGAAGTACTTGTGCTGGTGGTTGTAGGGCATGTACTTTTTCTTTTGTTTTCCAAGCTGTGAAGCAAACACAAGTCAGCAGTCACCATTCACAGACCAGTCACCCATTCCCCTCCTCAGCACCTGGGCTTTTTCCTGCCCAGAAGCCTGCAGGACCCCTCAGCTTGTTGGTGTTACTGGGAAGTGCTACAGGCCCAGTCTTACCCCAGCACCCAGAGCAAGAGGCTTGGGCTGCTGTGATCTGTGGAGTGTCACCTGACATAGCTCATGAGGCCTATCAGAAATGTGCACAATGCCAAGTCTACAGGTCTTCTGAACTCCTAATGTTCACCCAAAGATTCTCTACCATACAGTTTCCAGGCCCCATGGCCTTCCCTTCCTGTCACCCATCTGGTACTCTCTGGACATCAGTCTCCAAGGAAAACCATTCTGCCGGTACATGGGTAAGCATTCCCTGTATGTCTAGCCCTTAATCTTCTCCATAAAAATCTTTTGGACTCTTAACTTCAACATGACCTTTATGTAAATCTCTTGAAAGCTAAGCAAAGTTTGGCAGATATTTGTGGAAAGGCTACTGACAGCTGTCAATCTGAAGTTTCTGGCAAAGTTTTCTCCAGCAGGTGGTGATTATTTTATAAGCTGAGCTGCTGAAGGGATAGGCTGGGACCACCATGTCAACCAATCAACATAGAGCCCCTTGCATGGGCTCCCGTGTTTGCTCTGCTGCCTCACTTGGTGGCTTCTGTATTTCTTGCCCTAATTCTGGTACTCAATCACAAAGGCACAGTAGAAGCCCTCAACCCAGAGCAGAATGCTGGCTCCTCCTCTCACACATCTACCCACTGTGTCCACAGGTCACTTGAGCTAGAGGAAGCATTCTTTCTACATGGCTGGATTCATTCAATAAGCATTGGAGTGCCTATGTTGCCAGCCACTGTTCTGCATGCTGAGGGAACAGAGGCGAACAGTATAGTTCCTGTCCACATGCAGCTTATAACTTGAGAAAAGGAATCTGCTAATAAACTTGTAAATAAGAGTTCAGAACAACTTACAAACAGGAAAACAGGTCAGAAAAGCAGCAATTTGGCAAAGGTGGTCAAATTTGGCCTCTTTTAGGCCCTGACACCTGACTCCAACCTGAATGATAAGAAAGACTAACAATGGCAAAAGCCCAGGGGAAGAACATTTAAAGCAGAAAGAACAGCCAGAACAAAGGCTCTGATGTTCAAGAAAACTAGGGAGGGGCTAGGTGACCAGACTAGATGTTATGGTTTGATGTGGTTTGTCCTTCGTGGATTCTTGCTTTGAAGGTTTGGTGCTCCCTGTGGTGATGAGGAGGTGGGACCTTTTAAGAGGTGGATCTTACCAGGAAGTTAATTGGATCACTGGGGGCATCACCCTCAGATGAAATTAATGTAATTTTTGTTAGTTCCTTGGAGAGCGTTATACAAAGAGTAAGCCTGGCCACCTTATCTCCCCACAAGATTGTTCTTAAATTGATGGAGCCACCTGATCCTGGACTTTTAGCCCCTCAGACTGTTATCTAAATAAACCTCTTTTCTTCATAAAGTACCCAATTTCAAGCATTTTATTGTAACAACCCAAAATGGGCTAATATTCCAAGAGAAGGGGCAATGGAGCTGTAGATTTTGATGGAGTTGGCAAATATTCTAGAGGCAGGTAAATAAGGCTTGCTGAAGAATTGGATGTGGTGGTGAGGGTCAACCCACTCTGAGCCACATTGACTGAGGGGAAATCTAGAGGAAGAACACCACTTTTGGTTGGTGGGATGGGTGGGGAACTGCTATGGGAAGTGGCCCCATTATGATTCCAATAACTTTGCTCCATTGTGTTTAGACCCTCAGGGTTAGAAGAGTTCTGCTAGGGGGAAAGTGTCACCTGCACCCCCCTGTCCTCCAGCAGAAATGGGAGGCACTGGACAGATACACTGAGTTAGCCAGTGCATCACTGTCCAATTAAGCTGTCCCCAGAGGGACCAAACCAAGCCCCAAGCAGCCTACAGCCTATTCACGACAGGTACCTAGCAGGAAAAAGCGATGAAGACTACTTTGGTTCCTCAATCATTCTCTATTCCTGAAGTTTGCAGACAGGAGTTGCCTGAAGACCCTCGTCCCAGGAAGCAATAAAGTCAGTGGTGGGAAACGATTCCTTTCACTAAGCCCCTTCTCCTTTTAAACCCTAAGTAGTGACAAAAGAAGTGCTAAGAGCATGGTGCTGTTCTCAGTAAGTAATCTACACTGCCCTCAAAGCAGCCTCTGGAGCTAGGAGAGGCCAGGGCTGGTCCACTATCTGTGCACTACTGACCCTAACACAGAGCGGGACCCGTAACAACCAAAAAAGTCGATGCTTAGGAAGTGAGAAAATGAGAGCATTAGGGACAAGTGGAGCATAAACTGAAGCTGTGAGCGCTTTGTTCCAGGACAACCAGTGCTGCCAAATCTCTTCCAGAGTATGTCTCATGGCCAAAGGGGAGAGGAGGGTCAGGCTACCTTGAACTCATGCCTGAAACTGAAACATGTTCCACAACAGTGTAATACCTGGCAAGCTGAAATGTCATTAGGTGGGGAGAGGGGACTTGGCAGAACTCTGACTGCAGCATGGAGCCTAGGGACAAAGGGTTTTAAATTAACTTTTCAAGGAACTCTGCTGGCCATTCAGAACCTTCTATTGCTCATGCTCACGACGAAACCTTACCAAATCTCTAGCCCCAGGCATTCTTCCAACAGCAGCTGCATTCTGATTTTTTTTTTTTTTTGGTGGCAGTGCTGGGGTTTGGACTTAGGGCCTCAAGCTAGGCAGGTGCTCTACCACTTGAGCCACACCTCCAGCCCTCAAGTTCCTTACATAAAGTGGCATAGTATTTGCAAGTAATAGACACCATATACTTTAGAGTAGTCTTGTGAGGTTGGTGACATGGGGCTTCAATTTTTTTTTTTTTTTTGCAGTGCTGGGCATCAAACCTAGGATCTCAACTCATGCTAGGCAAGCCTCTTACCACTGAGCTACACCCTAGCCCTTTCCTAGAATTCTTTAAATCCTCTTTAGATTACTTATAATACCTAATAAAATATAAAGGCTATGTAAATAGTTATTATGTACTATTTAGGAAAAAGAAACAAAAAAACCAGTCTGCACATGTTCAGTACAGATGCAATTTTTTCTCCTGAATATTTTGACCCATGGTTGCCTAAATCCACAGATGCAGAAGTAAAGGATATGGAGAGGTGGCTGTACTCATTGAAGGAATGTTCCACGCACTGGGCATCATCAACGCCATTAACAGGGAAGACTGACACAGCAGGATATCCAGTGTAAGAGACAGAAACACTAAGTGCACTGGGGGTGACGTCTCTGGGGGTGACGGCCTGCAGTGGTGGTGTCAAATGATACCCTGAGTAGGTGTCATCCATCAGCTTCTAGGGTGAGCAGGGGCTTGCACAGCATCCTACTGTCACCCTCTGGATCCACTGCAACATGTGGTACTTTTACACAGTAACTATCTGCTGATAGAACTCACTAGAAGGGATGGGTGATTCTGTTCTGGGAAGCCATGGTTTACTGTCTGTTGCTGCCCAGAGCTTCCAAAAGACAAGGGCCCCAGCCAGGGCAGCCCCTATGTCTTACCAACACCAACAACCTTCTGTTTTCCCCAAAGCTCTCTGCAATGGTTGCTTTCTATTCCCCAAGACCTTAATATTGACACCTTCACTCACTTCCACAGAAAGAACCTTTCCCAAAGCGAAGAAGAGGGGATGCATGTTGATGTCTGGGTCTTTTCGGAAGCAGTTGGGCTTGGCATGGTGCTGGAAGTGCATGTGGTTCCACCAGCTGGCAGGGGCCCCCTACAAAGAATTGAGGATATATAAAAACCTAGTGTCACACATCCTCCCCGCTCCCCAAGCAGTCCTTTATTGACTGGAGTTTCAGAGACCCCTTCCCATCCCATTGACCTTCAGGTGGCCAATCACAAAATGATGTAGCAGGTGGTTCCACATAGAGGTGCCAAAGACCGACAGGTGCCCAAAGTCATGCTGCAGCCAACCAGCTTGGGCCTAGGAGAGAAAGGTTAACGGTGAGAACAGCCCCACCAGCCCATTTCTCTCACTGACCTCAACGGCCCCTTCAGCCTCTCCTTCTTCCTTCATCCATCCAGGAGTGTGATGGTCTCACTACCCCAAGTGAGCCTATCGAGAAGAATCAGGAAACCTGGGTCCTAAGTCTGGTCAGTGACTGACTCACATGTGAGTGGAAGCAAATCACATTCCCTTCTTGGTTCTAAAGTGCTGTGACATAGGATGGACTGACATCCAGAACACAGAAAGGTCTCAGAGATGAGTAAGAAGGCTTGCCAAGTGGTTCTGACAGTCAAGTATTGGGCCCAATCATGATTAATTAGCATGTTGGACAATGTCAGTGGTGGGGAGGGAGTCAAACACTGGTGAAAAACCAACATCTTGGTTCTTGGCATGCTTGGACTGTGGCAGAACCTGAACTTGAAGTTTCAGAGAACAAATTCTATAGGAAGAAGAGAATCCCGGAAAGAGGAGCTGGAAAGCCAAGAGAGAAATGAAGATGTACATACGGTCAGTGAGCAGCTAACAGCCATAGACACTGGAATTTGAATGTATGTGCTCTTTCTGTACAAACTCTCCTGAATATCTTCAGATCTGCAGGCAGGAGTCTTGGCCTTCTCAAGTGTACAAAGCTTTTCTGAGGGATGCCAAGAATAGCACATGACCAGCCAGAGGCTCTCACCTGAACTGTACTGAGAAGCACTGCACAAAGGAGGAAGGGCACAAAGGATGTCCCAAAGATCCAAAGAGTGAACCAGGCAGCGACATCCAGCAGCAAGATGTGCAGCAGGTGCAGCAGGAAGAAGAGGTGGTTGGCTTTCAGGAGCCCCATCCGCTCCACTGTGGTCCGCAGTTCCCGGAATTCATTAGTTAGCTCTTTCTGTGGAAGAATGAGGTTGTTAATTCTCCCCAGTTACAACCCAACCCTGCTGGAGACAAAGGCCCTTTCAGGCTCAAGGACCTGTTGTACCTGCAGAAAGTCCACAATCCGAGACAGAGATACAATGATAATGAGGAAGTATGACAGAAGGAGTCGTTAAAGATGGGCTCATACTCAATGGATAAGCAAATCTGATTTGGGTCCCTGCTTTGCCATTTACTGTCTGATCCGTGGCTGTGTTGCTTAACTCTGAGCCTTGGTTTTCTCATGTGTAAATGTGTGAAAATTACGGGTTTATTATAGGTCTCATGTGGATGGTGCTGATGGTAGTATTGGTGGTGTCAGCCTTGGGAAAAGCATAGTTTCCAAAGTCCTGCTTTGTTGGGTTCAGGACTCTCATGACTAGGTAACACAGGCAGGGACATCAAGACTCCTGATGTCACCTGTGATCCTATCTAGGCTTTCACAACAACTAAGTCTCCAAACAATGAATAGGGTCTCACATGCTTGGTGGGCTCAAAGCTGGGCTGCTCCGGAGACAGCTCTCCAATCAGGAGAGAGTTCATATACTTCCTCACAAGGTCCTGGTTAATGTGGAAGGCCACAAAGGGATCCTGTAAGTGTGGGGAGAAGACAGAAAGGTAAGGGCTCATAAGAAAGGCCATCCTCCTGACAGCAAGAAGGCTTCACACAAGTTCAAGTAGAGACCACCTCCCTCCCCCCAGCCAACTTTGGACAGCGTTCAGGCCTTTCCTACTGCCTACAGTTCAAGATCTCCAAGCATCTGGGTTTCCATCACATCAGTGCTAACCAAGGAGTGGGAACTATCCCCTGGGGGCTACCCAGAAAGACCTGTCTGGGCTAGCCTTCTTGTCTACAGACAGCTTTTGCCCCATGAATTTCACATAGATGAGTAGAGCCAGAAGGGACAGGTGGAGCTATGAGGCTTCTCTTTCTGTTAGACTTTCAACATTCCCTCCTTTCTCAGCCAGCTTCTCCATAAACTGGCGAGGAAGACTCCCTATATTGAAGGTGGAGAAATTTCGCATTTCTCCTTCCCTCTACTGCTCTTCTGGGAAGGGACCCCTCTTTCCCCCAGCTCTCTAACCACCCTCTGCCCCAGGATGGCTAATTTTCATTATGCAAGGTGGGGAACTCTGAGGCAATATTCATGTCTCTGGGTGGGAGAGCCCCAGGTCCTATGGGAGAAGCTGCCATGTAAGGGTGGTGGCCGAGGAGGGGCCAGGCAGACAGTGGCACCACACATTCAGACCAATTAGCTGTCCTGGCTGCGAGGTCCCCAGTCCCAAATCACACTGTACAGGAAGCCGGGATGGTGGATCCTGCGCGGTCTGCGCATGCTGCTGTCTGGACTCCAGAGGTCACTCCGGGTGACCAGCACAGGCTCCAGCCCCTGAGGCTGGCTGCGTTTGAATGAGGGACGGGACCTCCCACAGCATCTAAACCCAAGCTCAACTTAACCCGGAATGGTTCTGGAATGCCAGGGCGGGGGTAGAGATGGTGTGGGTGGGGGTAGGGCATCATGCCACTGTGCCACAGTTCCAGGACCGCTGAGGGGGTAATGCGGTAAAACTAACACCCCAATTTTCGGGTCCCAAAGGGTAACCCCCAGCCTCAACCTCGCACTCCCACCAAGGGAGGCTCTGAGGTCCCATAGTCTAGAAAGAGAAGTAGCAAGACCAAGACCCGGGAGTACTCAGACCTCGCGCGAGGTCCAAGAGGCGACCCGACCCTGCCAGGTACCTACCACCCAGGAATGCAAACAGCTGTCTGCTCTGCCGTCAGAGACTCCCCGTCTCTAAGTGACCTCCCTTGCTCGATTTGAAGGGCAGTTCCGGGATTCGTCGCTAAAGGCATGCCGAAGCAGGAGCCCCCACCTTCAGCGCCCAGCTCCCACACCCGCTGTACGTCTGCCCCATGGTGGCCCTCTCTGACCAGTGCTGTCCCTTTCCTGCAAGGGGTTCCCAAGGCGATGGGCTCTTTGTTTCAATCTTATCCTCCAGAGTGGTTCCTCTCCTGTTCCCTCCCCGCTTCGGCTCGCAAGTGGGGCACCGCACAACAGGTCGGATGCGGCTGCACTTCCCTCTTCCAGCCTCGAGACAGGCCACGACTCTTTCTCCCTCCATTGACCCCTTCCTCCCCCGGGCGTCCTACATTCTCGCTCTCCTCCCTCCTCGTCCAGCTCTGGATCCAGCCCGCCCCTGGAGACAGCGGGTTGGGGCTACAGAGGAAATGCACCGTGCGCAACCAGCCCTTTCTTTGTGTGCGCCTGCTGGCCTCCCTCCCCACCCCCCGGATTTCAGTCTTCTGAGCCTCTCTCCTGCCTCTGCATCCCAGGTCTGCAGGACACCAGACTACAGGGCGCCTGTTGGCTTTTCTCCGACTCAGTGGGAGTTCCTCCCAGGGTGCCAAATTTCTCGTCTCGCGTGCACTCAGTCTCCCGCCACGGTCGCCCGGCCCCGCCCCCTCCTGGGTCCCCGCCAGACGGCGCTCACCGTAGCATCCTGCCCCGCGTAGTGGCTAATGACCCGGGAGCCCCCAGGGTGCCGGCGGACAAATTCGCTGATGTTGTACACCTTCCTCTCGATCACTAGCCATCGCTCCTTCTCGCGCCCCGAGCGCCGCGCCACCTCCTCCCAAGTGAAGTATCTCAGGGTGGGGCCCAGGGCCGAGGTCCCGGCTGCCGCTGGGCTAAGGACCATCGCTGGCCTGGGATGCCCAGCACCCGCGGAGCAGTGGTGGTCAGGCGCGCGCTCGGGCCCGCGGGGCAGCGCACGCCAGCGACGCGAGCTCGAGAAGTTCGCTGGCGCGCCCCCGGAGCCCGCCGCCCGCGCTTTGCGTTTTCAGCACCCGCGGCGCGGACCGCCGACCCCTGCAGCGCGCGCTCCCATTGGCTGAGCCACGTGGCGTGGGGCGCGAGCTCCGCCCACCCGCCGGCCCTCCGGGACAAGCGCCCTCCGAGAGACTCAGGCAGCTTCTGGCTCAGGGATACGCGCCTCCTAGCGAATGCCTTAAAGTGGTCATCCCCGGATTCCACCTCCTGACTACCGTCTAGCCCAGCGCCTGCAGGGCATGGCCTTCCGTGGCGCTGCAGACAGAATAACGGTTTCTTGGTGAGCTACAGCTCGCTGGGGTCAAGGCCTGGAAGGGCCTGCACGGTGAGGATGTGTTTGGATGGAAAACACTTTGGACAAATTAAATTTAGCAGTTTATTTGAACAACGCAGCATCACCCTGAGCAAGCAGAGAAAGCTCTACCCATCAAGGTGGGTGGGCAGAATTTATAGACCAAAAAAAAAAAAAAAAAAAAAAAGAGCGCGCGACCTATGGAAGCAACCTGATTGGTTACAGCGTACAGCCTTTTGCCTTATTTGGACATGTCTACGCAGTTTGCACCCTGTGATTGGCCGAAAGCTAGGCTGCCGTGATTGGCTATGACTCCGCATAAGTATGTACTCTCGGGTTGCAATTTATCTATTAATTTAGTTTCCTAGTTTAACGGACAACATAGGACCCTTTGTTAAGGGTGGATGACGTTTTATTTATCTTGTAGAACATCATGTTTTAAGTATATAACCGTTGTGAGGTGGTCAAATGTAGCTAATAAATCCATTACCTCCCATAGTTATTTTGTGGTGAGAATATCTAACATTTGCTCTCTTTGCATACATATATATTTTTTTGAGCCACTCCACCAGCCCTTTTTTTGTGTGTGTGATTTTTTTTTTTTTTTCGAGATAGAGTTTTGCAAACTGTTTGCCCAGACTGGCTTCGAACTGTGATCCTCCTGATCTCTGCCTCCTAAGTAGCTAGGATTACAGGCGTGAGCCACTGGTGCCTGCTAATTTACATTTCTTTGATGATTAGTAATGTTGAGCATTCTTAAAAAATAAGTATGCCAGGTGCCGGTGACTCACGCCTGTAATCCTAGCTACTCAGGAAGCAGAGATCAGGAGGATTGAAGTTCAAAGCGAGCCTTAGGGCAAATAGTTCATGACCTTATATATATCTTGCGAATACAAAACAGGGCTGGTGGAGCGGCTCAAGCGGGAGAGTGCCTGCCTAACAAATGTAATGCCCTGAATTCAAACCCCAGTACCACCCCTCCCCAATAGGTATATTTTTAGAAGCTGTTTTCAATAGGTGATTTTTATGGCTTTTGAGAAATGCAAATGAAGTTTCTTCTCTCTCTGTGTATGTTTAAGTTAGGTTGTGGTTTATTTATGTATTAAATTATATTACTGTTCACTATATGGAGGCAATTTTAGGCCAAATTTAATTTTACAAGTGAATAGAAGGTCTGGGTCTGGGATAGGGGCTGAGGGACTGATGGGGTCACAGTAGGGTTGCGGGGAGGCTGCCCTCAGCAGCTGAGGTCATTCTGGGGCCAAGGCTTTTAGGGTCAGGGCTTCCCGCAGGAGGGGCAGGGGTGCTGACCTGATTTTAGGCTATGAACGCTTTTGCCAGAGTCACCAGAGCTGACCCTCCAGGAATCAAAGCTCCCACTGCCACACCTCGGGTGTTCTGCCTTTTATGCTGCGTCAGGTAGCAGTATGAGAACCTTTGCAACTGCAGTCATTTTATGAACAGCATAATTTGGTGGCGGTTAGGAGGGTTGGTAATGCCCGATTTGCTCAGTATATTATTTAAAATGCCCCATAATTTTTGTAACCCTGATTGTCTATTTGTTTGTTTTGTTTCTTAAACAAACTGGGATCCATAAATAACGATCCCAGCATCGCCTGGCACTTCCATGGCCCATGTGAAAAGTCTTGAACATCAAGGTGAGACTTTTCTCCTCTAGCCTGGAGGTGCCTGGAGTCCTAGGTGATCTTTAAGGAGAGACTTGGGACTCAGATCTCTGGGTTTTGGGAAGAGGAGTGGGAACACACCAAAGGTGGGGTGCCAGTTCAGAAGGTGTTGCAGTCCTGAAGAGACCCAGAATTTAGGTGCTCAATTTTCTTTTTCAGTCCTGGGAATCAAACCCATGACACTTACTATGCACTAAGCACTGTTCTTAGTGTTTTACAAACATTAACTCATTTTATTCTCATAAAAATGCTACAAGACTGAGCTATTACTAATCTCAATCACAGATGAAAAAACTGAGGTGGAGGAGGTTAAGTGTGTTCTCACATAGCTTGTAAGTGGCAGGGACCGGGCTCATAAATGGCCTGTGGTCTGAATCCCTTGGCTCTGCTGTCTCTCACTAGTTTTGGCAGACTTTGGGGTGGCTCAGTATCTCAGGGCAAGGAAACCTGACTCTAAAGCATCAAGCACCTACTTGTCAGGAGAGGGTGATACAGAACAGACTAGAAGTTTGGCTAGATTTCTGGTAGAAATCCATTTGATTTGAATCCCTGTACTCTTTTGATGGAGTAATTTCACTCTTGGGAAAGTAGGGGGTGGAGAGACAAAGATGCAAAAATTAGCAAGTTTAATTACAGAAGAAAACAACCCCAAGTTCTGATCATGAAAAAACTCCCAAGCTCATGGGAATATATCGGTACGATGGGAATTAAAGGGTGAGTTAAAACGATTAAGATGAGAACTATATTGATGGTAGGAAGTACTCAGTGAAATGAAAGGAGTATGGCTTTCTTGATTACAACTATGTGTGAAACTTGTGCACGCTGAATAACAGGAGAGAAGTGCTTGTTTAAGTCATTTCTTGTATATTAAAAATACAGTGGGAGAGAAGCTGTGTTTTAACTGCTGGTGAGAATGTAAGATATAAAATGATTAAGTTTTTGTAAGGTTCTTGTTTTTATTTTTATTTTTCTCGGAGATGGGTGCTGGGGATCAAATCCAGGACCTTACGCATGCTAGGTAAGTACTCTACCAATGAGCTACATCCCCAACCCTAGTGAAACTTTTTGGAAGAATAGTTTGACAACTTTATTTAGATTCTTAAAAATGTTCCCAGTAATTCCATATTTAGGGATATAGATATAAATAAATTGTTGAAGCTGTTGTGTTGATAGCAACAATTAGAAATATCTTAGATACCTGTCATTGGAATATTATGCAGTATTAAAAATAATGTGATAAAATTATGGCTTTAGAATTAGCCACTCAATAGAAGGCAAGTAGAAGGAAATGATAACAGTGATTATTTCTGGCTGGGTAGAGCAAAATAATTTGCATTTTCTTTAATAGCTTCTGAATACTTTATAACGAGCATGCAATACCCCCAATTTAGTAATTGGGGTAAAAGGGGTCTTCCAGCATGGTTCCTTGGTTAACCTCACCTATGCAACACCACTCATAAAGTGCTTTATTCAACAGCGTCTCCCGTTTGTCAATTACTTGGTTAGGTGCTAGGAATACAAAGTCCATTACCACAGGGGCCAGGACTAGCCAAGACACCGGGGAAGGCAGACAAGCAAGTAGGTCATAGATTGGAAGGATAGTTGCAAAATTACTTGATCTTTCTGTTGCTCAGCACTTAAGCAGTTTGTGTTCTTACGTTACTGTTATATATTTTGGTTATCTCCCTAGGAAGGTTGTAATCTTCTGGGGGTGAGGACTGTGAATTCTGAAATAAAATCATGTCTTGCATAACAATGTTTTGGTCAACAGCAGACCCCATATACCAAGGTAGTTCCATTTAGTCCCATGGAGCTGAAAAATTCGTATGATCCAGCGAAGTTGTCGTGTGACAGGCAAATACATTACTCACGTTTGTGGTGATGCTGGTGTAAACACACCTGTGCTGCCAGCTAGGTAAAAATACAGTGAATGCAAGTCCATATGGTACATAACACTTGATAGCGATAACACGTGACTATGTTACTGGTATGTGCAATTATTATTCTATACTTTTTAGCATTATTTTAGAATGTACTCCTTTGGTTTATATAAGACAAAGTTTACCATAAAGCAGTATTCCGTATCACCCTGGCAGCAGCCTTGTGTTCACCTGAGTGTCTTGATTGTGTCATGCACTTGTGTCTTTTGTGCTTGACTTAATTTCATGTTATTTTGTCCATCGTGGCCTTGTGTTCACCTGAGTGTCTTGATTGTGTCATGCACTTGTGTCTTTTGTGCTTGATTTAATTTCATGTTATTTTGTCCATCATGGCCTTGTGTTCACCTGAGTGTCTTGATTGTGTCATGCACTTGTGTCTTTTGTGCTTGATTTAATTTCATGTTATTTTGTCCATCATGGCCCTAGGATCAGTAGACTATTCCATATATACGTATGTACATATACCATTTGGCTATTTGTGTAGGCCTCACCATCTAGGTTTGTGTAAGTATAGTCTATGATGTTCATACAATGATGGAGTTGCCTAATGAAACATTTCTGAGAACATATCACAGTGTTTAAACAGTGCATGATGGTATATTTGAAGAATCCTACTTTAGAGTTCTATGTGGACTCTCACGTAAATTTGTTGACCAATCCTTTCAATTTGGAAAAATACAGGCCAACAAGCATATAGGCCCCTAGGTAAGTCTCCCATTGTATTCTCATACTCCCCCTACACAGATGGTCAGACAGACTAAAAAAGGCATTTTCAGTCCTAAGGCGGGGAGGAGGGGTGTTGGAGCGCACTAGATAATTCCTTTGCCTTGTGGACTCTGCTGATCCTAAGTTAACTTGCCTTATTCGGGATGTGAACCACAGGCTTAATTTCAGGTTGGCACTTGTGAATACTAATTGTTCTGGTTAAATTTACTCCTCTGGAAACAGAGTGAAATCAGATTAAGATTCTAATGCTGATTTTAACCAAGCCATATTTAAGTAAATAACTGCTAAATACCATGGGAAAGCACATGAGATGGGTATTTAAGTTTGGGACTGTTTTGACAAAGAATCAGACATAACAGCTGGA